GCGTTACCTACTCCCAGTAGAAGGGGACTGCAGTACTCAAGATGAGGGAGGACATAGGCCTTATATAAACGAACTAACACGTCCTTTGAAATAAACTTACGTATTCTCCGCAAAGCCGAAGCCTTTGCGCATCCCTTATTCAGCTGTTGCTTTATGTGCGCTTTAAATGTTAATTTGCTATCTAGGACCACCCCAAGGATTTTGAGTGTGTCCTTTGTATGGACATTAGAATCATTAAGATGGAAATCATATTGGTATGAAGACGGGCCAATAGCGATAGCTTGCGTTTTGGCGGCATTAATCTGTAAAAAATTCATTGAGAACCATCTCGATAGAACGCTCAGATCAGAGTTAATTATATACTGCAATACTGTTGGTGAGACATCAGAGGCGTAATGAGTAGTGTCGTCAGCATATAGCCTCAAGGACGTACTAGTAATAAAATAATTAAGATCATTAATATACAAATTAAATAGGAGAGGACCCAACAGGGACCCCTGTGGTACACCAGTTTTAACGGTTCTCCATGAAGAATATACACCGTCAAGTTTGACTCTCTGTCTTCGTCCAGTAAGGTAAGCGGTCATAGTTTCCAGCGCATCATGCGTAAAACCATATGCCTTTAATTTAGCTAGGAGAAGCGGGTGACAAACAGAGTCAAAAGCTTTACTTAGGTCGATAGCCACCGCTGCAACAGCTTCTCTTCTGTCAAGACAGGCTCTCCAATCTTCAGTCAATTTCAATAAGGCCGTGCAACACGAGTGACCCTTGAGAAAGCCAGACAGGTTCGGTGAGAGTCGCCAATGAAAGGCTTCATAGATTTGATCGAACAATACCTTCTCATATAATTTCGATAAGGAAGTCAGAACAGAGACTGGACGATAGCAGGTCTTATCTGACATACTTTCCTTCTTGAAAACAGGAACAACGTCGCTGCTTTTCCAAACTATTGGCCATTGACGGTTGGTGATAAAATAATTGATTAATCGGGTAACCGGCTCGGCAATAACAGGTGAGGATAAACGAAGTAGCCTCTGAGATATCTTATCGCACCCAACAGCCTTGCGAGGGTCAAGAGAATCCAAAATTTTCCTTATGTAGCCAACATCAACTGGGACGAGGTCAAAAACATCATCACAAGTTTTCTCAGCAATGACTTTAACGCTAGGATGATCAACAAACTCAACCATTTCCTTACTGTCACCATCACTCCTGGACACCTCGCAAAAGTAGTTGTTAAACATTTCAGCCACCATTAATGAATCGGTAATTACACGCTCATTCTCAATCAGAATTATCTTTGATTGCTTCTTTTCTTTGCTTAGCAACAAAGGTCTTAACTTATTCCAAAACTCACCATGATGTTTAGTGTTTGACGATGCCTCCATGCAGAACGCCTTCAACCCTTTTCGTTTCAGGGATGTGACCTTGTTTCTCTGTTTCTTGAATTCCTCCCAAGAGGTTGTTGTTGGGCTCTTTGCATGTTTCTTAAACAGTCGATTACGACGCGAGATTTCGCGTTGAATTAATGGAGTTATCCATGGCAACTGATCACCTCTTACCCGCTTTTTCTTTATTGGTGCGTGTTTGTCCAACACTTCAGTGTACAATTGAGCCTAATGGTGCCATAGATCATCAACGTCGTCATAAATGTAAGCGGAACTCCAGGGAATAGTTTTTAGGTCATTTAAAAATTTTTCTAAGTCGAATTGTCGCATACTTCTGTATTCAATTTCACGTGCCTTAGCCCTAGGTAATTTATTCTTTCGCACCGCATAGATAAGATCGTGATCACTGAGACCCATATGCAAATTACCACAAGTTGCATATCGTTCCGGATGGCTAGCGAGAATGACATCGAGTAAAGACTTTGTTTTTTCAGTCACCCTTGTCGGTTCACTAATTTGGTTTTGCAAACAGAACCTATCACAAAGGTCCATGAGTGAGTTATCCTCAGCAACAACACCATGCTCCCCAACAAGCAAGTCGATATTAAAATCACCAATCAATAATATTTAAGGATGGGGATGAAGCTGAACCAGGGAACTATCGTCCAATATCACTTCTTTCGGTCTTTAATAGACTCTTCGAGAAAATTATGTACAACCGCCTAAAGTCCTTTCTTAGCAAACATAACCTATTCTATGAGTCTCAGTACGGTTTCCGTGAACAGCGCTCAACCGAGCATGCAATCCTTGATATTGTTAACAAAATTCAATCAAACATGGACAAGGGAATGTTCTCCTGTGGTGTATTTATTGACCTTCAAAAAGCATTTGATACTGTCAATCACTCTATCCTCCTTCATAAATTATCCCACTACGGCATTCGTGGTATAGTAAACGATTGGTTCTCCTCCTATCTGTCAAATAGAATCCAAACCACGCAAGTTGGTCCCCACGTATCTAGAAAGGAAAATACCCTTTGCGGCGTTCCTCAGGGGAGTGTACTTGGTCCCCTACTGTTTCTTATTTATGTAAATGACATTTACATGGCCTCTGACAAACTAACCTTTTATCTCTTTGCTGATGACACTAACCTTTTATATGCTGATAAAAACCTAAAATCTCTCGAAACTATCATCAACTGTGAACTATTTAAGGTTGCCGGCTGGTTAATCGCTAATAAACTCTCGTTAAATATTAAGAAAACAAACTATATAATTTTTCATCCATATCAAAAACGCAATAATTTTAACATCCGCATTAAGGCCTATGATAGCCGCACGTTATTTAAAACGTTTTTTGATCTTGAACGTAAGGATCATGTTAAATACCTAGGGGTAATAATTGACCAACATTTATCTTGGAAACATCACATTAATTATATTGCTGTAAAAATCAGCAGAAATATTGGAATTATTTCGAGACTAAGACACTTTGTCCCCTTAAAAACACTTCTAAGTATTTATAATTCTTTAATTTCTCCCTATATATCTTACGGCCTCATTGCCTGGGGCCAAGCCTCCAAATCTTATTTAGAAAAAATTCTTATACTCCAAAAGAGAGCTGTTCGCTTGATCTACTTTCTGCCTTTCAGAACGCATGCGATTCCATATTTCGCGCAATCTAACATCCTGCCAATAACAATGCTCTACTTCAAACTTTCATCAATCTTAATGCTTGATATAACCACTAACTCTGCACCTAAAAATATCTGCAATCTTTTTATTTCTACACAAGACATACATCAGTATAATACCCGATCAGCATCTTCTGGTAACTACTATATTAACTATTCTTGGCTTAATCATCATAAAAGCTCTTTTTCTATCGTTGGGGCTAAAATTTGGAACAGTATTCCCGAAAGCTATCGAAGTCTGCCAAAGCACATATTCAAAAAGAAAATTCAAGCATTACTATTTGCAACCGCTAGGAAGTCTGGATAGTTATGCTGATACAAGCACTCTTATTTCTGAAATAAAAAAGGCATCTTAATTATAATTCAAACATAATATATTAATTTACTTTTTATCACCTTTTCCCTCTTTTGTTAAATAATGTATGCAAAATCGAGTAATTCGCATAATTGGTGTTTTTGTAATTCGTGTTGTATGTCCTTAACACCGCCTGCCTAGATTAGCTCGCTATTTGCAGGAGGTGATTATTGTACAAAGATTTTCCTGCAAACTTAATAAACTTGATACTTGAAAAAAAAAAAAAAAAAAAAATCAAAGATCTTCAGCTGTCAGGACGACAACGCCGAGGAAGATATTGATTTTATTAATATGCCGTCGCAAATTCCGTTCTCAGACGATAATTTTTTTTAGTTTTCACGTCGTTGTTTTCCAAGAGGATGGCTAAAAAATTTACAAAGGTTTAGAACGCTCATCCTGCGCTATTTTTCTGACCATTAGATCTGTTGTTTTTTCACGTCTTCATTGCCGCCGCCTTCGTAGTTTGCTAAAGGTCCCTGAAATTAACGAGGGTATCATTAATCTAAGTAAATATTTCACCTGCTCAGTAGCGTGCAACGTAGAAGGAGATCGTAATAGAGAGGATCGCTCCCCAATCCCACTATAACAACGGCTGCAATGAATGAGCTTTCAGCTGAGCATAACTCGACTTCTAGTGACGATAAGATAATCTTTTAGTGCGGGTGATTTCTATTCAATAGGAAACCTCCTATGTTTGTTTCTAAGATTAAAGGCCACAATGAAAATTGTCAGACTTTGACATTATATGGCTTCGAGTTTATATAATTCTTCTGTTATAATCAATTCATTCATTAATTATTTTTAACGAATCATTTCCACATTTAATCCATTATGTTTTGATTGAGGAGATTCTTCGTGACAAAATGAATGGCTGAGCTAAAAAAAAAAACCGGGATTAAAACACATTCCCAATACTTCTGATACTGGTGGCTTGCAAATGGTATTTATGACTGGGCTTCGTTCAAACTCTGAAAATTACTGCGATGTTAAGTTGACTCTAAACCCTTGCGGGTTGGCCGAATTTTTTTTTTTTTTAAGTCGATATTTTAAAACGCGCGCGAATAGACGTGAACTCCCTAGCGGCTTTTGCGCAACAAACAGCTTCACCGGGAGATCCTATTTCAACTCAACTTTGTTTACATTCACGTTTGAGTCCTTTATTTTTGGAGAGTACATGCAAAAAAAAAGAGAAAAAAAACTGTGACAATATCCTGCCATCTTCTCCTCACGCTTGGCCAATAATGCTAATCTACTAAATTATTTCAAAGATGCACATAATGTTGTTCAAGCTTTCTTAAGTCTAAGGGCTTTCAAACCGTTTAAATTTTGTTTTTATTGTACTAAATTTATGCAGATGAAAAAAAAAAACACAACGCACAGATAAATTCGATCCGATGAGAGATAAAAACGATCTAAAAGAAAGATTGGGACAAAGATGGGACAAAACTACACACTCAAAATCCTTGATATTGAAAATTTTAAGTCGACAATCAGAGTTTACCAAAATGCATATAATTTAAAACTTCAGCGAACAAAAGACATCTCCTGGATACACTTAACAGGACTACAACAAGTTGTTCTTTGACACATGCACGATCAAAGCTGAGAGAAAAAGAAGCTGGCTTAAAAAAAAAACAAACAAAGACAAAATTAAAAAACAAACAAACAGAAAAACTCAAACATTGTCCTGCGGCGATCATGTCAAGTCATAAAACACTGAGATTATGTACTAAGAATTGAATGAGCTCTACTTTCCAAAGGAGAAAGATATAAAAGAACTTGCGTGCCGCGTTACGAAAGACAAACCTAACACACCTGATTGTTGTAACACACCTGCTTTAAAAGAAGCTTTGAATCCCTTGTGCACTGTGGTAGAGTTTCTATCACTCACGAACTGAACCCAAACCATATTCCCTTGACTCAGTATCGAGTTTGGCTTTGCATTTCCACACAGGCGTCCTGTCAGGATTGGACCAAAATGGCCATATATTCTTTTAAGAACACCAACTGTGATGGATGCTTCACGGAACTCAACGTAGTCGTTTTTGCAATCCTCGCTGTCTTCCAGTTCAAATATGTCGAAGTTTATCTGGACTTTCCGTCCCTCAGGGACGATTAAAATCCACTGTTCTGCGTAATTTGAGGGGTAGTTCTCAATGTCGACTTTTGGTGTGCCAAACTCAATAGTTTCATCTTCGCTTGCTTTCAGATAGTTTACGTCACCCTCTGCAAAATGAAAGTTGTCTGTTACCACATGAAAAATTAAAAGTTATCAAGTGAATACGTCTGCTTTGATTTGAAAACATAAGCTCGTGTCTAACAACACTGATTGACAGGCTTATACCCTAAGCTTGTGGGTGAACACCCTGTGGTTAGTTTGCAGGATTGGTAGTCAGGCTTGTGACCTGTTACACCTCAGCCACTGGACTAAGACTCCATGGCTGATAAAATTTTAACTGTTGGCTGTAAAAGCCATCACCTCATTAAGACCCTCTTTGTATAGTTATTACCCACCTGTCCTAGACATGGCTATGAAGTTCAACTTAAATCCTGTGTAGTGTACATTATCATCCGACACGAAGCGAAGATAGACCGTCGGTCCAGCCGAACTGCCGCCAGTTGTCCAGTCGACGTTGACGATATATCCCTGTAAATAGTTGTAAGTATATCGTCCACATTCTTTAAACTGCTGGTTCAAATAGCTGTAGGAAGTTCCTTTTTGAAGATAGTCGCACTTACAATTAGAGCACCTTTCTATATCAATCCTGGGAAAAATATCACAAGGCGATATAACTGGTTTTCAGTTCTTACCAACCTTAAGGACAAAGTGAAGATTATCTACTGGAGAAGATAAATTACTTTAAATATATTAACAGTGTTTTTATTCCTAGTCTGACCGTGTTGGGCCTTAAAAGTCCCGATACAGGATTGATTGATTACTGATATAATTGAGATAAATAAAGAGCAATTTGGTCTGAAATCATACGCGTGATTCCAAAATCGCACGGGCGCGCAGCGCGAGTTTCATTTGAAGTCACAACTATGATTTCAGACAAAAATTTCACCACACAGAGTCCAGTTACCACTCTATTACACCCATTTTCAAAACGCAAAATTCAGTCGCTCAAATACAGGATTTTTTTAGATAGTCTGCACAAATATTTTATTGATACAGTTCTGAGCTAACTCGTAAAAAGTTGCAAAAGTTGTCTTTCATTTTCCAGAAATTCGATTGGTAACTTTATAAAGAAGCCTTGAAATCTGATTGGTTGTTGTGTTTCAGTAAAGCTTTCTCATTGGCTGGGAAAAAGATGCAATTAAGAGCAAAAAAGGGTGCAATTCGTGATTTCATCGCATCAATGAGAGCCAAGCAGTTTGCATGGATCTCCAATGATTTCCAAATGAGTGTGATAAAAATAGTTATATCTATTTTGATGATGATTATCAACATAATTATCAGTCATTATCATAACATCAAAAAAAAATACGAGAGGCAATCTGATAATTGCGCCGGTTACTTGAAGAGTTACAATTCAATCATTTGCAGTTTTACCCACGAAATATTTTTTTTTTTATTCTCGCCCTCTTTTTCTGATTTGGCATCGTAATCAAATGGAAAGAAACCCACGCTGGCCATGCAGCTTTCAAAAAAAATGACGAGGCTCGAGCATTGTTCAAATATTCTTTCGTCAAGATGGTTGACACTTCTCTCGCTCTTTTTAAGAGGATGCAAGCTATGAGGTTGGAGATGCGCCATCTGAAAAATTCGCTTAATTCCGCCGGCGATCATGCATATTTATATCCTTTCGGGAACTAGCACCATATTTCAGAGGGTTTAAAGGTAATTTTCTGAGTTGTTATGAAATTACTTTGGGATTTTTTTTGTCTCTGCTTTTAGATGTACATTAACATGAAGATTGACGGCAGCATCAAATGAAATTGAAATGAAGTGTGAACCTCAGAAGTTTGCATGTTACTGACGAGTGCTATACATGGAAAACCTACCTGGAAAAATAAAATAGAATGCGATAATAAGTGTCGGGGACCGTAATGCTCCAACATTTGGTCTCATTCTTACCATAAGTACCTGACTCAGAATATGCTTTGATTTAAAAAAAATACCCGTGTGTAGCAACATTGATAGTCAGGTTCATATTCTGTCACATCCATGCTTGTGGGTGAACACCCTGTGGTTGGAGGGTGGTGGAGAGTCTAAAGCAGCAGGCTTAGAAAGGGGTTGCAAATATCTGCCGGCTCCAGCCATTGTAAATGGAGTGGGGGCTTAACGTCTAGACCAGCAACGGCACGTAGGGTGGGTCAGTTCCAGTTGTGTGTCCAAAGCCCATGGATAGGAAGGGTTGGTTTTGGACTCCTCAACCTCAAATTGTGGTTTGCCCGTGGGCTGAAAAGGGCTTCTTGGCTTATTTTGACAACGTACTGTTTTGCTTGACGGCCGTCAGGCTTATGCCTGGCAACTGCTCTGTCAATGGGCTAAGAAATTGTCCGTCCTTGAACCAGCCTAACCAATGAAAATTCAGGGGAATTAACGTCATGTTAGCACCTACATGCAGCCCAGTTACAGGCCCTTTCAAGGGTGGGTTGCTTATGGCTCTGAGTCTAAAGGTCAGCCGGGGTAAGGAGCCATTGGGCTAAGACTCCGTGGCTGTTAGAATTTTAACCGTTAGCCGTGAAAGCCATCACCCCATTGAGAGCCTCTTTGTATAGTTACCCACCTGTCCTGGATGTAGCTATGAAGCTCAACTTAAATCCTGTGTAATGGACAGTATTATCCGACACGAAGCGAAGAAAGACCGTCGATCCAGAAAGGCCGTAAGTAAATCCAGCTCTCCAGTCGACGTTGAAGACATATCCCTGTAAATAGTTGTGACTATATCTTCCACAAAATTTAGAGAGCAGGTGCAAATACTTGTAGGAATTTCCTTTTTGAAGATAGTCGCACTTACAATCAGAGCACATTTCTACGTCAATCCTGGGAAAAATATCATAAATCGATATAACTAGTTTTCAGTTCTTATCAGTCTTAAGGACAACGTGGAGATTGATTTACTGGATAAGATAACTTACTTTGAATATATTTACAATGTTTTTATCCCTTGTCTGACCGTATTGGACCTTAAGAGAGTGTCTCTGTAAGAGCGGTCCGGTCGATTTAGCTTGAGACACGGATTTCGCTCGTTTCTTGTGTGTTGTAAGACATTCATGTACCTATACTAAAACAACAATCAGTTTGATCGGATCTCTTTACTTTTCGGAGTTTTACGGAAATTAAATTTCACTCGATTGAAGGCTTGTCGTGACACTTTTCAGGACTTTAATTTCATACAACTTTGGAGGACAATTTACAAAAAACTACGGAACTCAGCAAAAACCAAATACCACAACCATGTATATTAACTTTATCTTATCTATGGAGGCGACTTTCGCAAACATCAAGTTTCAATCAAGGAAACAGGAAAACTTGAATGACACCTTATCGGTTCGCCTAAATCACACACGCCAAAACCGATCAAATTCAAGGTAAATTTTTGAAAAAGTGAGACGTTCTAAACTGATCCAACTAACATAGCTAGGAAGTAGTTGTCATAGAAAAGGTAACTACAGAAAAAAACTTTGCGGCCCGACCTTTACGAGAACTTTATAACTCCGTGAACTTACCTAATTTTCGGTAATCTCCAAGTTTGGCCGCCATTTTGAGGGACTTGTCAACATGAAGTGCAACCGATATAAATCAAGCAGGTCGATCTAAAACCGTCAGAAATACATATGAAAGCAATTCAAATGAACTTTACTTTCAATTCAAGCGGCAAAATTTGAAAGTGTTCTTTAAACTTACCATCCCCGCGCGACCATTTCTTCCAACAATTCAAACACTACGACTAGTGTTCGAATTCCCCTCTTCGATTCCACCGTAAGAAATAACCTGTGCCACCCAAGCTTCGACTCGAATGTGAAGTACGAATCAAATAACACAACTGCTTCATCTTCGCGGCAATATCACGCTGGTATTTTGATTTTCCGATCGACAAGCACGGTGATCAGGAATCGATCGGTATGTTTACCTTATAAACGTCACCGCTGACCAGCCGCTGAGTGAAAACAGTATAGCGCGGGGTAGGGTGGGTGGCGGGCTTATCGTCATAAGATCTTCGAATACATTCTTAATCAAATAAGGGGTGTTTTAGTCTGCAAATTTAATCATACTGGTTAATGAGAATCATACAAACTGAGGAAAACTGACCGCAAATAATTGTGAACCGTACGCATGAATAAGTGTATTGCGTTGTCAGGTGATTTAACCTTCTACAAAAACATTATTGATTATCAACCAAGCAACATTGTACATATTTTCATCTGCAATTAAAAGCACTTACACATAGATCTATGTTTTTTCAACGTGATGTGTACTTAAGTACCCTTCATCTAATAAAGAATTTCTTCTCTTTTCGAGCAGATATGTCACGTGACAAAAATATATAACAGAAAATGGTACTGAAGACTACCTGATTCAACTGGAATAATACCTCCAAACAGCTTGAGACATATGCAAGGTAATTACATCTCTGCCTTGGATACGCTTCCCGATACCATCACCTTTGCACTTCTCCAAAACTTCCCCAAAATGTGGCGATACCTATAGCAAATCCACATTTTTTTTTTGTTTATCCTCCTGAGCGAGATGAAATAGACCAATCCTTGCCAAGATTAGCTCATTTTCACTTAAGACCTCTTTAGACAGGTGGCAGCTTATCAAATGATGTTTTACTTCGTCTTTGCATTCAGACAGTCGTACCAAACCACTTAAGCCACGCGATCAACCAAAGTTTTTTCCATCTTTGCTATTCAAAAGGCAGTCCTGAGACATAATGAACGTCTCGCCAACGAACGACTTCTTCCTGTACTTGTAATTGTTTCCAACGCGATACAAGTTCGGGAGATCTAAAGGAACTCACTATAACTTTGTATACTCGATACGATTTCAATTTCCGCGTCAAAGGAGAAGCTTACTGTGGTCAGTGGTTACGCTCGTGAGGTAAAGAATGGGTTTGTGACTTTCTCACACAATTGAAAGACTCGCGTCACTCTTATGAAATGGTTGAACGGAATACAGATTTCGAGCAGTGTCTTATTTTTCTTAAAGATAGTGAGGTCACGCGTATCCTGTGAGCATGGAGAAGGCGCGAGACGCGAGACTCGTGTCTCGCGTCTTTGCCGCTCCACACTCTCAGAGTTGGGCGAAGACAAGACACGTTATTTCTGGTGTGATACAAGAGGTTCAATGGTTATCTAGATTATCTAAACACATTTATTTACGTGGTAAAGATTTGTTTGTAAATCTATGAATTAATGCTAGTCCTATTTGGAACGAAATGTATTTGAAAGAAAAAAAGAATACTAAGTAAGACAAACGTTGTCTGCAACACGAAGCATGCCTTCACATTAAGACTGACAGTCCTAATGTTTATCATGATAACTTAATGCATATGTTCGAATGTTCCCAAAAATCTTCTGATAATCTGCCCGCACCCACCCCTCACCCCGCCCTCACCACTGAACCGTACTGTTTTCACTCAGCGGCTGGTCAGCGATCACGTTTATGAAGTAAACATGGCGATCGCTACCTGATCACCGTTCTTGTCGATCCGAATGTCAAAATACCAGCGTGATATTGCCGCGAAGATGAAGCAGTTATGTTATTTGATTTGTAGTTCACATTCGAGTCGAAGCTTGGGTGGCACAGGTTATTTCTTACGGTGGAATCGACGAGGGGAATTCGAACACTAGTTGTAGTGTTTGAATTGTTGGAAGAAATGGTCGCATGGGGATGGTAAGTTTAACCAACACTTTCAAATTTTGCCGCCTGAATTGAAATTAAAGTTCATTTGAATTGCTTTCGTGTGTATTTCTGACGGTTTTAGATCTACCTGCTTGATTTATATCGGTTACGCTTCATGTTGACAAGTCCCTCAAAATGGCGGCCAAACTTGGAGATTACAAAATTAGGTAAGTTCACGGAGTTATAAAGTTCTCGTAAAGGTCGGGCCGCAAAGCTTTTTTTTGTAGTTACCTTTTCTATGACACCTACTTCCTAGCTATGCTAGTTGGATCAGTTTAGAACGCCTCACTTTTTCAAAAATTTACCTTGAATTTGATCGGTTTTGGCGTGTGTGATTTAGGCGAACCGATAAGGTGTCATTCAAGTCTTCCTGTTTCCTTGATTGAAACGTGATGTCTACGAAAGTCGCCTCGATAGATAAAGTTAATATACATGGCTGTGGTATTTGTTTTTTGCTGAGTTTCGCAGTTTTTTGTAAATTGTCCTCCAAAGTTGTATGAAATTAAAGTCTTGAAAAGTGTCACGACAAGCCTTTGCTCGAGTGAAATTTAATTTCCGTAAAACTCTGAAAAATAAAGAGATCCGGTCAAACTGATTGTTGTTTTAGTATAGATACATGAATGTCTTACAACACACAAGAAACGAGCGAAATCCGTGTCTTAAGCAAAATCGACCGGACCGCTCTTACAGAGACACTCTCTTAAAAGTCCCGTTACAGGACTGATTGATTACTGATATAATTGAAATAAATAAAGTGCAATTTGGTCTGAAATCATACGCGTGATTTCAAATCGAACAGGTGCGCAGCGCGAGTTTCATTTGAAGTCACAAGTATGATTTCAGACAAAAATTGCACCACAAAGAGTTCAATTACCACTTTATTACAACCATTTTGAAAACGCAAAATTCAGTCGCTCAAATACAGTATTTTTGTTAGTCTGCACAAATATTTTATTGATCTAGTACTGAGCTAATTCGTGAAAAGTTGCAAAAGTTGTCTTTCGTTTTCCTGAAATTTGATTGGTAACTTTAAAAAACCTTAAAAGCCTATTAGTGGTTGTGGTTTAGTAAAGCTTTCTCATTGGCTGGGGAAAAGATGCGATTAAGAGCAAAAAAGGTTGCAATTCATGATTTAATCGCACCAATAAGAGGCAAGGAGTTTGCATAGATCTTCACTGATTTTCAAATGAGTGTGATAAAGATAGTTATTATTATTCTGATAATGATTATAAACATAATTATCAGTCACTTTCATAACATCAAAATAAAATACGAACGAGAATCTGTTAATTGCGCCGATTACTTGAAGCGTTACACATCAATCGTTTGCAGTTTTATCCACCAAAAATTTTTTCTCGTCCACTTTTTTTGATTTGGTATGGTAATCAAAAGGTAAGAAACCCACACTGGCTAGCAGTTTTCAAAAAAATTGACGTGGTTGGAGCATTTTTCAAATATTCTTTCGTCAAGATGGTTGACACCTCTCGCTCTTTTTAAGATCATGCAAGCTACCAAGTTGGAGATGCAACATCTAAAAAATTCGCTTAATCCCGCCGGCAATCATGTTTAAATCCTCTCCGAAGCTAGTACCATATTTCAGAGGGTTTAAAGGTAATTTTCTGAGTTGATATGAAATGACTTTGTGATTTTGTATGTCTCTGCTTTTAGATGCCATTAAGATGATGATTGACGGCAGCATCGAATGAAATTGAAATGAAGTGTGAGCCTCAGAGGTTTGCATGTTACTGACGAGTGTTATACACGGAAAACTTACCTGGAAAAACGATATCGAATGCCATCGTAAGTGTCGGGAACCGTAATGCTCCAACATTTGGTCTCATTAATATTCTTACCATAAGTACCTGACTCAGGATATTCAAGTTCACCACTGGAAGTTGTGATGTTCGTTATGCCATTGGGACAAACTATCATGGAGACAAAGAGTAAGTTTAAATGTTGACTTCATATCTCACCCAAAAATGAGAGAACCCATGGGAGATTATCCTGATACGAGGGAGTCACTCGAACTCTTTAGTGGGGTGGCAAGTCACTAACTTCCCTCAATGAAATCAGGACAATTACCCTTTAAGGCCCATTTTCTGAACGACAATGTGCTCCATTTTCGTAAAAATATTTCACTCTACTTTGTAAACTTTCGCCGCATCATTTTTAGAAGTGTCAAACCTTGAAGTGCCATCAGTCTTAGCGAATCTGTTTTGGTGGCATTTCCAATGCTGAATTTTCTTATGTCTGTCATGCAAAGTAGATGCGGCCTCAATTACTTTTTGAAGGTGTAGGCGCACAGATAAAAACGTAAACGTGTGCATTGTATGCCAAGCTCGCATAGAATTCCAGAAACGATTTTTCAAATCTAAATGTCGGTGGCAAAGCACATGTGCAAGCGATTTCCCTTTTCAAATGGAATACCTTAAGTCTTGAAATTTATTAATTATGTAATCAGCCAAATATATTTATTCTGAATGAGTAAATTACACAGCAATTTATGTGTTTGTTGTCGTAGAAACTCACTTGAATCGCAGTGTCCTTTGTCGAAGAATAATGTTAAAACTGAAAAAAAAAATTCATAAGTTACTAGACTGAACTGGAGAAGGTAAGAGATGGACTGCTTTCTATCTGTACGTTTTTATGACGCAGCAACAACATAGGAGAGAAGCAAAAGAAAATAATGGGACATTGTTTTCTCTTGACGAGAAGGGGTTGGGACGATATAGGGTTTGACCACGAGATGAAATGAAAACCAAGATGAAACACAAACAAATCCGAAGCTAAAAGTTCTTTACCCAATTGATGGCAAATCAGTTCTTCATAAACATTTGCATTAGGCAGAGAGCTTAAAAAGGTCGGCGTCCACAAAATAATCACCACGAAGCCGTAATTTCTAGGCTACCCTGTGTCTCGATGTTTCAAAATCAAGCTTTCCTTTCTCACGTTGATGTCATCAGACGACGAACTTTCACGCATTGGATTCGGTTTATTATTTTAAGCTTATTAAAATAAGATGAGCAAAAAAATGCACTTAATATTATCAGAATTACGAACTGATTCCCTGCCATGTTAAACACGGTCGTTCAAAGGCGTTCACCAGTTAATCTATAAACGAGCTGTTTGATCCGTGTCACAGCAACAAAAAGATTTACATCCTAAAGAATGTGAGGTAAATGAAAATCAAAAGAAGAGCAAGCTATTTAAACTTAAATTGAAAGCGATAAAAGTAATGCAATTGCATCGCTTTCTTGGACAACGCGGATGTTTTAATACAGGATGGATGAACTTCATCCATGTGACAACTTACCGATGATGGAAGTAACTGTAACCAGTTGATTGGATGTGAATACTCCCATTCTTCGACACAGTTAAGTTCTTTTTGTTGAAAACAATAAAAGATCAGGGTGTACTGATGTAAGGATGAAAAATTTCCGTATTGTTGGTAAAATTACAGTAACCTTCTAACCTAGTGATATGTTACCCAACACAATTTAGGTCAATTTGCTGCAACAAAGCTGCACAAATCGCGCATAGTTCAAATGTTTTGGATTCGTACACGCAACATTCATTCGCTTTTCCTTCCATTATTGCCCTTGGTTAAATGGGAATTTTCGCATTGGTGAGTTTATAATCAGAGGGTAAAGACCAATTAAAAGAGAAACAGCGATGGATTGGTGAATAATTTGCAGGATGTTTTTGGCAGCTTATAACGACAACAGCTTGAAATGAGCTTCACTTATGCAAACAATTTGAGAGTCTAGAACTTACCACAGGATTAAAGTTGTAAATCAGCATCGGTATGAATAAGCACGTCACCAATCATAACTAAGTAAACAACGGAACATTCCGCAGGAGCAGAGAACACTTCTCCGACTACAGATATCTAACGTACGAAATCTGTAATTACGCTGGCAAGGCTTCGTTAAGTTGTTCCCTATGAACATAAGCGAAATAGTCTACTCGATCAAACTTGGGAAGAAAATTTAGTGAGTGAGCATGCGGTAGACTGTCCTTGGAAGATTAACATCTCTTGACTAGAAATGAACACAAGAATTTTCACGATAATCTTACAAATGAACAAAAACGAGCTCAATGCCTATGATTTAAGACATTTAACAGTTAATCTTCGAGGAGGTGAACTGAAGTTGAGATTCAGCCAACAAAGTTCACCAATGGAGGTTATTGTTCAACAACTGGACTCTAATAAAGTCAGGCAACAAACAGTACACATCATCAAGGTCCCCCCTCCCCCCTAATTTCCTTTGTAAGGAGATTTTGTTCAAGCTCTTAACATTCAGGTATGCAATCACGCGCAAATCCGAAGAATCTTCGCCACGTAAATCTCTGCCTGTGTTATATACTCCATCTGTCGGTCCTTCTCGCCTTAGGATCTTGAGCCCGCTGATACATAAGGAAGGGCATTGGTTTGAGTTACTACATGAAAGGCGCACGGAACCCGCCCCCCCTTTGATGACTTCCAGGAAGGTCTACGCGCTGTATCAAGAATTCATTCCAGTTACCAAGACGAACCTTGACACCTTGTCATATCTCTAACGACCAGGCTTTAGTGTGCGTTTGCAATCTGGATAATAAACCCAAAATAAGAGACCCTTATAGTAAGTTTAATGTACGAAGTAAAAATAATGCTCACATGCAATTACTTCTTTCTTTTATTACTTGTCTATGCATTTGTTTCTCTATTTTTAATGGAGTTACGAGTTTAAAACAAGTTCCTTTTTTTACTGAAAAAAAAATAGAAAAATTGCCGAGAGGATCCTCATACACCTTAAGCTTACGAACTGAAAATTTTAATTCTAATTTTAAAAAAAAATTTTGAATTTCATTCCTGACTTCTGCAAGACATTCGTAAAAAACCCTATTTGTTTTTTTTTCCTTCTCAGAAAATCAACACATTAGCCAAGCTACGTAGACAAGATTCAGAGACGTTAATGTTAGATTCCATACGACAGCCCTGAAATACAAAGACTATTTTAAAGGCCGTATTTTAAAATAGGGAGACCTGAACATGCAATATGGAACATAAGAGTTGTCTATGAATGACCTTTGGACTACTGGGATTGTAAATCGAAACAAAATAAAAGAGTGGGGCTCGGATCAGCAACAAAAAGTTTAATATGAGCATAGTCTGGGTGAGGAAATGGAATTTAGACCTCACTATTTTTTTTCTTTTTTTTTTAGGACCCTCTTTTCACCGTGCATGAACAGAATTGTCGTGTTTTTTAAAGATAGACACATTTTGCTACCTCTTTCTAAAAGAAAGTTCCCGTTCCCTGTAGCTGACCCTTCAAAAAAGGGTCACATTTTTCAAAACTCAAACAGTCTCTTTAGAGTTCAAGGCACTTCTATTGATACCGCTCCAAATTCTATTTCAATCGTCTCTTTCTACTTTCTAGAGTTATCACTACTAGTTCTCGGATCCACAAAGGGCGATTGTCTACTTGCTTTTCGGCGTCTTCTTTCTCGTTTTAGATCATGATGACAACCACAGCCAACAGAAAACAAACGAAGAAACTGCTTCCCGCAATCAGGTCCCCAGCGCTGGGATCAATGGAGCTTAGAGTTGTTGTTTTCCTTGGAGTTGCTGTTTTCGATGATTCGTCTGTCAAACAAGATGTTTTAAATGTAACAAATAATGTTGTCCTTAGCATAATTTAACATATGACTTACGCAGGTGAAGCGTAAATGTGTAAGGTGTACGTCAGTTTACTTTTAAACGATCTTTTTACAGTCAAGTACTGATGCCGTGACATAAAATGCAAAAACTTCACACAAATTGGAATAAATATCTTCACGTTTCAGTCTGCATCAAATTTGTCTTTACCAGAAGTTTTTAGGCGTGGCTAACAGAGGTTTCCACCAGAATGAAACATACCATAAACAGAATAAAGCGTTTGCATTTGTTCAGTTATTACCCACGCCCCTGTTCCGGTGTAGCGCTTATTCGAAGAATTCTTCCGCATACAGTAATTCTTCATATGCAGTTGGATATCCTGAGGGAACTGGATACAAATAGTTTCGAATGCACAGATTCAGACGTAAAAGAAGGAAACCCTCCACTCGTAACCCTCCCCCCGTACCGCCGCCGCCCCCCCCCCCACCCTCTTAGCGATAAATAACTGGTCATTACAGTTTTGTACTTTTCGGCAGTGATTCAAGGAGAAATTCAAGGGAAGTTCCAAAAAGTCTTTCGGATACTTTGATTCTTGGGTAGTCTCGTTAAAAAAATTACTTGCATACAAAAGAAGGGTGCGCATTATTAGAAAACTACCAAAAATATCCTATGCTTAAAATGTTCATTTTTTTCTTTTTAAGTGCGGGGATGAAGTGGGGGGGTTGTGCACGCGCGCTGGTAAGCAGTGCTCGTGGAAAAGAGGAAGCGAACCCTTTGTTCTAATTGACGAACCGGGCGAGCAATATCCACCCATCTTGTCCAATCGGGATTGCCAGGAGGAGGACTTACAATGTTTGGAATTTTAGGACAATGTCAACAATGGAGTCTTAAAAAGCCGCAGATGACTGTCAGAACAAAGAGAAGATGAGCCACTTTCATGAACCTTTTATTGTGCTACAGAAACCTGAAAATATCAAAATTAGAACACAAAGTAATATGTTTCCCTTGATTCTTACGAAAGCGATACATGCTTGTCATATGATAAGTCCTTGATTTATTAAGCTTGTTGGGTCAAGATAGCTGGATGTTAGCCCCGTTTGTTTTTGCGTTTTTATGCACCTTGACTTCGTCCCAATCAATGAGAAAAAAAGAAAAAAAAAAACAATGTCCTGCCATCTCATCCTCACGCTTGGTCAATAACGCGTAGATACTAAGTTATTTCAAAGATGCACATAATGTTGTTAAGCTTATTAAGTCTAAGGGCTTTCACACCGGTTAAATTTTGTTTTTCTTGTACTAAATTTATGCGTACAAATGAAATCGATTTAGCTCTAAAAGTAAACTGAACAACTTTTAACACGAAAATAAAAACCACAACACACAGATAAACTCGATCCTCTGAGAGCTAAAAATGACCTAGAAGAAAGATTCCCGGGACAAAACTTCACACTCAAATCATTGATATTAAGACCTTTCAGTCCACAATCAGAATTAAGCGAAATGCATATGTTTCAAAACTTCAGCGATCTGGAGACATCTCCTGGATACACTTGACAGGACTAGAACAAGTTGTTCTTTGACACATGCATGATGAAAGCTGAGAAATGAAGAACAAGCGAGCCGGCAAGTAGCAACAGAAGAACCAAACAAAGGTTTTGTAAACATACCAGGCGCCGTAATTTACGTTATTAAATCGTGAGCAGAGGCGAAAGTCCTCAAAGGGAAAACAAAATAAACAGTCCGAGTTTTAGAAGTTTTCACGCTTAGTTATATTGCAAGCTTACGTACGATAATAAAAATCAAACATAGCTAACACCCGTATATTATATAAAGTTTTGTGTTAAAAAAAAAAACAGAACAAACCAGGAATGATGACAAATATAACCCAACTGGCATAACTGTTAAAATTCATACTGATCATGACGGCGTCAGAGCGAATAATATTGGAAGATAAATTTTTGTTCCAGTGTTTTACGGCTTTCCGAACTGCCTAGATGTAAGGTTTGCATATGGCAGTTTGCGGCCTTTCCTTACATCTAGGCAGTTCGTAAAGCTGTAAAACACTGGAACAAAAATTTATCTTCCAAATCGGCACCCTTAATCCCCACGGAATCAATGAGCGCTTTTCATTCAACTAATTTATTCCTGTTTCTGTCACCATATTCCCGCCAATGGCGTAGCTCCACTTTCTACATATAAACCCACACACAACCCACAATTCCTCCAATCGCTCTGACGAAGGGCTAATGCTCGAAACGTCAGCTTTTTTACTCTTTACGGTGGCTAATTTACGTTTTCAACCCAGTTGTTAACATTTGTTCTAACTAACTGAGCGAGTAAGATCGATCCATCTTGCCCAATCGGGATTGCCCGCGCAAGAAAAAATTGCTTTGAGAATTTACCATGTTTGTGATTTTAGGACAAGGTTGGCAAAGGAGTCTTCAAAAGCGGCAGATGACTGTCAGAACAAAGAGAAGATGAGCAAGTTTCATGAACCTTTTATTGTGCTATAAAAACCCGAAAATATCAAAGTTAGAACACAAAGTAATATGTCACTTTTGATTCTTTCTAAATCGATACATGTTTGATATATGATAAATCCTTGATTTACCAAGCTTGCTGGGTCAAGATGGCTGAATGTTATGCCCGTTTTGTTTTGTTTAGCCGTTTTTTTAGTCCTGTTTTTGCCTATTTATGCACCTTGAGCCATAAGAATGCAAAAAAAGAAAAAAAACTGTCACAGTGTCCTGCCATCTTGTCCTCACGCTTGGCTAATCACGCATATATACTTAGTTTTTTCAAAGATTCAAATAATGTTGTTCAAGCTTTTTCAAGTCTAAGGGCTTTCACACCGGTTAAATTTCGTTTTTCCTGTACAAAAATTATGCATACAAATGAAATCGATTCAGCTCCAAAACTGATCTGAAAAACTTTTACTACGAAAAAAAAGAAACCACAACGCACAGATAAATTCGATCCGCTGAGAGATAAAAATGACCTAAAAAAAAAGATTCCCGGGACAAAACTTCACACTCAAATCTTTGAAACTTTTCATTCCACAATCAGAATTTAGCTAAATGCATATGATTCAAAACTTCAGCGATCTAAAGACATCTCCTGGATACACTTGACAGGACTAGAACAAGTTGTTCTTTGACACATGCATGATCAAAGCTGAGAGAAAAAGAAGCATCATTGGACGGCTTACAGGCAATCCGCTTCCCTTTCCTGAAAAATGAGAAAGATTTAAAGATAGATGTAAAGATAACATACAAATAATTCCTTTTTATGGTTAGTTGACAAGATAGAGAAAAAACGTTGCTGTCTCTGAAAAATAAAACAAAGACAAAATTCAAAACACACCTACAAACAGAAAAACTCAAACATTGTCCTGCGGCGATCATGTCAAGTCATAAAACACATAGGTAGTTTACTAAGAGTTGAATGAGCTCTACTTTGCAAAGGAAAAGATGTAAAAGAACTTACGTGCCGCGTTACTAAACAAACTTAACAAAACTCATCTTTATGACACACCTGCTTTAAAAGAAGCTTTGAGTCCTTTATATACTGTGGTAGAGTTTCCGTCACTCACGAACTGAACCCAAACCATGTTCCCTTGACTCATTATCGAGTTCGGCTTTGTATTTCCACACAGGCGATTGGTCAGGATTGGACCAAAATAGCCATTTATTGTTTTAGGATCACCAGCCATGATGGATGCTTCACGGAACTCAACATAATCGTTTCTGCAGTCCTCGCTCTCCTCCAGTTCAAATGTGTCGAAGTCTATCTGTACCGTATGTCCCTCAGGGACGATTAAAAACCACTGTTCTGCGTAATCTGAGGGGTAGTTCTCTACGTCGACCTTTGGTGTACCAAACTCAATAGTTTCATCTTCGCTTGCATTCAGATAGTTTTTTTTACCCGCTGCAAAATAAAATAAGTCTATTACTACATAAAGAATAAAACGAAATCAATGAAGGTTAGATATTTGATAAAAACAAAGAAGCCAGAAAAGAACTCTACATTTGTAAGTTTGCTTTACCGCAATATGCTTAAGTCGGAATTTCAAGAAAATTCACCCCATTCAACACACCCTCAATCGCAATGAAGACTCGCTTCATTACATGTTCATTTACTTGCCCGACTAACTTAGCCATCAAAACTTGCTAGTAATACAGTTGATGAAGATTTAATAGTACCATTAAAATACATATGGTAGAGGGGCGAATTTAGATTTAGAGCGTAAATGTCGTGCGAAAATGGTAGATGACAACTTGCGGGTGGCTTTTGGGTTCTTCAACTCATCGAGTAAACAAAGAAAGGTTTGATGTGACTGAAGGAGTTAAAGATTGAGGATATGTCACCCTCTGAAAAATGAAAGTAGTCTGTTACCACATGAAAAATTAACAAAATCAATAAAGGTTATCAAGAGAATATGTCCGATTTTATTCGAAAAACTATACTGGTGTGTAACAACATTGATCGTCAGGTTCATACCCTATCAAAGCTAAACTAGTGGGTGACACACCCTGTAGTTGGAGGGTGGTGGTGGGTCCAAAGCAACAGGCTTAGGCGGGGCTGCAAATGTCTGCCGGCTCCAGCCATTGAAAATGGAGGGGAGCTTAACGCATAAACCAGTGACGGGACGTAGGGTGGGTCACTGACAGTCGTGTTTCCAAAGCGTAGGGCTAAGGAGGGTAAGTTTTAAACTCCTCGGCCTCAAATTATAGTTTGCCCGTGGGTTTAAAAGGGCTTCTTAGTTTATTTTGACTACGTACTGTTTTGTCTGACAGCCGCCACGCATATGCCTGGCAACTGTTCAGTCAGTGGGCTAAGACAGTGCCCACCTTCGAGCCAGCCTAGTCAATGAAAATGGAGGGTAGTTAACGTCAAGTTCGCACCTACATGCAGCCCAGTTACAGGCCCATTGAAGGGTGTATTGCAAATGGCTCTGTGTCTAAAGGTCAGCCGGGGTAAGGAGGGTAGGGTTTTGGACCCCTCGGTCAACTGGAGTTTTCTCTGAGACTGGAAAGGGCTTGTCTTACTCATCTTGGTGGCACTCTGTTTTGTAGAATTGGTAGTCAGGCTTGTGCCCTGTTACACCTCAGCCATTGGGCTAAGACTCCATGGCTATTAAAATTTTAACCTTTGGCCGTAAAAGCCATCGCCCCATTAAGACCATCTTTATATAGTTATTACCTACCTGTCCTGGACATGGCCATGAAGGTCAACTTAAATCCTGTGTAGTGTACAGTATCATCCGACACGAAGCGAAGATAGCCCGTCGATCCACCAAAATTCTCGGTAAAGTCAGTTCTCCAGTCGACGTTGAAGAGATATCCCTGTAAATAGTTGTAATTATGTCGTCCACATAATTTAGAATACCAGTGAAAATGCCTGTAGGTAGGTCCTCTTTGAAGATAGTCGCACTTACAATCAGAGCACATTTCTACGTCAATCCTGGGAAAAATATCAGAAACCGATATAACTTGTTTCCACTTTTTACCAACCTTAAGGACAAAGTTAAGATTGATCTACTGTAGAAGATAAATTACTTTGAATAAATTTACAATGTTTTTATTCTTTGTCCAACCATGTTGGGCCTTAAAAGTCTCGTTACAGGATTGATTGATTACTAATGTAATTGAAATGAATAAAGTGCAATTTTTATAGGTAATCACATGATTTCGAGTGCAATTTGGAATAAATAAGCACTCGACTAACAAAATTTCACGACCCCGTAGGGCGAGTGCAATTTGTGGTCTTTGAAAAAATTAACAAGTGCTTGTTTATTCCAAATTGCACGAGAAAAATCATGTGATTACTTGTTAATAATATACATGGAAAAATACGAGATGGCTTATCATAATTAAACATAAGCAAAGCGCGCGCATCTAGTGCAAAAAATAATTAATTCAAACCGTGCGTTCGGTCAAAACAACCGCGTAGGATCAAAACAATAATAGGCAATGATATCTTCACGTCTTTAAGGTGCAAGAAAGTTCAAAGTCCGACTAAACAGTTCAAGGAATAGTTCAGTCTGTGTCCGAAGCACTTTCGATGAAATGGAATCGTCGTTTCCGAGGTTTAACTATGACTGTTTTTAATTTCGGCGTTGGATCGCTCGAGCAGTGTTAAGCTAGGTCGGCTCGTAATTTTCGATTTCCTTGGCAATTCCCTTCTCTAAACACCACTTTTTCCAAACTGACAACCAAAAAGCAATGCTTTTATAGTGTTTTCGTTGTTTAAGCTGTTTTTCAGCTGCGGTGGCGAAAGAAAACCTACTGAAAACGCCGGCCATTGTTTCGCTCGCAAATTTTCAAATTTTCAAATTTTGTTGCGACATCCAAGGCTCGCATTTGATTGGCTATCTGTGAGTTTCTTTGATTATTGACCAATCAGAATGCCTGATTTGTTTCTTTCTTTGCACTGAATTAACTCTCTTCTGCACTGAATTACCTGAAAACTGCATTTATCTTAACCAATCAGAACTGAGTAATTTTTCCATGTATATTATTAGGTCTGAAATCATATGCATGATTTCAACATCGAACGGGTGCGCAGCGCGAGTTTCATTTGAAGTCACGAGTATGATTTCAAACCAAAATAGTACGACACAGAGTTCAATTACCGCTTTATTACATTCATTTTCAGTGAAATCGCAAAATTCAGTCGCTCAAATACAGGATTTTTCAGTTATTCTGCACAAATATCTTATTGATCCATTTCAAACTCTTTCCCCAGTGCGACGAACATTTGTTTTTCTCGATTCGAGGTGTACGCAACCACTGACCCCACGTAATGCGCATGCTCCCCGTGACGAATTTTCAAAATGGCGGACAGGCCAAAGAGGGAAATAAAAAAAACAGAGCGATTTTGCAATGAATACTCAACATACATCCCTCGTTAGAAAGGCGAATCCACGGAAGAAAGATACAAACTATATGATATTGAGATCGATACGATATTAAATCGACACCGAGGGCCCGTTTCCAACTTGCTAAGAAGTGCATTTAATTGCCTTCCGCCACGATTACTAGCTTTCTTGACAGCTTTCTGAAGACAGAATACTTTCTTTCCAAAGACTTCTGATATGCGGCTATTGATTATTACACCTCGTATACCTGATTGCTCAAAAAACTTTGTTTACGATTGTTGAAAGGACTGGTTCTTCGTCTCCGTCTTTACATTGCTTTGAAATAGTGTAGATTAGTAAGCTAAAACGAAAAATTAATCAGGGAAGTTTACGAAAAATCCAGCAAACAAGCTTTAAAAAGGCATTTATTTAGACTTCATACTTCAACGAACTTCACAAATCTTACTTGTTTATCTTGTAAGTAAACGATGGCAGATTAATTCCCGAAGCGCTTTCTGAGTTTCCCGATCCCTCTCCTTCTGCTTTCACGTTACAAAACAGGAAAAAATCGAAAGGAGGAAGATACAGCTGTTTTGAAACGCCATTTGACGAGGGTAAATCTGCTTTTTGTTCGACACTTTACATATCAAAACAAAGGAAATTTGTTACTCTTTCCGCTTCTGGCGGTACATTTTTAATTTGCGCCTGCATAAAAGAGATATCGCCCGAGACCCTGCGCTCGGTCGTATTTTGATCAAAAACGCCTTGTTAATTTCACGCAACCGCTCGGAGAAAATGTAAAAATGACGAGGGAAAAACTTTACCTTCAAGTTAGAAAATTAGCGAAATAGAAAGCCACAATATTATAGTTTAATATTTTAGAGGTACATTGAGTGCTTTTTCCGTACAGAATCCGCACGATGGTAAAACATTCGAAAATTACACTCGATTTGAGTGGGGTGTTGAAGTGGGCGTGGTCACTACATTCATGTTAAGACTATTTGTACCCCATGAGTTTGATATGAGTACCGAGCTGGTTTGTGAAAAGTTGCAAAAGTTGTCTTTCATTTTCCTGAAATTTGATTGGTTACTTTAAAGAAGCATTGAAACCTGATTGGTTGTTGTGGTCCAGTAAAGCTTTCTCGTTGACTGAGAAAAGGATGTGATTAAGAGCATAATAAGATACATGAAAAAATTACTCTGTTCTGATTAGTTAAGATAAATGCAGTTTTCAAGTAATTCGATGCAGAAGAGGGTTAATTCAGTGCAAAAGAAGTAACGAACCAGACTTAACAATTCCTTAAGCTGTTAAGCCGGACTTTAAACTTTATTGCGCCTTAAAGATTTTAAATATCATTGTATGTTATTGTTTTGATCGTACGCAGTTATTTTGACCAAACGCACAATGTCACTTGCAGGGTTTGAATAAATTATTTTTGCACTTGATGCGCGCGCCTTGCTTCTGCATAATTATGATAAGCCATCTCGTATTTTTTCATTTATTTTATAATACGTAATCACATGATTGTTCTCGTGCAATTTGGAATAAATAAGCACTTGCAAATGTTTTCAAAGACTAACGAAATTGCACGAGCCCGTAGGGTGAGTGCAATTTTGTGCAATTGCACTCGAAATCATGTGATTACCTATGCAAAAAAGGTGAAATTCGCGATTTAATCTGACCAATGAGAGGCAAGTAGTTTGCAAGGATCTCCAATGATTTCCAAATGAGTGTAATAAAGATAATTACAATTGTTTTGATGATTGAAAATTGTTTTAATTATCATCAACATAATTATCAGTCATTATCATAACATCAAAATAAAATACGAAAGGCAATATGGTAATTGCGCCGGTTACTTGAAGCGTTACGCCTCAATCATTTGCAGTATTATCAACCAAATACTTTTTTTTACTTTCGTCCTCTTTTTCTGATTTAGTACCGTAATCGGAAAGAAAAGAAAACCCACGCTGGTCGTGCAGCTTTCGAAAAAAAATGGCGTGGCTCCGGTATTTTTCAAATATTCTTTCTTTTACATATTCTATTTTTCAAATATGCTTTCTTTTACATATTCTATTTTTCAAATATTCTTTCTTTTACATATTCTATTTTTCAAATATTCTTTCTTTTACACATTCTATTTTTCAAATATTCTTTCAAGATGGTTGACATTGCTTTCGCTCTTTTTAAGAGCATGCAAGCTACAAGGTTGGAGATGCGCCGTCTAAAAAACCGCTTAATCCCGCCAGGAAATTTTGTTTAAATCCTCTTGGGAACTAATACTATATTTCAGAGGGTTTAAAGGTAATTTTCTGAGTTGTTATGTAATGACTTTGTGATTTTGCTTGTTTCTGCTTTTAGATGTCCATTTAGATGATGATGACGGCAGCATCAAATGAAATGGAACTGAAGTGTGAGCCTCAGAGTTTGCATGTAACTGACGAGTGTTATACATGGAAAACTTACCTGGAAAAATGATATCGAATGTCATCATAAGTGTCGGGAACCGTAATGCTCCAACATTTGGTCTCATTCTTACCATAAGTACCTGACTCAGGATATTCAAGCTCACCACTGGAAGCTGTGATGTTCGTTATGCCATTGGGACAAACTATTATGTAGACAAAGAGTTATTTTAAATGTTGATTTCGTATCTCACCCAAAATTGAGAGAGCCTATGAGAGATTATCCTGAAACGACGGAGTCACTCGAACTCTATAGTGGAGTGACAAGTTGTTAACTTCCCCGAGAAGCAGATTGTTTTTGTCACTGATTCATTTAAATCTGACTACCTCGAGCCCTTACTGACTCGTAGCTGATGCCAAATAGAGCTGGAGCGCACTGAATTCCCTCAGCGGAGCCTTATATCGAAGTAAAATCTGATTGCTTACCAAGCGAATAAAATTTGGGTTATGAATTAATGACCAAATAGTCCATACCTCCATACGAGATATTACATTCAGACTTCACGGTAAGTCGCATTTCGAGCACAAGTCAGGGCATTGTATATAGGGTAGGGAATAGGAAACCGAAAAAGGAAATGCAGAAGAACGAAAACAAGAGAAATCCCACACAAGCCCACGGCTCGTGTATCAGATGATATGCAATCTAGTAAAGAGCAAAGTAGGAAACTACTTGTCTCGTATTGTTCATTTCGTGATTCACTACGTATCCCGAATAAAATTATTGATTTATGAATAAAGGGGGTAAGTTTCTAAAGAAACTGTGATGCTGCTTCGGAGGGAGAGTATAATAGGGTAATTTAATCGCTCTGACGAAGGGCTGAAGCTCCAAACTGTAGCTTCTAAACTCTTTACGGCGGCCAATTTACGTTATTAAGTCAGTTGATAATACTAAATTACACAATTATTGATTGTTTGATTTATTGTTTTGAAAACTTTGGATGGCAGATTTTTAACTAACTGCTCGATGAAATCAGGGTAATTACCCAGTGTCGCCCATTTTCTGAACAAGGATGTTCTCTATTTTCTTAAAAATACTTCACTGTGCTTTATAGACATCCAAATTTTGACATATTTCCATCAGTCTAAACGACTCTGGTTGAGTGGGATTTCCAGTGCTAAATTTTCTTAAGTCTGTCAAGCAAAGTAAATGCAGCCTCAATTACTTTTTGAAGGTGTAGGTGCGAAGATGAAAACGTGAATGTGTGCATTGTATGCCCAGCATGCATAGAATTCTAGACATGATTTTACAAATCTAAATGTGAAAGTACGTCTGCAGGCGATTCCCCTTTTTAAATGAAATAGCTTAAGCCTTGAAATTTATCACTTCCTAAAGGCCTTATTTAGTATAGTTGACGTCGCGTTGTACATGCTTGAACTTTAGACTCGAGTGTCATGTTTGCTTTAACTTTGGACTCGCGATTAGCGCGAAAAACTTTTGAAGATCGTCGAACTGAGAGAAGGTATTAAGGTTGTAGTCGATATCTTTCTGCTATTAATTACAATCGCTAAAAACGTTCGTTGGGTTGAAGAACTGCTGATATTAGACTCAATAACAAGTATATATAAACTGAATACGTTTACAATGAATCTGCATTTTATACCGAAACAGTTCGGGTTTCAAACTTACTTGAATCGCATCGTCCTCTTTCAAAAAATAGTAATAAAACTGAAACAAGAAAAAATTCATTAGACATTAGACTAAAAAAATATGCAGGAGGGGGCCATATAGACTGGTTTTTACTTGTACTTTTTTTATATAATGCAGCAAGAACCCAGGCGAGAAGCAACAGAGAACAATGGGACATTATTTTCGCTTGTCCAGAAGAGATTAGGACGAGACAAGGTTTTAGTCGCTAAAGAGAAAAAATAAACTAAGAGGAAAAATAACCGGAGACGAAATAAAACACAAAATGAAATACAAATGAATTCGAAACGTAAATTTCCTTCCCCTAATGAAGGCAAGTTATTATTTAACCATTTTCATTAGGTGCAGCGCATGAGAAGCTCGGCTCTGCAAAGCAATCGCCCTGAGTTTAAGAAACGAGGACAGCGACGCCGTCGACAACGTTGGTTAAAAGATGAACTTATATTTTACCTACGAATCGCGCGATACTCTAAAGTCATTTAATTTGTTTCTCGCCGTAAAAACTATCACGAAACTGAACATGGAACACAGCGTTAAATTTGAAATAGAAATTCAAAAACTTAGCCATCGCCGTTCACGTTCTCCAGACAACACGAAGTTTGATCATTTCACGTTGTTGTTTTGCAGAGGACGCACAGAAATTTACGAAGATTTATAACACACGTGCACAGCCATTGTTGTGTTCACGAAATTTATTGAGGTTCCAGTTGCCGTTGCCGTCGTGGTTTCCTTAAACTCACTTACGTTTCGGCTGCGCTGTTTCTGGATTTTTGTTAAAACAAGCATTTCTTTCTCTTATTGATTTCATTCATGAATGGACCTTCGTGTATTTTGTATACTTATCAGACCCAGCAATTCAAAATTAAATAAGCCAAAAAGATGTAATTCACTTCAAATATTACCAGATTAACGAATGTACTCTTGAATCCTTGCTAAAGTTGAGCAGGATGTATGCTGTTTTGAACGATGTTTGCGCATCGCCCAGAAATCTATAAGCGAGCTGCCAGATCCTTAACACATTGTCACAAAGATTAACAGGCTAAAAGACATAGAGGAAAATCAAAATCAAAAGAACTTAACTTGAAAGCGGGAAAAATGATTCAGGCGTGTCGCTCTCTGAGAAATTAGGATGGTTAGATACATGAAGGATGAACAACTTACCAATGACAGAAGCAGCTGTAATGAGTTGGTTGGATTTGAATACTCCCATTCTTCCACTCCTTAAATTTCTTTCAGTCTGTAACAGTAAAATATCAGGATTCACTGAGCAGAGTACGACAAATGCCTGCGTGGTTGGTCAAATAACAGTAACCTTATCCAAATATGTTTAAATATGTTTGTCTGTAACCTTATTGATCGTAGAAATGACGTCCACGATGAACGTAACCACGCGGTGCAGTCAAGTGGTTTCCTTTCAAAGTTTAGAATATTTGCATATTTCTAATTTTGCAATTGTTTGCACGAGATAAATTTTTTCTCTGACATGTCGAGGGTTGTATCACATGGAACGTCATTTTTATTGTCTATAAACTTATTGACAATAGCTCTCGACCAATGGGAGGGAGAATTTCTACAGTTAGCCCCAAGTCGCACCAGAGCTTTATTTTTTGTTCCAGAAAAAAATTGTTAAAAAGTAGCGAAAAATAAGTGTGACCCCGTATTTGAAAAACTTGCCAAAGTTTTGCAAATCACCCAATTTTCGCTAATCTTCAAAGGAACCGATGTCCTACCTCGGAAGCTTCCAAATTTTGGCAAAACAAACATTCATGTTTTAGTCATTTAACCCTTGGTGTTGCACGGCAGTACGAAAAATTTTCCAACTGAAAATGAAGAGGATATTTTTGATAAAAAAAAGTTAGAAAATTAAGTCGCTTTATTACTCAAAGATTTTTTCATATTCCAGAGATTCACTGCTGGCAAGATACTCGTCCTAACTCGCAAATTTCTATATGACATTGCAAAGGTCACTGTAGCCGTAGGAAAATTTTCACACACACACGCACAAATAGTAAACAAGTCAGACAGTTATGAATACTCACAGACTCAGAGCTAATCGAAAAGTACAAGGTTTCGGTCATTTTATTAAACGCGAAATTCCAACAATTGCAAAAATCCTCATTCCGCACGTATCTCAAATTGATCGGCTGAACTGTTTACATGCGAAGAAATTTACTTGAAATTGTTGACTGATCGCTCTTTCCAAGATGCTTCACAACAATTGAACGCACTAGTGTTTAGGGTGCTGGGATACCGTGACAGCACCTTCGTGACAGCGCCGCTTTCATATAAATGTCTGTAATTCGTACCTGGGTCTGGTTACACTGGAAGCAGTGATGTGGGCAATACATGAATTCAAACAAAAATTCTCCTTCCGATGCAAGTATTGAAGCCAGCACAAGTAGCGCCAGTGTCAACCAAAGCGCAAAAGATCAGTAGGAAAATATTTATATCAAAGATCTTCAGCTGTCAGGACGACAACGCCGAGGAAGATATTGATTTTATTAACATGCCGTCGCAAATTCCGTTCTCAGACGATAATTTTTTTTTAGTTTTCACGTCGTTGTTTTCCCAGAGGACGGCTAAAAAATGCACAAAGGTTTATAACGCTCATCCTGTGCTATTTTTCTGAACATTAGATCTGTTGTTTTGCCACGTCCTCGTTTCCGCCGCCTTCGTAGTTTGCTAAAGGTCCCTTAAATTAACGAGGGTATCACTAATCTAGTAAATAACTTAACTGCTCAGTAGGGTGCAACGTAGAAGGAGATCGTAGTAGAGAGGATCGCTCCCCAACCCTGCTATCGCAACGGCTGCAATGAATGAGTTTTGAGCTGAGCATAACTCTATCGACTTCTCGTGACGATAAGATGATCTTTTAGAGCATGTGATTTCTATTCAATAGGAAACCTCCTATGTTTGTTTCTAAGATTAAAGGCCACAATGAAAATTACCAGACTTTGACATTATATGCTTTTGAGTTCATATAATTCTTCCGTTATAATCTAATCATTCATTAATTGTTTTTAACGAATCACTTCCACCTTTAGTCCATTATGTTTTGATTAAGAGATTCTTCGTGACAAACTAAATGGCTGAGCTAAAATAAAAAAATCGAGATTAAAACACATTCCCAATACTTCTGATACTGGCTTGACAAATGGCATTTACGACTGGGCTTCTTTCAAACTCTGAAAATTACTGCGATGTAAAGTTGACTCTAAACCCTTGCGGGTTGGCCGAATTTTTTTTGTTGAGTCGAAATCTTAAAAACGCGCGCGAATAGACGTGAACTCTCTAGCGGCCTTTGCGCAACAAACAGCTTCACCGGGAGATCTATTTCAACTCAACTTTGTTTACACTCACGTTTGAGTCCTTTATTTTTGGAAAGTACATGCAAAAAAAAAGAAAAAAAACTGTGACAATATCCTGCCATCTTCTCCTCACGCTTGGCCAAAAACGCTTATATACTAAATTATTTCAAAGATGCACATAATGTTGTTCAAGTTTTATTAAGTCTGAGGGTTTTCAAACCAATTAATTTTGTTTTTATTGTACTAAATTTATGCAGATGGAAAAAAAAACACAACACACAGATGAATTCAATCCGATGAGAGATAAAAATTATCTAAAAGAAAGATTCCTGGGACAAAACTTTACACTCAAAATCCTTGATATTGAAATTTTTAAGTCGACAATTAGAGTTTACCAAAATGCATATAATTCAAAACTTCAGCGAACAAAAGGCATCTCCTGGATACACTTGACAGGACTAGAACAAGTTGTTCTTTGACACATGCACGATCAAAGCTGAGAGAAAAAGAAGCACCATTGGACGGCTCACAGGTAATCCGCTTCCCTGTACTGAAAAAATGAGAAAGATTTAAAGATAGATGTAAACACAAAATACAAATCATTCCTTTTTATGGTTAGTTGACAAGATAGAGGAAAAACGTTTTTCTCTAAGAAAAAAACGAAGACAAAATTAAAAAACGAACAAAAAAAAAAAACTCAAACATAGTCCTGCCGCGATCATGTCAAGTCATAAAACACTACTAAAAGTTGAATGAGCTCCAATTCACCAAAGGAAAAGATGTAAAAGAACTTAAGTGCCGCGTTATTAAAAAAACTTAACAAAACTCATCTTCATGACACACCTGCTTTAAAAGAAGCTTTGAGTCCCTTGTACACTGTGATAGAGTTTCTGTCACTCACGAACTGAACCCAAACCATGTTCCCTTGACTCAGTATCGAGTTTGGCTTTACATTTCCACACAGACGATTGGTCAGGATTGGACCAAAATGGCCATATATTCTTTTAGGATCACCAACCATGATGGATGCTTCACGGAACTCAACATAATCATTTTTGCAATCCTCACTGTCTTCCAGTTCAAATATGTCAAAGTCTATCTGGACCTTCCGTCCCTCAGGGACAATTAAAATCCACTGTTCTGCGTAATTTGAGGGGTACTTCTCAATGTCGACTTTTGGTGTGCCAAACTCAATAGTTTCATCTTCGGTTGCATTCAGATAGTTTGTTTCTACCCGCTGCAAAATAAAAATAGTCTGTTACCACATGAAAAAATTAACGAAATCAATGAAGGTTATCAAGAGAATACGTCTGCTTTGATTTGAAAAAAAAGATGCCCGTGTGGAGCAACATTGATAGTCAGGTTCATACTCTATCACAGCTATGCTTGTAGGTGACACACCCTTTGGTTGGAGGGTGGTGGAGAGTCTAAAACAGCAGGCTTAGAAAGGGGTTGCAAATATCTGCCGGATCCATCCATTGTAAATGGAGTGGGAGCTTAATGTCTAGACCAGCGACGGCACGTAAGGTGGGTCAGTTCCAGTTGTGTGTCAAAAAACCCATGGGTAGGAAGGGTAGGTTTTTGACTCTTCAGCCTCAAATTGTATTTTGCCCGTGGGCTGAAGAGGGCTTCTTGGCTTATTTTGATAACGTACTTTTTTGCTTGATGGCCGTCAGGCTTATGCCTGGCAACTGCTCGGTCAGTGGGCTAAGACATTGCCCACCCTCGAGCCAGCCTAACCAATGGAAATGCAGGGTAACTAACGTCACGTTAGTACCTACATGCAGCCCAGTTAAAGGCCCTTTCAAGGGTGGGTTGCTAATGGCTCTGAGTCTAAAGGTCAGCCGGAGTAAGGAGGGCGGGGTCTTTTGACCCCACGGTCAACTAGAGTTTTCTCTGAGACTGGAAAGGGCTTGTCTTACTCATCTTGGTGGCACTCTGTTTTGCAAGATTGGTAGTCAGGCTTGTGCCCTGTTACACCTCAGCCATTGGGCTAGGACTCCGTGGCTGTTAGAATTTTAACCGTGGTCCGTGAAAGCCATCACCCCATTGAGAACCTCTTTGTAAAGTTACCCACCTGTCCTGGATGTGGCTATGAAGCTCATCCTAAATCCTGTGTAATGTACAGTATTATCCGATACGAAGCGAAGATAGACCGTCGATCCAGAAACAACGTTGGTAAATCCATCTGTCCAGTAGACGTTGAATACATATCCCTGTAAATAGCTGTAACTATATCGTCCACATGATTTAGAGAGCAGGTGCAAATAGTTGTAGGAATTTCCTTTTTGAAGATAGTCGCACTTACAATCAGAGCACATTTCCACGTCAATCCTGGGAAAAATATCACAAATCGATATGACTGGTTTTCAGTTCTTACCAATCTTAAGGACAACGTGGAGATTGATCTACTGGAGAAGATAACTTACTTTGAATATATTTAAACTGTTTTTATCCCTTGTCTGACCGTATTGGACCTTAAAAGTCCCGTTAGAGGACTGATTGATTACTGATATAATTGAGATAAATAAAGTGCAATTTGGTCTGAAATCATACACGTGATTTCAAATCGAACAGGTGCGCAGCGCGAGTTTCATTTGAAGTCACAAGTACGATTTCAGACAAAAATTGCACCACACAGAGTTCAATTACCACTTGATTACATCCATTTTGAAAACGCAAAAAAAAAACACTCAGGATTTTTCTGTTCTTCTGCACAAATATTTTATTGATTTAGTACTGAGCTAATTCGTGAAAAGTTGCAAAAGTTGTCTTTCATTTTCCTGAAATTTGATTGGTTACTTTAAAAAAATTTAAAAGCTAATTAGTTGTTGTGGTTTCGTAAAGCTTTCTCATTGGCTGGGAAAAAGATTTGATTTAGAGCAAAAAAAGGTTGCAATTCGTGATTTAATCGCATCGATGAGAGGCAAGCAGTTTGCATGGATCTCCACTGATTTTCAAATGAGTGTGATAAAGATAGTTATAATTATTCTGATAATGATTATAAACATAATTATCAGTCATTATCATAACATCAAAATAAAATGCGAAAGGCAATCTGGTAATTGCGCCGGTTACTTGAAGAGATACACGTCAATCATTTGCAGTTTTATCCACCAATTTTTTTTTACTCTTGTCCTCTTTTTCTGATTTGGTATAGTAATCGAAAGGAAAGAAACCCACGCTGGCTAGCAGCTTTCAAAAAAATTGACGTGGCTGGAGCATTTTTCAAGTTTGCTTTCGTCAAGATGGTTGACACTGCTTTCGCTCTTTTTAAGAGCATGCAAGCTACCAAGTTGGAGATGCACCATCTAAAAACTTCGCCTTATCCCGCCGGCAATCATGTTTAAATCCTCTCGGGAGCTAGTACCATATTTCACAGGGTTTAAAGGTAATTTTCTGAGTTGATATGAAATGACTTTGTGATTTTGTTTGTCTCTGCTTTTAGATGTCCATTAACATGATGATTGACGGCAGCATCAAATGAATTGGAAATGAAGTGTGAGCCTCAGAGGTTTGCATCTTACTGACGAGTATTATACACGGAAAACTTACCTGGAAAAACGATATCGAATGCCATAATAAGTTTCGGGAACCGTAATGCTCCAACATTTGGTCTCATTCTTACCATAAGTACCTGACTCAGGATATTCAAGCTCACCACTGGAGTCATGCCATTGGGACAAACTATTATGAATACAAAAAGTAAGTTTAAATGTTGACTTCATATCTCACCCAAAAATGAGAACCCATAGGAGATTATCCTGATACGAGGGAGTCACTCGAACTCTTTAGTGGAGTGGCAAGTCGCTAACTTCCCTCAATGAAATCAGGACAATTACCCTGTAAGGCCCATTTTCTGAACGACAATGTGCTCCATTTTCTTAAAAATATTCCACTGTACTTTGTAAACTTTCGCTGCATCATATTTAGAAGTGTCAAACCTTGAAGTGCCATCAGTCTTAACGATTCTGTTTTGATCCGTGTCACAGCAACACAAAGATTTACATCCTAAAGAATGCGAAGTACATGAAAATTAAAAGAAGCGCAAGCTACTTAAACTTGAATTGAAAGCGATAAAAGTAATGCCATTGCATCGCTTTTTGGACAACGCGGATGTTTTAATACGTGATGGATGAACTTCATCCATTTGACAACTTACCGATGATGGAAGCAACTGTAACCAGTTGGTTAGATGTGAATACTCCCATTCTTCGACACAGTTAAGTTCTCTTTGTTGATAACAGTAAAAGATCAGGGTTTACTGATGTTAGGATGACAAATTTCCGAACTCTTGGTAAAATTACAGCAACCTTCTTAGTGATATGTTTCCCCAACACAATTTCGTCTTGAATGGGGTCATGGTATTAGGTCAATTTTCTGCAACAAAGCTGCACAAATAGCACATAGTTCAAATGTTTTGAATTCGTACACGCAACATTCATTCGCTTTTCCTTCGATTATTGCCCTTGGTTAAATGGGAATTTTCGCATTGGTGAGTTTATAATCAGAGGGTAAAGACCAATTAAAAGAGAAACAGCGATGGCGTGGTGAATAAACTGCAGGGTGTTTTTGGCAGCTTTTAATGACAACAGCTTGATAGGAGCTTTACTTATGTAAACAGTTTGAGAGTCTATAACATACCACGGGATTAAAGTTGTAAATCAGCATCGGTATGAATGAGCACATGACCAATCATAACTAAGTAAACATCGGAACATTTTGCAGGAGTAGGGAACACTTCTCCGATTACGGATGTCTAACGCACGAAATCTGTAATTACACCGGCAAGGTTTCGTTAAGTTGTTCGCTATGAACATAAGCGAAAAAGTCTCCTCGAACAAACTTGGAAGAAAATGTAGTGAGTGAGCATTCGGTAGACTGACCTTGGAAGATTAAACATCTCTTGACGGGAAATGAACACAAGAACTTTCACGAGAATCTTACAAGTGAACAAAAACGGGCTCAATGCCTACGACTTAAGACATTTAACAGTTAATCTTCGAGCACGTGAACTAAAGTTGATATTCAACCTGCAAAGTTCGCCAATGGGGGTACTGTTCAACAACTGCACTCTAATAAAGTCAGGTAGCAAACAGTACACATCATCAAGGTTCCTTCCCCCTCCCCCCCCCCCCCCCCCCCCCCATTTCCTTTTCAAGGATATTTTGTTCAAGCTCCAATCATTCAGGTATGCAAACACGCGCAATTCCGAAGAATCTTCGCGAAATCTTTGCCTGTGTTATATACTCCTTCTGTCGGTCCTTCTCGCCTTAGGATCTTCAGACCGCTGATACATAAGGAAGGGATTTGGTTTGAGTTACTACATGAAAGGCGCACGGAACCCGCCCCCCTTTGATGACTTCCAGAAAGGTCTACGCGCTGTATCAAGAATTCATTCCAGTTACCAAGACGAACCTTGACAACTTGTCATATCTCTAACGACCGGGCTTGAGTGTACGTTTACTAAAATAAGAGACCCTAATTGTAAGTTTAATGTACGAAGTAAAAATAATGCTCACATTTAATTCTTTCTTTTATTACTTGTCTATGCATTTGTTTCTCAATTTTTAATGGAGTAACAAGTTTAAAACAAATTCCCTTTTGGACTGAAAAAGATGCACATAATGTTGTTCAAGCTTTTTCAAGTCTAAGGGCTTTCACACCGGTTAAATTTCGTTTTTCTTGTACTAAATCTAAGCATACAAATAAAATCAATTGAGTGGCTCTAAAACTGATCCGAAAAACTTTCTAACGCGAAAAAAAATAAAATAACACAAAAAATTCAATCTGCTGACAGCAAAAAATGACCTAAAAGAAAGATTCCCGGGACACAACTTCACACTCAAATCCTTGATATTAAAACTTTTCAGTCCACAATCAGAGTTTAGCTAAATGCATATGTTTCAAAACTTCGGCGATCTGAAGACGTCTCCTGGATACACTTGACAGGACTAGAACAAGTTATTCTTTGACACATGCATGATCAAAGCTGAGAGAAAAAGAAGCATCATTGGACGGCTTACAGGCAATCCGCTTCCCTGTACTGAAAAGATGAGAAAGATCGAAAGATAGATGTAAAGACAATGTACAAATCATTTATTTTCATGGTTAGTTGACTAGATAGAGGAAAAAGTTTGCTGTCTTAAAAAAACAAATTAAAATAAATTCAAAGCAAACAAACAAACACAAAAACTCAAACATATTGTCCTGCGGCGATCATGTCAAGTTGTAAAACGCTGAGATTATCTACTATGAGTTGAATGAGCTCTACTTTCCAAAAGAAAAGATGTAAAAGAACTACGTGCCGCGTTACTAAAGACAGACGTAAAAAAATCTCATCGATATAACACACCTGCTTTAAAAGAAGCTTGGAATCCCTTGTTTACAGTAGTGGAGTTTCTGTCACTCATGAACTGAACCCAAACCATGTTCCCTTGACTCAGTATCGAGTTTGGCTTTGTATTTCCACACAGGCGTCCTGTCAGGATTGGACCAAAATGGCCATATATTCTTTTAGGATCACCAACTATGATAGATGCTTCACGGAACTCAACATAATCGTTTCTGCAGCCCTCACTGTCTTCCAGTTCAAAATGTCGAATTCTATTTGGACCTTGCGTCCCTCAGGGACGATTAAAATCCACTGTTCTGCGTAATTTGAGGGGTAGTTCTCAACGTCGACCTTTGGTGTGCCAAACTCAATAGTTTCATCTTCGGTTGCATTCAGATAGTTTTCTTTACCCTCTACAAAATGAAAGTAGTCTGTTACCACACGAGGATTTAACGAAATCAGTAAAGGTTACATATTTGATGAAAACAAAGTATTTTTCAGCAATATTCTTAAAACAGAATCCTTGAAAATTTGCCCCATTCAACACGCCCTCAGTTTCAATGAAGACTCGCTCATGTTTATTTACTTGCTGACTAACTTATCCATCAGATCTTGCTAGTAATAAAATGGATGAAGATTATATAGTACATTACCATTAGAATGCATATGGTAGAGGGGCGAGTCTTCCAGGGACTAGGGACGTGTGATTTGCATCATCCCAAGTGACATTTTGTCGTTGTATAATAGTTTATCAGGAAAGTTACTCCAAGGCTTTTCTTTCACTACCTCAATATCAAAATATTTTATGTTTTTCCTGCTTTCTTGTTGGATGGATGACCTTTTGTTCGTTTTCTCGTTTTTTGTTTGCTCGGCTATTACCTACCTCTCCTGGACGCGGCTATAAAGGTAACATTAAATCCTGTGTAATGTACTGTGTCATCCGACACGAAACGAAGGTAGATCGTTGGTGCAGAAATATCCTCAAAAATTCCCGCTTCCCAATCGACGTTGAAGGCATATCCCTGTAAGTAGTTGTAACTATATCGTCCACAAAATTTTCGCGGGTGTAAATCATTGTAGGAAGACCTCATTTGAAGAGAGTCACATTTACATTCAGAGCACATTTCTACGTCAAGCCTGGGAAAAAATATCACAAACTTATATCATTGGCTTTCATTTCTTGCCAACAACAAAGTGAAGATTAATGTCCTGGAGAGGACAAATCTATACTTTGATTACTTTGCACCAAGAGATTATTAACTCTTGTTTGAATATATTTACTTACAGGACTGATTTTATGAGTTGTTATGGAATGTTTTTGTGAAATCGAGATGAAGTCGAGGGTAAATCTGAGCCGCAGAGGTTTGCATGTTACCAAGAGATAGTAAAATTATCATGGGTCACGGGGAAAACGTCTCAGTTTTTTATCTCTTGATGTTACTGTAGAGCGTCGACACAGGAAACATACCTTGAAAAACGATATATGATGTAGTCAGAGGTGTCTGGTACTTTAATTCGCCAACATTTGGTCTCATTCACACCATAATTACCTGACTCAGGGTACACAAGCGTTCTTATGGAGCCTATGATGTTCGTTATTCCATTGGGACAAACTATTGGGAGAAAAAAATAGTAAGCGTAAATGCTGACTTCATTCCCATCTAAATTGTCTTTCACTAATCTTCAGTATATGTTGACTAAGCATGGATAGCCTGAGTTGAATTTCGTTTGCGAATTAGCCATTTCAGTTGTAACTTTTTAAAAACTTTTTCTGTTTGGTTGCAAATTCGGTATTGTTTACAATGTGGCAACAGTAGTAGAACTTGCACTATATTTTACTTTGGGAGAAAAACTCCTAGGATGGATTCTCCTCAATCGAACTTGTCCTTCATTAAGTGGCAAGTTGCTAATTTTCCCAAAATGGAGATTATTTGCAAAATATCACTGATGCATTCGAATCCGAATGACTCGAACCCTCGCTGACTCGAACTAGGGTGAACTAGGGCCAGAGCGGAAATTCCTCAGCGAAGCCCTATACTTAAGGAAATCTGTTATCTTATTAATCGAATGAAAATTTGGTTTTGTAGTCATGACTAAAGCTCGTTCCGTCTGTCCATAACTCCACTCAAAAAACTTACATTCCGTCTGCGCGATAAACTGCACTGTGGGCTCAGGTCAAGGCATTACACATTTGGGCGAGTAAATAGGAAGCCAAGAAAAGAGAATGCATATGTACGAGAACAGGAGAAATCCTGCGCAAGCTCGGCATTACTTGTCTCGTTTGTCATCAAGTTATAAAGTTGCCCGGTGAAGAACAAAGCTGGAAAACGTGGGTCTCATATTGTCAGCTTCAGTTTCATGAACCACTTTATGTCCCAAATATAATTATTGACTCTTTTGATTTACTGCAATGAAAACTTTGCGAATGGCGGATCTTTAAATGACGGCTCCATGTTAGCCCTATTTCTGAAAATCGATGTACTCCATTTTCTTAGGAAACTTCATCACTATACCGTGCAAATTTTGGCAGCATTGTTATGAGAAGTGTAAGACCTTAAACAGAAATCAAATTTAAAAATATTTCTCTTAGTCTAACCGACTCTGTTTGAGTGACATCTCAAATGCTAAAATTTCGTGTGACTGTCAGCAAAGGAGACACAAGCTCAATTCCATTGTGTAGGTGAGGGTGCAAAGATGAAATTTGAATGCGTGTATTGTACGCCCAGCAAGCACAGAATTTTAAGCATTATTTTTTTTACTTCAAATGTAGATGGTAAAGCACATGTGCAGGTGATTTCAGTTTTTTAATTAAATAGTTTAAGCCTTGAAATTTAATATTATGCTATCAGCTGAATAAATTTATTCTGAATTAGTAGATTATACAGCAATTTATGGGTTTGTTGTCTTTGAAACTCACTTGAATCGCAGTGTCCTTTGTTGAAGAAGAATAATGTTAAAACTGAAAAAAAAATCCATGAGTTACTAGGATGAACTGGAGAAGGTAAGAGGTGGACTGCTTTCCATCTGTTCGTTTTTATGACACAGCAACAACATAGGAGAGAAGCAAGAGATAACAATGGGACATATTTCCTCCTGACGAGAAGGGGTTGGGACGAGACAGGATTTTGACCGCGAGATGAAATGAAATCCAAGATGAAACAGAAATAAATTCGAAACTTAAAGTTCTTTGCATTACAAACATTTTCATTAGGCGCGGAGCTTAAAAAGGTCGGCGTCTACAAAATAATCACCACAAAGCCGTAATTTCTAGGCTACCCTGTGTCTCGATGTTTCAAAATCAAGCTCCCCTTTCTCTCATTGATGTCATCAGACGATGAACTTTCACGCATTAGATTCGGTTTATTATGTTCAGCTTATCAAAATAAAATGAGCAAAACAATTGTATTTAATATTATCAGAATTACGAATAGACTCCCTGCCAAGCTAAACGCAGTCTTGCAAGCTTGAGAAGGCGTTCGTCAGGTTAATCTGTAAACGAGCTGTTTGATCTGTGTCACAGCAACATAAAGATTTACATCCTAAAGAATGTGAAGTAAATTAAACTCAAAAGAAGTGTAAGCTACTTAAACTTAAATTGCAAGCAAAAAAAGTGATGCAATTGCATCGCCTTTTCGAACAACGCGGATGTCTGACAACTTACCAAGGATGGAAGCAGCTGTAAACAGCTGGTTAGATGTGAATACACCCATTCTTCGACACAGTTAAGTTCTTTTTGTCGATAACGGTAAAAGATCAGGGTATACTGAGGTTAGAATAATAAATGACCGCACTTTTGGTAAAATTATAGCAACCCTTTTATACCTGATATGTTTCCCAACACAATTTCGTATTGAAGGGTCACGGTATTAGATCAGTTTGCTGTAACAAAGCTGTACAAATCGCGCATAGTTCAAATGTTTGGATTCGCACACATAACATTCGTTCCCTTTTCCTTTGATAATTGCCTCAGGTTAGAAGGCAATTTTCGCATCGGTGAGTTTATAATCAGAAAGTCCAATTCAAAGAGAAACACCTATGGTGTACGAGATGAATGAAATGCAGAGTTTTTTGGCACCTTATAATCACAACATAATAATAATAAGATCTTTTGACAGGGAGCCCACGTCACAAAGTGTGGTTTTCAGTGAGGCCCTGCATAAATCTAACGTAAGGATAACAGAAAATATAAATATGGTTATCAAGAATAGGATAAAAGGGTATAATCAATAGAAGAGACTACATGTTCTTAACAAGACGTCTAAAAACTGAAAAATCGGAAATGTTCCTAATGCCGTCTGGGAGAGCGTTCCAGTCATCTACTGCATGACAAACAAACCGATGCTGACCCCATGTACGCTTTGATTGTGGTTTACAAATGTTGTTATTAAAACGAGTGTTATAATCATGTATATCTTTAAAATGATTAAAATTAAAATTCCAATCAATTAGTCCATTCAAGGACTTAAAACCAAAAATAGACGATGTGATCTTCGCCTTTTTTTCCAATGTATCCCAACCAAGTAGATCAAGAGCTTCTGTTGCTGATGAATGCTTTGGCATATCTAAAATTAATTTAGCTGCTTTATTCTGGAGTAATTGGATCTTGTTCATCAGAGTGGTGTTGGATTTATCCCCCCAAGTCACATCTGCATAATCAAGGATTGGCAGCACCATGGCTTTTACAAAGAGTTCCCTTGTATTTCTTGGCAGAAGATGTTTTATTCTCTGTAAAACGCCAAGCCTCTGAGACACTTTGGTCTTAATGTAATCCACATGATCAGTCCAAGACAGATTCTCATTGATAATCACGCCCAGATACTTGAACGAATTGACTCTGTCTAACTCCTTCTCCTTGATTATTAATGTGAATTCTTCTAAGGTGTTAAGTTTCCTTGGACCGCCAATGAGCATGAATTTAGACTTCGAGATATTTAGTGTAAGTTTATGCTCGTAGAGCCACTGAGCTAGCCTGTCTAGATCCTGATTCAACATGGTCTGTAGGTCACGGGCTGATTGAGAAGAGCAGTAGATAGCAGTGTCATCAGCGAATAAGGTGACCGTAGTGTTCCGAAGGACCTTGGGTAGTTCGTTGATGTAAATGGCAAATAGTAAAGGACCGAGAATAGATCCCTGAGGAACACCAACGGAAACCTTCCGCGCAGGAGAAGAGGCTTGACCAATCACAGTCTTCTGGTAACGAGAGGATAGGTAGGAATGGAACCACTCCAGATTCTTGCTGCGTAATCCTAGAGATTTGAGCTTCCCGAGTAAAATGACATGGTCAACGGTGTCGAAGGCCTTCTTCAGATCAATAAAAACTACACCATTTACTAAACCTTTATCCATATTACTTAGCACTTCATCGGTAAACTGCGTTAGAGCTAAAGCGGTAGATCTTGCACGTCTAAAGCCAAACTGGTTCACAGCAAGCAGATTGTTGGAGTCAAGGTAGCCGTAAAGTTGAGAATGAACAGCTCTCTCAATTACTTTACTGACCGTGGGCAGGACAGAAATGGGACGATAGTTATCTTTATCGGACTTATCACCTTCTTTGAAAAGAGCAGTCACTTTCGCACATTTCCAAGATGATGGGAATTGACCCTTCTCAAAAGAGAGGTTTATGATATCCCGCAGAGGTGAAGCAAGTACATTTGCTGAGTCACGGAGTAAACGTGCACTAATGCTATCTAGTCCTACCGCTTTATTGGTTTTCATTAGGCGCAGCTGCTTTTCAACAAAGGCTGACGTCACATACTTGAGAGAGAACGATAAGGTAGGAACTGCATCGTACTGAGTCGGTTTTAAACCACGAAAGGCCTTTGCAAGGCTCTTGCCGATGCTTGAAAAGTGATTGTTTAGAGTTTCTGCAATGCCTTTGGGGTCAGTCTGCAATTTTCCATGACCAAAAACTGCATTAATTTCATTGTGGTTAGAGGGAAGTGTCTCTTTAATTGCTTTCCACATCTTGGAGCTGTCACCTTTAGCATCTTCTATCAGCCGACAATAATATTTCGATTTCAGCTTCTTTTCCTCGCTATTCGCACAGTTCCTCGAGTTCTTACACTTCTGAGCCTGTTTCCAGTGGTAATCTCGATCACTCCGAATTTCGAGGAGTTTGTTCGTAACCCACGGTGTCTTTGTCCCCTTCACACGCTTTGATTTTATCGGAGCGTGGTCGTTTGCAATGCTATTGAAAAGACCTTCCCAGAGGAACACGGCATCATCAACATCATTAGCACTTTCGATTATGCTCCAAGGTAAGTTGCTGAGATCACGCAAGAATGCTTCTTTGTTGTAGTTTTTAAAACAACGATACTCGAGCAACTTTGGTGGAAGTTTCTTTACACCTCCCTAAACAAGTTTCCATCATCAAAAAGCCTTTCGGGTACAGATGAGATGTTTAGAGATGTTGCAAATAACAATACTAGGACAAGAGACGCGCTACACCGAGAGAGCCAACCGATCGCCATTGTTCTCACTCGCGGTTCCAACGGCTGGAAGTACTTAATATATAAACAATTTGACAGTCTAGAACATTCCACAGTGTCAGTATGAATGAGCACACGACCAATCATAACTAGGTAAGCAACGGAACATTCTGTAGTATTCTATAAAACACTTCTCCGGGTACAGATGTCTAACACACAAAATATTTAATTACACTGGCAAGGTTTAGTTAAGTTGTTCTATGAACAAAAGTGAAAAAGTCTTGTCGAACAAACTTGGGAAGAAAACTTAACGAGGCCATGATACTTTCTTTCGAGCCCTCCGCAATATTCCAAACAAGTGTCCTTGTCTTGTCCTCTACGTTAGCAAATTTCGTCCGCATTGTAAACATAACGAGATCAAAGAACGGATGCAAGTGGACATCAATTAGTTTTCAATTGATCGAATTTGTCTGTTTTTTAAGACCCCGTCCAATTTCTTGAAAAAAAAAAAATGGAAACAGAGCTTGCGTCGCTTGTTGTTACTCTTTACCGAAAGCTATCTTTGAGTCTTCACCTCCCTTTCAGTTTTACTATGATCTTTGTGTCTGAACCAACTATTACTGCTTCTGTTTCTGCTCGTTTCCACCGAAGCCGACTTCAACCTGAATAGTAAACTCAAAATAAGCGACCCTTATAGTAAGTTCAATGTACGAAGTAAAAATAATGCTCACATGCAATTACTTCTTTCTTTTATTACTTGTCTATGCATTTGTTTCTCTATTTTTAATGGAGTAACAAGTTTTAAGCAAGTTCCTTTTTTTACTGAAAAAAAAAATAGAAAAAATACTGAGAGGAACCTCATCTACCTTAAGCTTACGAGCTAAAAATTTTAATTCTAGTTAAAAACCAGTTTTGAATTTCATTCCTGACTCTTCAAGACGTTCGTAACAAAGCTTATTTAGCTCTTTTTTCTGACCTTCTCAGGAAATCAATAAACTGGCCAACCTACGAGGACTAAATTCAGAGACTTTTATGTTTAATTCTATACGGTAGTCATGCAACACAAAGACTATTTTAAAGGCCATATTTTGAAATAGGGTGACCTGACAAGGCAAGATGGAACACAGGAGCTGTCTATGAATGACCTTTGGGCTACTGGGATTGGAAATTGGAAACAAAACAAAAGAATGGGGCTGGGATCGACATAAAAAAGCCTAAAAGTTTAATATAGGCAAAGTCTGGGTGAGGAAATGGAATTTAGAACTCACCCCTTTTTTTAAGGACCTTCCTTTCATCGTGCCTGAGCGGAATTGTGTAAGTTTTTAAAACTAGACACATTTAGTTACCTCTTTCTGAGCGATACTGGGATTGTAAATTGGAAACGAAACAAAATAATGGGACTGGGATCGACATAAAAAAAACCTAGAAGTTTAATATAGGCAGTCTAAGTGAGGAAATAGAATTTAGAACTCACCCCCTTTTTTTAAGGACCTTCGTTTCATCGTGCCTGACCAGAATTGTGTTAGTTTTTAAAACTAGACACATTTAGCAACCTCTTTCTGAGCGAAAGTTCCCGCTGTCGGCTCAAAAAGGGTCACATTTTTCAAAACTCAAAAAGTCTTGTTACAGTCTAAGGCACCTCTGTTTCGAGGCTGCAAGTGATACCGCATCTAATTCTGTTTAATCGTTACTTTCTACTTTCTAGGGTTATCACTACTTGCTCTCGGATCCACATAGGGCGGCTATCCGCTTGCTTTTCGACGTCGTCCTTCTCGTTTTAGATCATCATGACAACCACAGCCAACAGTAAACAAACGAGGAAACTGCTTCCCGCAGTCAGGTCCCCAGCGCTTGGATCAATGGAGCTTGGAGTTGTTGGTTTCAATGATTCGTCTATCAAACAGGATGTTTTAATGTAACATATAATTTTTTCCTTAGCACAATTTAACATATAATTTACGCAAGTGAAGCGTAAATGTGTAAAAGTGTAAGTCAGTTTACTTTTGAATGACCGTTTCACAGTCAAGTACTGATTCCGTGACAGAAGATGCAAAACTTCAAACAAACTGGAATAAATATCTTCACGTTTCAATCTGACTTAAATTTTGTTAAACAAGAAGTTGTTAAGCGCGGCTAACAGAGGCTTTCACCAGAATCTAAAAGAAATGAGACATACCATAAACAGTATAAAGCGTTTGCATTCCACCGACCATGTGATCGTTCACGTGACAATGAAGCAACCAGACCCCTACGCTATCAGGAATCATCTCCACGGTAGCAAAGACTCCTGGGAAGAGATCGTAAACATCTTCGCGGTGATAGCCGACATGTTTCTGTTGAAAAATATTTGAATTGGTAAAATTTGAAGAAATGTTCGTAAGAAGAAGAGTTTCCTTAGAAAAGTGCCCTCTTCCAAAAATTTACATGCCAATTGATGAACAAGGGGACTATTCAAAGGCTAAATTTGCTTACGAGTCAAACACGTTTTTCATCTGTCACGTGAGTGCAGGGTTATCAGTAACGTTTTCCATAAGTGGCTGCAGATGGTGTAATACGCGGCTGTTCCCAGAAAAGGTGCCGTGAGGCCCCTTTCCTATATGGAGGTTTGGAAGCGTGCTCCCCAAGAAAAGTCGGAAACCTCGGGAATGTAATTTCTAGTATTGTGGGTATAAAAAAAGAGTGCTGGTTGCTCAACAGGTGGTAGTAAGAGGTCTTAAGATGGTAGAAATCTGGTAACCAGATTTAGTTGAAAACTCTGGTGTGGGTCAGAGAAGAAGGACTAAATCTGAGTTCCCCACTAATGCGGATGAGCTCTACTTTACAATTTTTTTTCTAGCAAGAGCCGTTGAAGGAAACAGCACAGAAATTTTACTTAGCAAGAGAACCTGTACGTCAAAACTTGTTAGAGCTATAGTTGGTGAAGCGCACCGGTTATGGAACCCAGCAGAATTCTTTGCTGTCTTTGTCAGGTGTTTTGGAATTGATCGCGCAAAATATTCGATAGCATTCCAATCATGTTAAAATGGCTGAGAAATGGAAACATCAAATTGATTAACTAATTTCTAATTGTATGAATGAACACAAAAACGAAAAGGTCTAGAGGCTACCGACATAAACCTCAACACCGTTGTGATTTTGGTTTTCGCTTGCAATTGCCAGAACCATTCAGCTCTATAAACCATGCTTAGACCTACATTTCAACAAGAATATAGGTGGCTACTATTATCTTTAGGCCAGGATATATCAGTTATTTTGGTATAAATTTCATGGTCACTTACACGTAAAAATGTTTGACCGTGGAAATGGACTGTATGCATGTCGACCTCGTTACCCATACCAAGTAGGTACCAGTCCACTTTCTCATTCTGATACATCTTAAAACCGTCCGCATTGGCAAACACAAAACCATTCACCCCGTGCATCTTGTTACTCTCCTGGAAATCCTCGTCATCTTTGAGCTGGTCTTTGTTTCCGGGACTCTTGCAATATGTGTCAATGTTTTCGTCCAAATACCAACTCTCGTTTTCATCAAGGACGGTGAACAACAACGCAAACTCGTGATCTACATCGCTTCTGGAATTTGTTGCTGTTAACGTGTCCTGAATTTTTTTTTCCCAAAAAAACAATAGTCGTTTGATCAAAGATAAAACTGAGTGGAATTTCCCCCTTGTTACCTAAACACTAGCAAAGATATGACCTGAAGAATGAATGATACGCCCCTATTTGAGAAAGAAAACATGGTCCACTAAGAGAGGCCTTCGAGGTCTTAATGACCCGACAGCTCAGTAGTTCAGTTTGTGAAGTGTTGTACCGTTTGCACGCTACTTGCCCAAACATCAGCAGCGAATACAAAATAACTCAAGGACAAATTTGAACGAAAATGCATGTACATAGATAAGTTGGGCCAAAAGTTGGCGCGATTCTGTAGATTTGCATACCATTTTAACCCCTCACCACCCCCCCTCCTTTCCGTCCCTTTTTTTTAAAGATTGACAGAGTTCTATGCGAAGAATAATGGCCAAACTTACCTTTTTGCATATGACCAGCGGTCCCACCAATCCACTGTTTGTGTCCTTTATAGGATCGACGTCAGAGTAATAAGCCCACGTGACACAGGTTGGGCCATTTGGTCCAGGACCCGCGCGTTCAGGAACTTGCCATTTGTAGATGAAGATTTTTCCGGGATTAATTGCGTTGTCGATTTTGTCACCTGGTGATGTCTCATCATCATAATTTGAACCCTCGTTTTTTTTCCTGCGAGGTTCATGAAAGAAATTAAATTTTCATGCCATCTGATTTCTCAGTTACCCTAAAGAAAATAATCCGGTCAAGGCTAAAACCCAGGACTTCTCGAACTGAAATGCGGCGTACTAATACTACTTCCCCTCAACAACTTCATCACAAGCTAGTGTTTTGACTTACGTGTAATACAGTCCATGTGGATGCATGGAGAACTTTCTGCTGGCCATATTCTTAAAGGTCACCTCGATTGTGTCTCCAACTTCGGCGTGTAACATGGGACCCAGTACCCCGAGGTGCTTCTCAGCCTCGGTCCTCGTTTTCTGTCGGGTAAACTGGGCACTGGTGTATTCGCGGTATAAAACTTTCTTGTACTTACGGCCAATTCGATTGGCGCTATTGACAGTGAATGTAGCAGCCTCTCTGTGGACAAAGGGAGAAAAACATATGGCCATACAAAACACTGCACATAGGAGTTATATAAAACTGAAATATAGAAAAACCACCTATTTTCACGTTCAATCTCCTCTTTGTATTTAACCTCCTAACCCCACAGATTCGTTTAGTTTTTCCTCATTTAAGCAGCGATAAATTGGGCGGTGTTACATGAATCCATTGGCATTCGCTAGATGTTTTAAGTATCTAATTTCATCACCTCTTTGCTGGTGAATATACTGAATTTGCGGGGAGAAGATGAATGTTAATCGCTCTGGGAGTTTCAGGATATACACTGAACTGATATGATAAAATACGTGTCATGAGATCAAATATCAGTTGTTTACCTTTTTAACGGTGTTTTGGATAGAAAGATACTCTATAAGGCACAAGCTATCAAACTAAAATAAAACTGTGCTTCTAAACTTAACCTATAAAATCAAAGTGAGCAGTCAGGATAGAAATTGGCGAAAGACCCTTGGTCATATTTTGAAGTGATTTCGACCTTGTTAAAAAAAATCCATTTCTAGAAATAAGTTTAAAAAATCAGAACAAAAAGAGGTCACAATTAAAAAGCGGATTGAATGCGTGAAGTTGCGCTCATTTGTTTCCTCGAAAGGAGGGTTAAATGATTACTGTGTTGCGTGACAAGCGCAACAGATAACACTGTACAGTGCACTACATGACACTGTATACTAACTCGCTATCTTGCAGCGGTTTCCCTTCCAACACGTCTCTTCCAGTGGGCGCGTAGTCCCACTCCTCCTCAACTGCTGCCACGTAGTATCGTCGAACAGTCCCAGGAGGCTTTGTGGTGGACACTTTACCGCAAGGTTTCACCTTATATTTCGCCTGCATGCCAGCTGAATAGTGGTCGTTGGTCCTACAAACTATCGCCCATTCTCCTGGGTTATCAGGAGTCATTTGTAGTGTAGAAAACACCCCTTGAAAAAGAACAAAAAAACTAGCACCATACCCCGGAAAACCTCTGGTTTCTTTTCCAGATTGAGTAAAATCTGGTAGGAACTGACAACGGCTTCACTGGTAATACAACTATATTTGGTCGCGAACCCTTTCAAATTTGTGAATATCGTTTCCCATTTAAACATAAAATCCGATCTACTAAGTTAAAATAGGTTTGGTAACTTTCTCTCATCCTTCCACCGCCTCGATTAGTATTATGCGGAGAAAAGTATTTTTCAATTGGTGGAAATCAATTCCTTTTTTTAATTTATTTCATTCTGACTGTTGTTGATTGTTTCCAAAATTCTCCGCAGAGTAAAAGAAAGTACGTCGACTAGTGCATAAACGAGAGGAGATTGGTGAAGACCTCTTACGACCTCTCCCCTCAGTTCCATTCTTCGCCCCACATATATTTTGCTGGGGGCAAAAACTAACCGATACTCCGCGGGGGGTGGGTGGGGTATAACAAAGAAATCTGCTCACGTCGAGGTGTAGCAAGGTTAAAACCAAACATATAGAGAAGGCACCTAAATTGCAGATAGAAACCAATTTCACAAGTAAACACCGATTTATCACAGTTTGGTTTCATCGTTTTCCGTCCCACTGCAGAAAATTAAACTAAAAAAAATTAGGCGAGCATCGCTTTCCTTCTTTCTCTCTGCTTCATTACCTGGCAGGAGGCTGACTGTATCCTTCATCTGACCGTTTTCAGAAAAAGTGTTTCCGTAAAAGTAAGCTGTGTGCATGTCTACTTCATTTCCGAGGCCGATCAAGTGCCAAGACACTTTTTCCCCAAGACAGACTTCTAGATCAGGAAGGTTAGCGTATAGATATCCATTGATACCATGCATCAGGTTGCTTTCAAGGTAATCTTCATCCTCTGCAAGAGCCAAGCAGAATATATAATTTGAGATGAGGAATTCCGACGAGCCACATTTAAAAGCTATCAAATTCGCGCAGAAAAGCTGCATGAATTCATGTCCGTCTACTTCTCTGCCTCATTGCTAGTCTGACTGCTGTTTTTTCCTCCCTTTTTGACTGCCATGTTATTTCTGTCTATCTGTGAGTCTGTCTGCTTGTATGTATGGTTCTCTCTGCAGTGTCTGTCTTATTGTTGGTGCGTATTCTACACAAAGAACCGGGAAGCCTTTCTAGTCTGAGAAGGGCAGACTTTGAGAAAGATCTAAAAGATTGTAACTTGATCTTTGTTATTGAATTTTGCGCTGCCATTTTGTTCATGGAATAGGAAGTCTAAAAGCTGCGAACTGCGAAAAGAACGACAACAAAAGAAAATAAAAAGAATCACTTATGTCCGATGTAATGAACGCTAAGACCACTGATATCGATCGGGATCCTAGCCGATTACCGACGATCTCTGCGGATAACTAAAGATTAAAAGCGAACACAACCAGCGATTGACCATCATGGTCGATATTGTCAATCAAGGTCGATGACAGAAGACAACTGACGTCATTGACGATCAAAGTCGATTAGTAACGAGCTCTGACGATCACTGACGATTAGTAACGAGCTCTGACGATCAAAGTCGATTAGTAACGAGCTCTGACGATCACTGACGATTCTCGGTGATCCTCTGACTATAATATTTTCCGTACCATCGTCAATTGTACCAGAATTATTCGCTCTCTTCTTGTTCTCCTCGTGATACCAAGACACGCTTTCGTCGGTTACAGTAAACAGCAGCACGAATTCATGGTCGATGTTCTCTTGTGTGTTGTCGTCCTTCAATGATCCCTTTTTACAAGTCAGCAGTGGACCAAAAAGACCTTGAAAGCAACAACAAATCAATATTTACTCACAAATCAAAAATGTTTTCAAGAGTCTAATTCCATGTGATCCCTGAAGATTAACTAATTTATAATTAAGTATTATCAATTGAGTTGATAGCGTAAAAAAGTAATTGAAGTCGCATCTACTTTGCTTGACAGACATAAGAAAATTTAGCATTCGAAATGCCACCAAAACAGAATCGTTTAGACTGATGGCACTTCAAGGTTTGACACTTCTGAAAATGATGCAGCCAAAGGTTATAAAGTACAGTGAAGTATTTTCAAGAAAATGAAACAAATTATTGTTCAGAAAATGGGCCTTATAGGGTAATTGCCCTGATTTCATCGCGCTATAAGTAAAAAATACGCCTTCCAAAGTTTTTATAACTGTAAATCAAACAGTCAAAATTGTGCAATTTAGTATTATCTGCTGAGTTGATAACGTAAATTAGCCACCGTAAAGAGTTTTAAAGCTGACGTTTCGAGCGGTAGCCCTTCGTCAGAGCAATAGAAGAAGGGCTAACGCTCGAAACGTCAGCTTTAAAACCCCTTACGGTGGCCAATTTACGCTATCAACTCAGTTGATAATACTTCATTACCCTGATGTACTCTCCCACCGACGCAACACCACAGTTTATTTAGAAACTTAACCCCTTTATTTATTGACTCATTTGTAGACACGTTCAAAATTCCGAAAACACAGTTGACGTTCATTTACCTCAGATCCAGAGTACTCAATACACACTCACCAGAATAAGTGTCTTTGACAGGATCCACACTGGAGTAGTACAACCATGTGATGCATTGAGAGTCACTCTTACTTGGACCCACTTCCACGGGCACAGTCCACCGGTAAGTGTACGTCTGGCCTGGTTGCACAATATCGTCAGCCTTTTGAGCCCCGGATGTTCTATCTTGGTACAAGGCTCCCTCGTTTGACTTGTTGAAGAAAACTCCATGCGGCTGAATACTGTAGTTGTGAGTTGCCTGTCCAAAGAGAAAAACTTACTAAGAAACAATGGCAAAAGGTGGGTAAACATTACAATCCTTTATTCTCTGGATACGGAACCGAAAACTTGAGAAGACTATCTCAAGAACTCGTATATATACTGTGATTCCTATTTGAAATTCACCACCTTCGTCTCCGTCTGGGTTATTCAGTGGTGTTTGTCCACATAAGCCTAATATCAATTAAAGATTTTTCTCCATTATAAGAAATTCTTCTTCATCCCACAAACGACTCGCGCAGACGCGGTAGCCAATGGCCAGCCAACACATTGGAAGACGTCTTCGTTAGAGGACACTTCTCGAGAACTCTGTTTTCCCATGTGACGTTTATTCTGTAATGTTAGGTAATAAGTAGGTTTTTTTGGGGGGGAGGGTGGGGGTTTACCCTCCTTGAAGTACTATTTAATTGAGCCTTTCCGTCATTGCGCTCTGTGACTAGTCAGTCTACAAAACCTGCGCCATCCTCGCAAACAATTCAACTTCGACTTGAACTTAATCCAATTGCGACTTGGTCACTTGCATCCTCATTTCAAATTGGCTTGGTTTGATTTAAAAGCGAAAAGCGTTTAGTTCCCTGAAAGTTGTTAGTTTTTCAACAAAAGCCAATAAACACTTTAGAAATAAATCACATCCCAGCTTTCTTACATTGTTCTTAAACACGACCTCGATCACATCACCAACTTCTGCCCGGATCACAGGCCCAAGAAACCCGAGATGTTTCGGTTTTTCCTTCTTCACGGAGAAAGTACTGTTGGTATACTCCTCATAGGACGCCTTGGTGTACGTTCCACCAATTCTGTGAACACCTTGAGCAAAGAACACAGCTGAGCCGCTGACCAAAGAAACGAAAAATGATATGCGTTATTATCAACAGTGTTCGTAGTGGGTCGTCACACAATGTGTGACCAATTGATCGTCATACAGTTGCTAGAAAAAACAACTTTACATAACGAAAGAATCGAATGAAAGCGGATGAATATTAAGAGAACACTGGAAGCCACGGTTGAGTGTAAACAAATAAAGACAAACTCGGAAGAGAGAGAAGGCTTTTTCCCAGCTTACACACAAAAAAGCAGAACTATTGCAGCCAACTTCTTCGAACAACGTTCATATTTCAATACGAAACAGTTCTATGGTATATTTTCATCTTTATGCAACGGTTTCAAGTAAGTATAAATGCTATCGTAGATGAATGTATGCATTTCTTGGAACAACGTTGATATTTCAGTGTGAAACAGTTCTATGGTATATTTTCATTCGTATGCCACAGTTTCAAGTAAGTATGTACGCCATCGTAAATGTATGAATGCATCTCTCATGCATCATTCATTTTTATGCAACGGTTTCAAGTAAGTATAAATGCTATCGTAGATGAATGTATGCATTTCTTGGAACAACGTTCATATTTCAGTGCGAAACAGTTCTACGATGCGTTTTCATGTGTATGCCACAGTTTCAAGTAACTATACTACCGTATATGTATGTCTTTAATCAAGGCTTGGGAAACCTTCGGAGATAACATTTATATAAGGATATCTTTTAAAATACCAATTACCAATCAAGTGTCTAAAGTAATCCAGAAATGTAATGGTTTTGCTTTAGTCCGCTCCCACTCTGTCAATTACTCTTAATTTTGATTGGTTCAGAAAACTCGCGCCTCCCTCAAGCTCAAACAATCAGATGCAACACGGAAACCAATTACGATTTAGTCGCTCGCCCTTACCGCGCTTGTTTCTACCCTAAGCTCTCGTTGACTTCTTATGATATTTTACCTTTGTTCTAATTGGCCACGTTAATTTCTTTGCTTTGCGTCAAACGCCATTCAATCGAAAAATCCTATTCGCGCATTACAGTAAACTAAAATCTAGCCCCGTCGTTGGTTTAAGGGTAATGAAATCTCTGCCAATATATAGTGTAAAAAATCCAGTTACGAAAAAAGAGGCTAGAGTCCAAACTCCGTAGAAAATATGTATTAAACTTGTTAAATAAACCACCACGTTTGGCTAAAATAAAAACTCCGAAACTTCTTAAAATTCCAAATAAAGGAGTAACAGATTTAAGCGCACGAAAGCTCAAAAAACAAATGACTAGAACTCCGCGAAAACAAACTAAAAGTACGCCAAAAATGTCCACGTCGGTTTCCCAATGTCAAGGTTAGAGTTCTTTTACGTGATTGCCGGCAAATTTGTGAAATCACGCGCGCCGCGCGTGAATACAAAAAGAATACAAAAGGGGGAGAAGAAGAGAAAAATTTTTACTTGAAATTTGAAAAGGGAAGAGATTTTCTACATAGAGGCAGTTTACCTATCGGGCTTCGTCAAACTCTGGCCATCCATGTTGTTCATCCCAGTTGGCCCATAATTCCACGGTACCTCGTTTGCTGCGATGTAGTACGTCCTCGTTTTCCCGCCACTCACCGTTGGCACGTAATCACTCTTACCAGCACACTTCGTGACGTTGTACAAAGCATACATACCAGCGTTATAATGATCGTTGACGAGGCAATTCAACATCCACGTTCCGGGGTTCAGTGCCTTCATAGTTGCCGTCACGAAAGTTGCTGGAAGAAGAGAAGCTACATCTTTGCGATGACCATCGATAATGAACGACTGTCCGTGAAAGTAAGCTGCATTTGTGAAAAAAATAATAAACATTAAACAAGAGCCAGGGACAAGCACAGTTGCTACGTAATTAGCTATATTTCGTTGAGGACCCACTTGTCCATAAATGGTCAACAGAGAGCTCTATACCCAAAAAGTGTGGGTCCCAGTCTTGGCCGGGTTATGGTGTAAGTTGACACTTTAATATGGTGACACCTTATTGTCGTATCAGTCCATTGATGCGACCAAAGCTTCCGACGGTTTCTGTAGTTTGAAGCGACTAAGATGTCTAAGAATACTAGTCTATCACAGGTTACCCCAAGGGTTTCAATTGGAGCCGGTTACTGGCGGTCTAAACTCCCTCCCTTCCATAAGACCTCCTATCGTCGTCCCTTAAGCCTGCGAGCGAGCAGGAGCCCAGAACGCTGGAAATAACACTTCAGTGTTTTTAGATTTTAATTTGTTTGTGAATGAGCATGTTCCCCGACCCGTCTCCTTTTCCGGGCACACCCTCATTACACAATCGACAGCCGTTTATGGAAAAAGTTACTGAAAACCCTGGTGACTCCCCTCCCCCACTCACGTAATTCGTCAGGTTCCCCATCTTGTAAATACCGATTTCATCGTACTCCTGATTTGAGAAAAGCGATAGAAAGCAAGTTTTATTGCCAAAGAAGTAACACAAAGTCCCACGAGGGCTCGAAAGAGAACGCTGTTTAGTAGGCGAACTATCAAGTGGAGGGGGCCAGCAAAATTCTTTCGACGTCTTAACATAAACATTACTCGAGTGTAGACAAGATTCGAGCCCTTTTACTTAAGCTTCTTGACAAACTCACCAGTGTGAATGTCCACTTCATTTCCAATCCCAGCCAAGTGCCATTTGACAGAATCTCCCAGACAAATCTCCAGGCCAGGCAGATTTCCGTAGAAGTAACCGTTAATGGCATGCATCTTGTTACTCTCTTGAAAATCTTCGTCCTCTGTTTTCACTCCCGAAGGATCATTACAAAACTCGTCGATGTTCTTCTGAAGAAGCCAACTTTCATTTTCATCCAGCACCGTGAAAAGACCAACGAACTCCTTGTCTACTCCTTTGGGTCCATCGTCAGATAAAGCTCCCTTCTTACAAGTCAACATGATTCCTGAAATAATTAAAGTAACAATCCCACGCTTTAGCGCAAGATTCATGAAGCGAAGGCCAGCCCAGAACAAAATCGCGACAGTTTTGTACCTGCTATCCACAATCAACCCACGTCTTTTCAATTTGACGGGGCGAAATCACTAAAGCGGAAATATCGATAGGTGAATAAACAAACAAATGAGTAATCAAACAAAATTTAAAGGAAAAATACGGTTATCGCATAGATAGGCATGCAACGCGTACTAAAGGCAGACAACGGCATGAATTGACAAAGTTGAATCAATGCTAGTACCTACCCAACATGAACCGTAGCTTGTTATAAGTTGAATGTTGTTAGGTTAGGGGAGGGGTAGTTGCGCAGTTGCTAAGATACTGACATTGAACCACAAAGTTAATGAACGAGAAGACATCGTCATCTGACTCACCGTCAAAAATGGTAAAAGGCTAGATTATCTTAATTTCTCGTCTAAAACATAATCTTCAATAAGTCAGTTCTAAGTCTCCTACAGTCCTTCCCGCAAACAATTTTGTTTATTTTCTAGAATTGTTTGGTTGTTTCTCTCGCTGGAGCTTTAACGCCAGACAAAAAGAAGGAGATATTTCCTTGAAAATGTCTCATTGATTGTCTCTAACACTCTTCGACCTAGCTGCTTAGCCACACATTTTACATTGAGCTATTTATCACATAAGATTACCTAGAAGCCCAGTGTTAATGTCCTTGTGAGGCAACACATGCGAATGATAGATCCACGTGAGACAGTCATCGTCACTGTCTGTTGGTGCGTGAGCATTCGTTAGCTTCCAACTGTATATGTGACTTCCGCCAGGAGGCACGTGATCATCGTTCTTGTCGCTCCCAGTGGTCTTGTCTTCGTATAAAGCACCTTCAGAGTCCTTCCTGTAGAAGACCCCGTGTGGATGCATCGAAAACTTCCTTCTAGCTTTATTCTTGAAGTGGATCTCAATCGTGTCTCCTTCCTCGCCCTTCAATATGGGCCCTAGAAAGCCGAGGTATTGTGGGTGGTCCATCTCCTTGGTGTAGGTACCGTCTGTGTACTCACGATAGAGCACCTTGTTGTAAACGCTCCCTATTGTGTGAGCACCTCTTGTGGTGAACACGGCGGCATCACTTCATAGTGAAAAAAAAAAACACAACGGAGTTTGCTTTTCTGGCAAAACTATAATATCCTTACCACAGAGATTCTTTATAGTGAGGTAGGCCGTTATTACAATCGGCATCAAAATTAATTTATACATCATGTTTAAGAGTTCATTTTATGAGTTGAATGACACTCCTGTTTCTAACATTATCTTTATCATTGAAAAGACCCCCCCCTCGGGGTGACGGGGCGAATAGGTTTATTCAAAAAGGGCAAAAGAGATGAAATTGAAGTAGTTGGGTGTTGAAAGACCCCCCCCCCCTCGAGGTGACGGGGCGAATAGGTTTATTCAACTAGGGCAAAAGAGATGAAATTGAAGTAGTTGGGTGTTGAAAAGGTCAATGTGTCAACAACTTTGTCGCTGATTGTAGGTTCATGTGTGACAAGTCAAGGGGCGGGGGGAACGGAGGATTTTGCGGGGATCACATGGTTTTCAGGGGGGAACGGAGGGGGGATCAGTCGTCGCCAATTGAATACAGAATGCGGACAAGACAAAATTGAGTACAAATAAGTCGGGATCATAGGAATATCACAGAGCCTCATAAGAGATTCCATTACATTTTATTGCGGCTCAACCAAAATACTCCGACCCACCCCCTCCCCCGGTCCCTTAGCTTCTTCAAAACCCTCGGGGAGGGAGGGGGTGAGGGGACAATTCTCGATAGACATGCTAACTTGGGCACCTACAGTTGCCTCAAATTCTCCCAACCCCACTAGTGTTTGGATGAATAGTAAAATGGAGAAGATCGAGATCAGACGAAGAAAGCATGAAAGAATAATGTCGGTTCGATTCACTGAGCGGAACAGAAGCTTTATATAACAGTTCCATTTTAATTTTCTTGAGAAAAGATCTGTTGGTGGTTAAAAATGTCCAAATCCTACTGAACACAGCTACCTTTCATACGCAATTGCAGTTATAACAATCGCGATCGATGCTGGAAGAACGCATTCTATGCTTCTTTCGGGATGCAAAAGGAACGAGTTGAGCAATCGACTGCGCCCCGCATTAGCCGGCGAACATGTTTGTACGTGTACCAGACACCAAAAATAATCGTATGAGAAAACGAATGGATCTAGGGAAGAAAATGGAAGGTTCGAGAAATTATCACCTTAGTACTAAGCAGGTAGCCAAAAAGTTTGAATTCCAAACTAAACCACCCATAGGGTGTTCATGTATATGTAGCTCAGGGGCAGCCTTCAGAGAAAGGCAAAACAGACGTGGTAAAGGAATACCAACTGAAGATCTCTGGTTTATTCTTGTTTATCCTGGTAGACACGCAGCTGTCCTCCGTGCACACGAACGCGTCACCTCCATCACATGACCTTTTTCACCTTTGGCTTCTCTCCTTTCGTCTAACTTCTCCAGGAAAATGGAAAACCCGAACGAATTGCCGTTTGCGTTTCTTACACAAGATTGGGATATCGGGAATCGTTTTGCAAGTACTAGGAGTGCCACTCTTTATTGTAGCCATCGTGTTGGTGCACTTAGGGACCGAAATCGTATGCGGTCATGGCGTTGAAAACTGTTTTAACTTTGGGAATCAAGGCTTGCTGACGTTCAACAGCGATTTGTGGGCACTAATTTCCCATCAGACGTGGTTTTATTTGACAATCTAGGCGCTTAACTTCTTGAAAATACCTTATCAGATACATCACCGTACGCACGCAGAACTAGTATGATTATTCCATGCTGGAACGCTTCTTGCTATAGTCTTCGCATCTACTATAGCGGTAGCGAAATATCAACTCGCTTGATAAATAATCAAACATATGATACAAAAAAAGTCAATTTTGAGCATGGAAATTCTTCACGACATTGGAAATTATTAACAACAAAATGCCGAAGCCGAAGTTCGTACAAGGGTAGAGGGTGGTTGACTCAATGTCCAAACTTTCGCGGTTTGTCTACAACGAAAGTCACGTGACACTACACATGATCTCTATATTCTCTGCAATGTATACGGTTTATATTCCCTTTCAACCGGAAGCAACTGAGTGCGTTTCAGCTTTCGTTTGAGAGGCTCAAAGTACTTCTAGCCGCGCGCACTTCACTCGACTTGCAAGGAAAAGGTCTCACCAACGATTGCTTGGAGCTGGAAGGACTAAAATGACCCGAAGCATTAAAGAGATTTCCCCCCAACTGATTCCGTCACGACCCGTCGAACGCTTTATTCGAATACTGAAAACATTTTCCTCGTAGGGGCATGGGGTTGCATGTTGAACAGAAGGAAAAATGTTGCTTGGAGAAGTGTCATGCTAGTGTTATGCTAAGATTTTGCACAATCAGGAGAAATCTAATCAAAGACGACACCTTGTAATTTTACGCTATTACTGAGTTGTAAAATCACATTTACAGCTCTCTATCGAAAACTTTATTTATAAGAAGAGTTCGATTTGTTATGCAATATCACCGTCACGCAATTTTTTTCACCGTAGATTTGCATATAAAAGAAATTGAAGGTCTCCTTGTGTATGGTATTGAGCTACAGGGAATGAAATGATCGAAGGTGTATGAAAAATCGCAACTTTGAACTCGAATAACACGGCGAATACCACGTGTAATTATCATTTCCCACGTCAATTGAACGTGAAATGTGTCATGGATGAGAAATTTCAGGGAAGGGAATTATTGCACCGCGAGCGGTGTTATAAATCGCTTCTCAGGAAAATATCTTACAACATTAGTAATAGCCTGATCATGATCATGATATGAGGCGGAAGCTTGCATGTTACTTCTCTCGAAATCTAACCGCGTGCGTTCACGTAAAATTAAAGAAAATACCGTAATCACCTATCTTCGTCAAGCTTCAACCCTTTCACGTTGTTGTAGCCACTCGGAGCATAGTTCCACCTTCGTTCAACTGCTGCGATGTAGTGTTTCCTGATCTTAGACGAAACGAGGTTCATGTGTAGAGAAACTGCACAAAATACCAACCAGATGAACGCTGTATTTGACTTCGCTAACTTCATAGCTCGTCGACTTCGTCTACGTTACTCAAAATATGTTAGTTCCGACTGACTTGCCGCTGAAAAGTCGTTCAATCTGATCGAATTGACCTCAACGAAGAGAGACTCAGTCTGGCGTCTGAAGAGAACTGGCAACTGATCAAGTTTCCCAGTGTGCTGTTGTTTGGTGGAAAATCAAACGAGACATGACAAACGACATCTGATGTAGCCCAACCCCGGAAATACAAACAGTGGGTTTAGCTGTCAATCTCTTCAATTCTTACATTTAGTAGCCTTTTCACTTTAACAGTGATTTCTTTTGAATAATGTGTTTTATTGACGCTTGAGTAATTTCTTCGCTTGGTCAGATTGTTTTAAACACCAAACAAATAAATACCCGCATAGCTAACACCGCTCAAGAAAAATACGGGCATTAGTTTATTTAAATTTGAGGTTCTGAGGTTGTCTGCGGAAAATTGTAGCTTTGAAATATGAGTTCGATTCAAAATGAATGTGACATGGTTTTATTTTATTTGTTTAATTTTTTTTTTAAGAAACCAAGCTTCTCGTTGTCAAAGTAGCTGTTCTTACCACCAGCACAACCATCAGCGAAACCGAAAAAACTATTGTGGTTTCTGGCCGGAACTAATGGATCACCTTGTCATGTGATACACTTTTCACCCCGCTAAACAGGACCAGAATATGCGTGCTAAAGGCCGCGCACTGATGCATAAAGAGGTGTCCGAATGGGTCGACATGGGTAAAAGGTAACGTTAAAAAAATAATGAAAAACAACTAAAATAAATCATGCGGTTAAGTCAGCTTACCAGCAAGAAGGTCTCCCCTGTCGGAGCTTAACAAGCAAGAGCAAGAGGAAGTTGTTCTCAAATCTCAATCATTTACAACTGACTTATGGCGATTGACCCAAGGGAACCTACATGATGTTTTACCCGCAGCTAGAGCCTTGTTCTAAGATGGTTAATTTTGTGTCAGTAATGTACTTTCCATCTCCACCCCTTCCCCCGACCCACCTCCCGCAATAAGTACCAGTAATAGCGAGAAGTCGCGCGTGTCTTCTCGCGTGCGCCTTGATCCTATCCTATCATACTGGTGTTGTCCCCATTATGCCGGTGTAATTTTGAGAATAATGGTGGGGCAAAAATTCAAGCGTTATATTGAATAAAAGTGAAAAAAAATATATATATATAAAATACTGCACTGCGTGTTGCTTGTTTCTATTGACGCGCGTAATAAACGTTTGAAAAGCCCTCTACCTTTATCTATTCCTCTGTTTATTCAATCTATTTTTATATTAATCATATTCGATCATCGCAGCATGATTATGAAATTTTCTAAACATAAAGAATTAGTACAACATTGTGAAACATGGCACATGTTGTGGATAACCCTCCCTTACACTTTTCTGATTCGGCAACAACTAGGTTGTCCGTCCGCCTAGCTCGCAAATTGACAACACTAGTGTTGTCAATTTGCGAGTACACTTCCAAATTCCGTCATGAAATTTGGAAGTAAGCCACCCCCCATTGCCAAACTATGAACAAAACAAAGCTTCTCGAAGAATGGATCAATTCGCTTGGTTTCTATCTGCCATTGAAAAGATATGCGTATTTGAAAATTCCTTCTCCTTTCCAGTCCCGCTTTTGTTGCCTTTCTGAAGCGGTTCTTTCCAGTGAAAGCGTACAGCGTACAAATAAGGCAGAGTAGTCCCGGATCCTAGTGTCCGGTGTCTAAATTGTGCCCTCCATATGACTTCCGATATACCAAAAATATGGCGCAGTCACCACCGACGAATTCGACTGTTACTTCTACCACTGAAACTGGTGAGATTTCCTTTAAATTACTCTTTCCTTCTTAAATGTGATATCTTATTATCTTTGTTATCTTTTTAGTTGTTTCGACGTTACACATAATGGCTACTACCGACCACACTGATGAGGATAACAGAGATTTTTATACTGGCCTCGGATTAGCGATCAGTTCTAGCGTTTTCATCGGGACCAGTTTTATCATCAAGAAAAAAGGCTTGCTTAAAGTGAAAGATAGCTCAGGGACGAGAGCAGGTGAGGATTCATTGAGGTATGCGTCGCTTCATCAGTTTGCGGTGTGCTACACGTAATGAATGCTTTCGATTTGCAGGACATACACATGAATTTTTAAGCACAAGAAGCGTGATCATGAAGCTTACTGTCGATATTAGCGGATGAGCTGAAATGTTATGAATTTGAATTAATGTATCTGTTATTTTGTTTCTGTGTTTAAGGTCAGGGCGGCTACGCTTATCTAAAGGAATGGTTGTGGTGGTCAGGAATGATTACAAGTGAGAAGGAATTTTTTTTAAATGAACTCGTGTACTGCATGAATTGACACCATTCTTCCCTCTTCAGCACAGAGCAAATATCATTAAGAATAGAGTGGCAAATGTTTTGTTTTTCCGTCTCCGAAGGAACGGCAGTAATAATCTTTTCGACTCTCTACTTCTCACTTGGCATATATTGTTCGGATAGTTCTCTCTTTATATTATTTTGAGACAAGTTTTGCGTCTATTTAAAACTGTTATGTGAGAAATATACTAACAACAGTTTCGGTTAATAACTGGAAGGTGTCACTCAATTTTAAGCTAAATTGGTTATCGTATTTTTACCAATTTCACTGAGTCCTTAGACACTTGAAATTGTATATACCTGAGTTAATGTAAAATTTCAACATCATCAGTTGTAGTGAGCTTCACTACAATAATTGTCGAGTAAGCGTTAATTTCCTTATCTGTAGAGTTGTGCTTACAATTAACCACAGCTAATATGTACAGTAACTTTTCCTTATGTTTCCAAAGTCATCCAGGATTTTCCTTGTTTGACTTTGCCTGTGGTCTAGAAAAACTTGGAAAAACAAAGGCCAGTCTGGACCAGATCATAAAATAATATAATAGGCCTCTCTTCATTCATTTCATTGTTTCCACGTTGAGTTCTCATTTGGCTTTTTCTGATACACATATACTGACCATTGTGAACACTCTGATAAAGTTTTACAACAGCCATTTTAGAAGAGTGCTGTTTACATTTCAGTCAATCAGAGCTTAGATTATCTAGCCGCATGCCAATTCAGCAGGATGTGCAAGAGGAATTATAGCAGAAAGAAGACTTAGTCAAAATATGTGGCTTTTTTTCTTTTCTTAGAATAAACACAGCATTTTTTTTTTCAGTGATTGTTGGTGAAATTGCCAACTTCACAGCATATGCCTTTGCCCCAGCGATTCTTGTCACTCCATTGGGATCTCTTAGTGTGTTGGTGAGGTAGGTTCACATTGATAGTGAAGGCCAATTTCTGCTTATTATCTCATATCATCTGTGGGTAAACTGTCTAGGAATATCCCAAAGTAACCCTTTGATCCCCAAGAATGACTAGCATCAAATTTCTCCTCACAACATCACCCCTAAATCACTCTACAAGGTCATGGGAATGAAGGAAATAATCACCAACTGAAGAAGCTCTTGATTATAAAACAAATTCTTCATGTCAACATCGTAAGAGAAGTGTAGAGACTAGTATGGAGAATGTACATACTGATACTAGGGTATAAAGGATTAAGGACAAATCTTCTGGTTTGTGTACTAAATCTCCTGGCTTTTCTCTGAGTTTATCAAGTCAAGAACTGATCTCCTGTTCTTCCAGACAGTTTGCTTAAATCTCTTGGATGAAAGTTGATTTTTAAAAGAAGAAGACTCTGATAAAGTTATCAGTGTCAATCAAAACAGAGATACAGTACTTGTGTTTTTGCAATTTTCTGGAATCTGATTGTGTCAAGGAAAAAAAGTTAATGAGCTTGTTGTTCTGAAGTGTGTTCACTTGTTCTTATTACACAATCATGTTACTGGTCTTAGCACAATCAACAGTAGCATCTGTCCATTTGTTTGTTAGGTGTTCATGGTTCTCTGAGGTTTACTGACCCAAACCCTAAGCAGAGTGTTCTTTCTTGCAGTGCAATGCTAGCTTCTTATTTTCTGAAGGAGAAACTAAATCTTCATGTTAAAATTGGCTGTTTCCTGTCAATCATTGGATCCACTGTACTAGTCATTCATGCACCACAGGAAGAGGAAGTACAGAGTATGGATAATTTGGAACCAAAACTTACATCACCAGGTGTTTATTTTTTTTTATGACAAATGTTAATCCTTTCACCCTAAGATCTCAGAATAAATGTTTTTAACTGTCTGCCACAATGGGAGACATGGTGGCCAAATGATTAGTGCTCTAAACTCTGGGCTTAGAAGTCTGGGTCAAGACCTGGTTGGGTTGGGTCTGTGTGGTGTTTCTTGGGCAAAACACTTAACTCTCACTCTACCCTCCTTACTCAGGAGTAGAAATTACTCACAACAAATTGTCAGGGTAGCCTGATAAAATGCAAGGGGGTAATCTAGCAATGGGCTAGTATCCCTTGTAAAGGGGAGTAGTGATGTTCCTAGTTGCTTCATGCTAAGGAAGCAGGATAACCTCTGGCTGAGCAGGCCACTTTGCTTGAGTAGAAACCACTACCTATTATTTGTTATAATTTCAGCTTGGAAAATTTTGTCATCATTGCTTAATCAATCAATGTTTCTTACTAACTTTGTGTAAGTTGAATGGGTGAGAGTTCATGGCTGGGTTGCAGGGAAGTGCCTGCTTGGTTGGCTCAATATAGCAGAAGCCTAGGATACCTGCAGCATCCACCAACCATTTCATCATAGACAGTGGTTTTAACCCTTTAAATCTCAAGATCTAGATGTTAATTCTCCCTTCTGGATGCTATACATTTCCCTGTAAAGTGGTTACAAGAGTTGGGTGTTCAATCAAGATGACTTCTACCCAATAGGTTTGAATATTCTCATCACCTGTTGAGCTGGAAAATATTTGCAAATTATAGGGAGAAGTTACATGTTAATCACATGTGGGAGTTTCTCCCAATATTAAATACTGGTATCTGAAATAATTGATTGAGCAGTATTTATTTATTTCTCCTTCAGGATTTATTGGTTATGGATTTATAGTTATTGTCTTTGCACTTGTGCTGATATTCTACTATGGACCTCGATATGGCAATACAAATATTATGGTGTATATTGCAATCTGTTCTCTAATTGGATCATTGTCAGTTATGGGATGCAAAGGCCTTGGTATTGTTATCAAGCAGACATTGCATGGAGACAGTCAGCTAACAAATCCAGTAGCATGGGGATTGATAGTTGGAGTGTTAGCTTGTGTCTTGACGCAGATGAACTATTTGAACAAGGCTCTTGACATATTCAACACATCATTGGTTACACCTATATATTACGTCATGTTTACAACATTAACAATAATTGCTTCAGCCATTTTGTTCCGGGAGTGGGAAGTATTGGACTCAAAGGACACAATAGGTGCAATTTGTGGATTCCTGACAATTGTGTCTGGAGTGTTTCTATTACATGCATTCAAGGATGTCCACTTCACTTTAAAAGACATTCTGAAGTCAAACTCCCAAGCAAACGGCATTCCTAAAGTGAAATATGTAAGCAAACAACCTAATGAAGAATCACGAGCAATCCTCATGCAAAATGACACCAGTATCACTGACGATGAAGAGGAAACTGGGTTTGCCAATAGTATAAATCATTTATGACATTTTTGAGTCAATGACATTTAATTTTATAATAATGATAATGTAAAATTATTAAGGTAGCTAAAAGGGTGAGTGTTTTCTTGATTAGCGTCACCAATTTATAAGTCACATCTTTTGAAACCCAAGTGGTAAATGTGTAAATAGACAGTTACTTGAATGAGTGTTTTGCACAAAACCACTGTTCATTTTATTTATACAATATTTCTACATTAAGGATTGTCTTATACTGACTTACTCAGTTGACCTAAACCAATATTCAGATAGACAAACACTAGCTTAAACTCTTTTGAATGATTAACAAATAACTTCTCCCTTCTCACATCATCATGCAGATAGCTGACAAGGATACAGAAAAACTTTCAGCCTCAGTTTGTGTTTACAATATTGCTCAAAAATCTCTTGACTGCCATAAGAGGAAATTCAAAGAGAGCTTATAATCAGATATCAATTCAAGGCTTTTAATCTGGCTGCAATTCTATTTCATAACAATACCAAATTTATGCAGCGTCACAGGGTTCTCAATAAGTCAGGGAGTAGAAGGCTAACTGCTGGGAGTAGATTGTTGACAATTTGGGGGCTTCTTCCAGGGGTCCTTGGGTATGCTGCTCATAAAATATATTTGAAAGGTAGTTGCTCTGAAGTGCCATTTCGAGCATTCTTTTGAAGGTACGTGCAAAGCAATATGGTAGTTGGCTGGCTAGGTAAACTTGTGCCAGTTGTAGATTGCATAAGTGCTCAACCAGCCAAATGTGTTTTTGTGGAATGCCAAAATGGCTTTTGAGAAAGCTCTCTATTTTTTTTTTTTTTTTTTTTTGAATACTGCCATCTTTTATATGGTGAATTTGTACATTCTCTAGAGAATCTGAAAATGTCCTTAAATTTTTAATGTTTGTCCAAAGGTATAGCACTGTGACTGAGGTTTTGTACTACTTGTAGTTTTATAGGAGCAATGAAACATGTTTTGTTTAAATTTCATTTGTTGAATCACATAATTTTTCAGTGCTGTACTTTTTGGTGGTTAATTTCAACCAGTTCTCTCAGCCCAGAAGCTCTCTCTCACCCCAACAAGCAATTTTTTTGAAAGATAGTTGACAAAAGGTGAAGTCTGTACTCAAGGGCAAGTGGCCCATCCAGCTGGAGCTTATCCCTGTGTCCATAGCATGATGTGGTCAGGAGTATTACTATTTCCCCCTGAATAGGATACCAATCCATTGCAAGGTTTCCTCTCAGTATTTCATCAAGCTTCCCTGACAATTCATGAGTACCTATTTATTATACTCAGGGGTGGAGAGAAGCACTTCAAAAGTGCAGTGTTTTGTCCACGAAGATAACACAATGACCCAGCCTGGTCTGAAACCGGGCCTCTCAACCCTGACTCCAGCACACTGTGTCTTCCACTGGATAACATTGTATTCACCTTATAAATCATTGCTGGAGAAGAATGCATCAAAAAAATATTGCCAGGGAAAGGAAAAAGAAATACCGAAGGTTGGCTGTGATGCAGATAAAAAGAAAACAAAGTTTTGAGGTTATAATAAGAGATAAAAATTTCAAGTTAAAATGCTATTTACACTGGTCTTTATTGTGAGGTGAGCAAAGAGTTAATTAGTTCTTTTGACAACATTGATAATTAATGTTAAGTTGTTCATTAACCTGGTAACTAAACTTATCTTGTTTGTTGTATGATTTTACTGACAATTTTTTCTTTTCGGGCTGAATTCTCAACCAAAGGTGATCACGCTTTTACAGTAACATTGTTACAAAATTTGTTTTTTGCACTTTCAAGTTTTACTACACCAATTCCTGCAGACTCATTATACTGTAAAAGTGCTAAGTTTATTTCACCAAAACATGAAACTTTGTTCAGCCTGGACTCTACCAGAGATTAACCTTCTCTTGAAATGTTTTTACACAGATCCACAACACTATTATTTATACAATGTGAAGTTTTCAATTTAACTATCTTTACATTGTCAGTACTCACAAAATACACCCCCAAGAAAGCTAGAGGAATTAAATCCCTCCCTGTGTTGCAAATCTACTTCCTCCGACAATTCTCCCTCCATGTACGAGCATCAGCTCGGTTTTGGTTTGTAATTGGTGTATAATCCAGTGTCTTGAGCCTTGGCAGTGTTGAAATAATGTGTTGTTTATAACTAGGAAGGTCTTCAATGTCATTTCCATGCAGTGTTAGACTAATAAGCTCTGGAAGTTCAGCTAGTTTGTCCACTTCTGAAAGTTTTTCAATGCTGTTTGCATGCAGGTTTAAAATCTTCAGCTTTGGATACTGTAGCAAGACCTACGAGCAAAGAAGGTCAAATCTTTTTAATTATTGTACATTAGACAAACTATGAAAACTCTGATTGGTCTTGAGCATACTGTCAATATACAACAGGGTGTGGCATGACAAGCCAATATCTGCAGCAGATATTGAGTTATCATGTCAAGTTCAAACTCTGCCTTGTTTCCAAGCCCCTTGTCCATGTAATGTTCTCAAACTTTTGCAAGCTCAGAGAGAAGTTTCTTCTTTTGTAGATTGTTTAAAAAACAGTTATGGAATTTGGTTTTTTCACCATCAACCTTGTCTAATAATTGCTTAATGAAACAACAGATTAGAAGGGCATCAAGTGAAAGCAAAAAATCTAAGACCAATCCTTGCACCAGGAACACCAATGGAGCAGACCTCTCTTAGTGGTCTGTCATCGTCTGTCAAATCACCACTAATGGAAAAGGGAATTACATTTGTAACCCTTCAATTCCCAAGCTGTGAAATTTCTCATTCTCCCCTCTAGCTGCTACACATTTCCTAGTAAATAAGTTTAAAAAAATGGTGCAATTCATGAATAAATCGCACCAATTAGAGCCAATCAGATTACAGGGACCACCAGTGATTTCAAAATGGGTGTAATAAACATGTAAATCACTTTTGGAAGTTAAGGGCCAATTGCAATTAGCATTGTCAATAACACAGAAGGTAATGAGGTCAAGCAAATTAACAAAACAAATAACCCTTTAACTCCCAGATCAAATTTGTCATTCTCATCACTGTCAACCACACAATTTTTATAATGTTAGTTCAGAGAATTCAGTTCTCCATAATGTCTGTCATACAATTCTTATAAAGTTAGTTGGGAGGATTTGGTATTGGATCAACTAATAATCCCCTAATAGATATTTTTCTTTACTCTTGTCACCTGTTTGCTTAGTATGGTAGGGAGAAATACTATCTAGAATCTTAAAGAGGTCAAATCAATGCAACCATGAAGAAGAGCGCAGAACAACTAAAATTGTATCTCTTGGAACCCTCCATAAAATCTAACTTGCAGCTTTCTTTATCCCTGGCTGAAAGATTTAAAGCCACTTCCCTCCTTCCAGTTCCTCCTTATCCCCAAAGCCTAGGCAAGTATTCTGCTAAAAAAGTGATAAGCAGAGGGTAGATACAACCTTAAAATCATCATCAGCCATTATAATGGCCGGCCATTGAAATATACCAAATCTCTTGCACTTTGTACTGAATGTGGACCAATCTCTTAAACAGGGAATCACATTGAGAGTACAATCCTTTTAAATTGGAGTCCAATTATAGAGATCTGGTTGGCACATACATCAAGGTGCCCTCCTGAGTCCTAAACTCTGAAGGTCTGGAAAAGGAGACTGATCCCTTGACAGCTCACTCAGTTGATGAACAGCAACATAGGATGTACGAAATTCTTCATGTCGTTATAACTTGATCGTAAAGTTAGTCTTGATATCCGAAGTACAAACTTACCTTGTCGATGGTGGATATATCATTAAAAGACAAGTCAAGCCATGCCAGCTCCAACGGATTTTCCAACAACTGCTCCAGCGTGGAAGACAAATTCTCAAGATTCGAGATGTTATTATTGCAGAAGCGTACTGAATTTGATTTGAACTGTCCAGATCCTTCAGTTCTCTGCAAAGCAGAAATTGTTTACTAGATAATTATATAATTTGTTTTTAAATAGACATTTTAAGATAAGAGTAAACTTCCCAAGTAAATCCATACTGGCCAAAATTTACGCTTTGTTTACCTCAATTTTGTGACGAACCGGTCTGGGTTCTTCTTCCAGGGCATCTGTGACAAAGGTTTCAGAGATTGACAAAAGTTATCACAAATATTCGCGAGGACAATAAAAGAACGTGGGCAACAAATCAAATGATTTACAAACCTTGTACTCCTTCCAAAGCTTTAAAGGAGAAATCTAAAGGTGAAGATAACTCATTGGCTGCATCAATAGCAGACGAGGCTTTCGGTTTGTTTTTGGAGCTCATGGTTTCCTCTTTTTCCACGCCTATGCGTTCCAAACACTGTGTTCTTAGTTCCAATTTCAGGAAATCTGCAAAGCCATGATATATCGTGACGTTTTCCACGTTCTGTTGCTATACCAACGAATCGTCTCTGTCAGGTCAGCGGATACCTTCACAAGGAAACAAATATGGCGGGCGACAACAGAGGTACGTTCATTACCCTGTCTTTCTTTGAACACTTTTAGTGGTTGTTTTTAATAAACATTACTTGGCTTGATTCGAAGGTTCCATGTGCTGTACTTGTAAAACAGTGGTTGAATTATGTTTGTCTGCGAGATTTTGTTTTATCAAGCTGAAACTTTAAATTCTTAACTAGTCAGTGAAGGAAAAAAAGAAAAGATTCAGAAACGGGTAACGTTTACAATATATAACTTTATTTCAGAGTCATAACATATGCTTTTATTACATTTCGTTTTACAGGGAAGACGGTTATGGAGGTATCTTTTGATTAATAGTGTTTATATCTTTTCCTTAAATTGTTTAAACTTCTCATATAGCAGTTTGTATGATTAAATGAAAGGAGATACATTTAACTGCTCAATGTTAATATCTCAGAGCAATCCCTGATATTTTTCAATCTTAAAAAAATCAATTTTATATGTAACAGTTAATTTAAGTTATTTATCAAGCATTATTTGTCTCCTTTGCGATATTTGCTCACAATCAAAAATGGCTTAAAACACCTTGAAATGTGGGATCAATATCAGTATCTGGGCAACTGCCCTCCTGCCCCTCCCCTAACTCAACAACAGTCAATTAATAACAACTTAGGGTTAATATTGGGTTAGGGGAGGGGTAGGTGGGCAGTTGCCCAGATACTGATATTGATCCGAAATGTGCATTTTCTTTTTCTTATCTTACTTAGAATCATTTTTGCTATATCCCTTCCTGACCATTCTGCAGTTATTTATTTTGTCTGTTGAAAATTATTTTGTTTGAGACCCCTCCTTCCTCAGGAGTTGTAGTACCCTGATGGTAACGGAATCAATATTTTTGCTGGCACCACACAGCACTTTCCTCATGACTTGGAATTTTTTGGCAAGCCCCTCTATAACCTGTGATCTAATTCAAACATCTCTTTACTGGCTGCTATTTAAATCTTGATGATAAATTATTTAAAAGAATTTAACACCTCTTGGTCATCTGTTCTTGTCAGCTGTATTCTTGGTAATGTATTGTAATTGTGAGGAGAACTTGTACTTTAGAAAAAGAGTTGCAACTGCTCTCTCTATCCCATTCTGAAGTAAAATGACTTTCTAGGTTATTATTGTATCTGATTACTATTCCTGTGTATACCTTGAGAGATTATTCAGAATGTCTACTAAGCATTGGTAATTGGAGAATTCTCTGCCTAAATCTAAAGGGTGCAGATTTTTTTGAATACAGATATGGAGATTCTCCTGTTACTTCACAGAAGTCTTCTACTTGCACATTTCTTCAGCAAAACCCTGAGATATTCCTTAACTCTCCTCATCAGCTGTCATCCTTACCTCTTCAAATATTTCTCTTTCTGAACATTTGGTATGCTATGGTATTTTGTGTTGCAGAACTTTTGCTCTATGTTTATAAAGGTACGTTTACAGAGGTACTAACTAGAGTAGCAGGACTTCTCTTCTTAACCCTTTAACTCCCAAATCAAATTCATAATTCTCCTTACTGTCAACCATATAATTCTTATAATGTTCTTAAGAGAATTTAGTATTGGATCAATTAATTATCCCCAATTGATATTTTTCTTTATTCTCATCACTTGTCTGGTTGATATTGTATTGATATTGTAAGGAGAAATTCTGTCTTAGTCACTCATGGGAATTAAAGGATTAAAGGAGAAGAAGAAGAAGAAATCTTCCCTTTAGAAAAATTTAAGTACACCTTCTATTGAAATTTCAGCCCTTAAAGACTCTCTTGGCATACAAAATTTGGTTTACAGAAGTGCTACTTAGGCTAGCAGGACTTCTCTTCTTAAAGGAGAAGAAAAAGAGGAAGAAGAAAAATAAGAAGAATTCTTAATAGTAGAATTTTTAAAAAGAAGAATTTTAACCCTAAAACTAGTAGAATTTTTCCCCAAAATCATGTAAAAAACCTGTTCAAACTTATCAAGTAGAAGTTTTCATCTTGATTCTAACATGAAATTCTCATTACTACTTCAAGAAATTCTTGCAGCATACAAAATTTTGATCTTGGGAGTTGGAAAAAGTTGCAAAAACAAAAATTTAGTTGGAAAGTTGCAAAAAACTTGCTCTGCACCCCTCTGTTTTGAATATTCTACAACTACCTGGCTATTTACATGTGATCTAATAATAGAAAAGTTAATTTCACAAGACAGCTGCATTCAAACTGTTCCAGAAATTTCACAAAAAAGCAGGAAAAAGTGAAGCAAAATAACAGAGAAGTGGTTAGTGACAGGTCTCACTTAACATTCTACAATTGTCCAAATAACTGTGCAATATTGTGAGATATTTGTACCTGATTTTCGTATTATATGTAGTCTGTATGATGTAGTTGGATAATAAAACCTTGTTGATGTGTCCAAAATACTTTACTCTTTGCTTTTCCTCCAGGTACTCTTTTACCTTATCCTGACACAGCAAGGACCTTGGCTATTGAGATCATTATTATCTTTCTTCTGGCTTTTATTGAGGGTGTTAGAATCTTTTTGGGTATGTGAGATTACTTGCAGTTTATTGCGTCACATATGAATATACTTTACAGACATTTGGAAGTAGAAACTGATAGAACAAGAGAGATGGAATTATGGGACCAGACACAAATCTGAGTCTGTAAATAATACTCTAAGACAGTTTTGAATGTGTTCTTTAATACTTGTTAATTTTAAATTAGATAATTAGGAATTTTCAAGTAAGCTGGGATGTACCAGTTGTTCTCCTTTTTTTAATTTCTGTGAACTTATTAATTTTTTAAGAAGTGTGTAAACCAATTAACCCCCCCCCTCCAAGCTTCTAACTTAAGTTTCACAGTTTGCATTCTATCAAAATATGAATTTAATTTATTTTGAGGCTTATTTCTTACCTTGCTTTCTCTTTTGCTCTGCAAAGGTTACAAAGGTAACTTAGCAGAACGTACCATGGCCCTTGTATTTTCTGTGGTGCTTGGCATTCCTGTTCTTTTCATTGACTTATTCATCTTGCTTTGGCAGACGTATGTGTAAGTAGTTAAAAAAATGTTGAGTCCTATGAAGTAAGATGCAGATTTTTGTTGGAGCTTATCTCAGCGTTTGTTTAATTAATCTTTTGACTCCTAAGAGTGACCGGGATCAAATTTCTCCTCACAGAATCACTGTTGAATCAAATATAAAGGTTTTTAAGAATAAAAGAAATGGTTGCAAACTAAAGAAGCTTGTGATCATCAAACAATCAGTACCATAGGAAATGTAATAAGGAGCATTATGGAGAATGTAGATATTGATGACAGTGTTTGAAGAGACAAGGAGTAGTTTTATTTAATCTTGTTGTTCATTGTGCATCAAACCCCCCCCCCTGCATTCTTGAGTGGAGTGAAGTACTAAATGAGTGAAGTGCCTTGCCCTTGAACAAAAGACAATGATGCCAGCCTGGCTTTGAGCCCTTTATTCCATAGGCTATTGCACTCACTCTAGGGCATAGCGTGCTCCACAAATACTTAAGTTAGACTCACAAAAACTTAACTTTGTTGTCATTTTATTACATGTATCAACCCTTTAACACCTAAGAGCAACTAGCATTTAATTTTTCTGTACAATATCACCCCTAAATCAAACATTGGGGTCAAGATAATAAAAGAAGTGATCACCTTGACCTAAGAGGCTCTTGGTTATGAATCAAGTTCTCCTTGTCAGCATCTTAAGAAATGTATAAAGAATGATATGGAGATTACTCATACCAGTGTTGGGTTTTGAAAGGGTTGATTAAAAGTAAAGCTGTGTTTTTTTGTTTTGATTTAGTTTAAGGATAGAGGTGGTACTGGTCAGTGTTGCCTTGGCATTTCTTGGTTTTGAGATGATTTTCAGTTTTGCTGCCATTTTCACTTTCAAGAGGTAAGTGCAAAAGCAGGAAAACTATTTTCCTCACTCTTAAGAACAGTTTTGTGATTTTTTAATCTTCCAATAGAGAGATATCTTTAAAAATCCAGGACAGATACACACAGTGGCTGTTTTAAAATTGTTGATTTCATTCCTCACTGAAAATTTGTTTCCTTTTTAAACCTGGCTATGTTTGTGAAACGTCACCCTTCCACCACCCCTCCCAGCACCGCTCCTTTCCGTGTTGCTCTAAACCTGGCTCAAAACAGAGTTGATAGCCCTCGTTGTTAGCTCTGTAGGACGAGCGTTTCTCCACCTTCGAGAAGATTTGAGACGAGTCTGGGAAGGTTTGCCGAGAGTCTGGCACTAATAGAATCCTTACAGACCTCTTGCTGGTTCGCTCTGTCCCAGGCCTCATATTTTCCCACGGGTAAAGAAGCGCTTGTTTTGAGGGCTACTGTTGAAAAGGCAGTCGAACTGAGTTTTAGATTGGTTGCTGTTCTGACTGTGCGTAGGCAGATTTCTTAACTCTCTATATTTGTTGCTTTTAGACACCAAACTATGCTGAGGTGATGTTTGCAGTTTTTCCAACAACGAGTTGACAAAGTCAAGAAAACTTGTACATAGGACTTAGAACTTCATCAGTGATCAAGGTGTTTAATTTTTTGCGTGGCGCCCTCATTTTACAAATTACATTTGACTTGTGAATTGCAGCCCTTAGCTACTGTGTTGCGTATCTATGCGTTTGACCCCAAGAGTGACCAGCATCTAATTTCTCCTTACAATATCATCTCTAAATCGAACAGGAAGGTCAAGAGAATGTAGGAAATGATCACTAACTAAAATAGTTTTGATTGTTAAACAAATTCTCCTCGTCAGTGCCTAAAGAAATGTGTAGAGAATATTATGGAGAATATGCATGCCTATGTGTAAAGAGTTAAACTGCGGCTAGCTGCTGCTGTGGTGCAGAAAAAAACATGAGTAAAGCGGCTTTAGAAAATTCGCGTTTACTTAGGACGCGTACATTTAAGTTAGCTTTATTTCCGTGTCATGAACTGTCTCTACAATTTTCGTTACCTTTATTTCCTTTATTTTCCTTTCACTCACATTTACGATACTTTTTGGTAAGTTTTGAGGACTAAGTTATTTATATCGCGTACTGTACTTTCACTAAGTTTCCCTTGAAAAAAGGCTCGAAGTGGCGAGATTTCTTCATGTTAAGGGACATTCCATGAACATTAACTGAATTGCAGATTTGTTAGTAAATTGTGTAAATAAATTTGTTTCTGTTTTATTGAGAAGTTCTTGTTCGTTGTGCAAGTTGCGTCAATGGGCCATTTCCGAATTTGCCTCTGGCCTCATTTTCAAAACGAGGCTTAGTGCTCAACCATTCGTATGAAAATGAGTTTAATTTGCATATGACTAAAAACTTTTAATCATATGAAAGGATGAGCACCGGGACTCGCTTTGAAAATGAGGCCGAAGGTAATTTGGAAATGGGCAATTGCCTCATGTCATAATTTGAGACTCGAAAATTGTCTCTCTTAGAAAGTAGTTTTTGTTTCAGTTAACTTTAACCCGATGACCCTAAGAGTGATTACCATCAGTGTCTATTGAAACGTTCATAAAGGGGTGAAAATTGAAAAAAAAAGTCGGGAAAAGGAAAACTTGAGACCTTTTGAACATACAGCTCATTCGATCACAGGCATCCTGTTGAATTACCACTTTGTTTGAGTTATACGCTTTTAAAACACCGTGGCTTACTCACTGTTGTATGAAGCTGATGTGACAGCGGTTCTGACAGCCTGGAAGCACGTTCCCTTCACGCCACGTCAGACCATGTCGTTACAACGTTCGAACATGCGCAGACACATGTATCAGACACTGACTTTGTATTCTTTCGCTCTGACGAAGGACTAATGCTGGAAACGTCTGCTTAGAAACTCTTCATGGTGGCCAATTTACATCATCAACAACTCGATAAAACTAAACTAGCTTGTTCTACCCTCCGCCAATGCAACACGGTTTCTTTAGAAACTTACCCCTTTAACCATAAAAATAACAATTTCCTCGCTTGTGATTGGTTTTAAAAACTCCTATTTTCCACTTATTCGCTTGCCAAGTTTTTATCGGACAGTTCAATAAGCCAATCACATTCAAAGTTGTGGTTTAAATCAACCAATCACATTCATTTTGATTGTAGTCAATTTCAGCCGGTGCAACGTTAAACAATGAACGCCTCCTTTGTCAGTCTTTTAATTTAAATTTTCCCTTTTTTTCACAACTGGCCCGGTTATTCTTTTTTTCTAGAAAATTTTAATTTCTATGATCAGTTGGTGATAAGACTTCGTGTCGTCCAATTCGGTCTGTAATCATACGAGTGATAAACATATCGGACTCCCGCTGCGCATTCTTCCAATTTCGTTATCACCCATATGATGACAGACCGAATTGGACTCCACTCAGTCTTATTGCCATTACTTATTCAAAAAAGGTGGATTCTTATACGCGGGTTTTAATTGTTCACGTTATAGTGCGCGCGCACTTTCGAATGTAAAGAGTCGTCATTGGAATTATGACGCACTTTTGTGTTTCCCTCAGGGGTTCAATTTGCTGTCGACTGAAGTTGTTTTTGACGAGTTTATAATTTCAAAGTATATATCGCTCATAAAGGTGATTCAAAAAGACTTTAGGCGGACAGAATTTTGTAACAAAATGTCTAGTTTTCTTCCTTCGATTGATACCGTTGGCAAAAGTTCTCTCGTCGCCGCGAAGAGGATTTACTCGGCCGTTGATTGCTTGGAAGGAGCTACGAGCAATGGTCGCGGAGGGAGAAAGAAGAATAGAAGGAATCGGGCGCGTTCAATGGATGATCATACGCCTCACCAGAAATCTGAAAGAAAAAAAGAATACTCTCAGGAGTTGAGGATGCGGAAGGATAAAGCCCGAATTGCGCGTGAAGAAAGTCTGGTAGAGCGAGAAAACATGAAGGTTCTTAAAGAGAGGGGACTCCGCGAGAAGAAAAGACTGAATCAGTTATTTTCAGTTTACGCTGTACAGCACGGATCCGCGTATAGAGAAAGTGCAAAAGTCGTCAAACCGAAATTTCCAGTTTTGTTAAAAAGTACAAAGAGTACAAAAACCACTGCGATGTCGCGCGAGAAAATTTCGCTTCCGCACAGCCCGCTTCCGAATTTGCCCTCTGACAGCAGAGAAGGTTCCCAGGAATAGTTTCTTACCAGGAAGAAATATCTCAATTTCGGCTGGAATCTGTCAAGAGTTTGTACTATTTAGGGGAGTATTTGGCAATATATAGAATGGAGAAACTTGCGACACACAGAAACTTCCAAGTCCTTTGTAATTTGCATTTTATGGGCTTAGCTTGTGATAGTCTTGTTTTTCTTGTTAAGTTTTGTTATAAGCATGGTTGTTAACATGGCAGCGTAAAGGGTTTTTTCTCGCTTTTGTTAATTCGTGATTAAAAATGTTTGTATGTAGGAAATTCTAAACACCTGATTTATTGATATCTATACACCCGGCCACCTCCCAGAATTCTGAAGAAACCGCAAATATTAGCCGCCTTTCATGTGCAGGGAGCGTCAAGATTTCAAATTAGCAAGAAAGTGCGATCTATATGGAGGTATCGCGAACTCCCGCAGCGAAAGCGAACAATGATAATCCCCGGTGTTAATTTATAAGTAAAACAAAGCAAGAAAAAGTAAAGAACCAGTCTTTTTTATCGGGAGGAGGGGGGGGGGAATCGGAATATTTTGGTTGACTGATTCCCCTCCGTTCCCGATAAAAATCATGAGATCTCCCTCCCCCAAAATTCCCCAAAATGTTCCCCCAGGGGGGGCGGGGAGGAAGACGTCCGTGTTGCCACGCTGTACGCGGTCTCTTGTTTCTGATGTCGCTAGGACAGTAACGATGTCATACATAGTCAATTTCATAGTCGGTCTTTGATCACGTGATCTCAAAAGAGGAACGTTCCTACGATGAATATAACACCTGGAATGTGGATCACGGTATTTCAATATATGCAAGAGATAAAAAAAATACGTAGATTTCCGAAATATATTCCTTTTTAAGGAATACAGATAAAGCCTGAAAGATTATTGAGAAATAAAGGCTTTTACGAAATCAAGTGAATAATTATTTACACGATAACGTGTATGCATTGCGAACCTATTTTTATTTTGCGCTTGGAAAACTCGCGAAAGGAACTCTGGGGTAAACAAGACTGCTTTTAAAATGGCGGACAAGGGTACATTTGTTGGCGCAAGGTTACGAGTGTCCACAAACGAAGGAGATTATGAAGGAACGGTCCATAGCATAGATGTGGAAAAGAGGAAGGTTACGCTAAGTAAAGGTGAGTCAATCCTTTTCAATGATGCGAATTAGATTACTGTCATTCGTCCTTGAACAACCTCACCGTCCAGGAAGGAATTGAACTGATTAATTTCGCAGTTAGGAATATTAAATCTTACTTTCTTGGTTTTGCATCCGCCTACCTATTAATTTCCGAAACAATTATTTTCATTTAAGTTTATTTAAGATACATAACTGACAGATAGAGGAATCGTGTGGCGAATGTTTTTGGTACTGTCTGGCAAACGAAATGTCAAATTGATGAGTTGTTATAATAGCACAATGTGGTCCATTGTTAGCTATGGTTGCATTACCACAATAGTCACTTTTAACAGTTTTTTACTTGCTAGAGGGAGGAAAAGATCATACATTCAGACAGATATCGCTGATCGGAGAATTCTACGGCATCTAGGCAGAATCCTCCTACTAAGTTTTGATGACCTAAGCTATTTTTTATTCAGACGTGGAAAACATTATCATGTCACTTTAAAAATTCTTAACCCTTACATTTCCAAAGAAGCTGACAAAGAGAATTTGTTTAACAAGCAAGAGCTGCTATAGTTGGTGATCATCTCCTCTATTCTGGTGACTTTCATGTTTGATTCAGGTGTATTATTGTGAGGTGAAATTAGATGCTAGTCACTCTTAGGGGTAAGGGGTTAATAAAAAAACCTGGCATGACGAGCCTAGAGTTACATTGCTGCTCAAGCTTACAATGCAGTGAGCAAATGAATAATGAGGAAAAAAATGCAAAGAGAGAGCTATAGTGAAACAAGATTTATTTAATTGGAGCAAAGCGAGTTCTATTCACAGGTGTGGCAAAGGACTTGAAGCCAAGATCTCTGGCTTGCAAGTTCAGGATTCCTTTCACTAGTGATGCTGCTTCTACACTGAGAAGATACAACTCTCCTGAAAGGAAATCATGCTTATCTCATATTTTTATTTTTGATATCTAGTGGTTTCATGCAGCACAGGAAGGAAACTTCACGGATTTCATCATTTTTTCGGTCATGAGCTAACCTCATGTAAGTGGTACCTGTAATAATAACAGTATATCACCATTTGAATCAAGCTATGTTTATCTGGCTCTCAGATAGAAGTAAAAATCACAGTCTTCCCCCTTCATCCCCATGGTGCTGACAAAGAAGATGGTCAGCTTAGGGGCATCATTTATGTTATGTCTGAAGGGTGAGATGGAGATAGCCATAAAGGCCACTGTGGTGTAAAGGAAATTGTGGAGGCTTTTTCCACATCAGAGCAAGGTGTTTTATTCTCTACATACTGACATTTATGCACTGAAAAGGGGCAAAATAATTTATTTTTCACAAGCTGGTCAAAGAAGCCAACAGCCAATCAAATGGCTTGTATTGCATTTTTCACATTTGGGGAAAAGATGAAAAGTCTTTCCATATGGTATTTACACACTTGTCAGTTTGTATCAGAATCTAACACATTTGATTTCTGATTCCACCATCTCATGCATAAACACCAAAGAGGCAAACTTCATATGAAGTATTTTATATGTATTACATGATGAGTATTTTGAATCTGTGAAGTGAGAATATTAGCTTGTCAAGTACAGTGAAGTTTGAAGTATTTGAAAGAGTAAGTTGGATCAATGGTTTTTACCCTCAGGTTTTACACTTAAGCAGGATAGTGCTCAATCAAGCAAATTCACCAGTGGTGACTCTTAATGACTGTTTCACAACATTTTCATAGCAGTCAACTTTCTTGTTATTTAACAGTGGAGCTGTTAGAAGAGGCTGATAACAATGCTTCACAGGATCAACTGGCAGAGTAAGTTATCACAAAGTTGCTAAACACCACAACAGACTGAGGCTTGTTCTAGGATGACGATGTTTATTAAATGTATATCTTGTTGACATAAAACACCAGACTATTACTAACATCAAATGTATTTGATGGATATACTAAAACAATGGTCCAGTTATCAAGAATAAATAAAAAATACTAGTGAAATATAGAAATGTCAAAATTGCCTATGGTATGGATGGGAAAGAAACTTAGAATTTACTTCAGAAGTTATAAACTAATATGCTGGCTTGTTCACTTGATTGCTAATGAAACATACTCAGATACCTAAGTAGCAATATACTTAAATAATTTTGTAGTTAGAAATGTGCTAGCATGGTGCATAACCAATGGTTCTATCCACGTCTTCTGACTTGCTTGCCATATATATTGCTCTGACTTGCTTGCCAAACAGATTGCTCAATCTAACCTACTAGTACCCAGTCTGAACTTCACAGTTATCAATGTCTAGATTCATATAAATGAGATAAATAGTCACATCAATAAAGAAGAGCAATTATTAGTTAATAATCTAATCCATACTCAATCAACCTCTGGAATTTAAAAATCACATTTTCATCTTTCTATAGGAATAGCCAGAAGCATGATAATAAGAAAGAAAAACAACTCCATGAGGAAAACTCTAACATTGCATCAAATCATTCATTGCAAACGTCATCTAAATCAGACAGAGGCTTTGGAGACAGAGGAGTAGCAAAAGCATTTGCAGATGCTGGTATTGGGATCAATTCAAAATTAGGAGTAAAAAAGACAGCTGTGTCCAGTGGATCTTTCTCCAGAGATGTGAGCGATGAAGGAGACAGTCTACTGAAAAGGCACCCTATTGTAGCAGAGAAGTGTATGTACTCTTCACAAATTTCTCTGCCTGGCTAGTGTTAGATTTACCTTTCAGACATGTTATCTTTACTTTGGTGAAGATCAGAAATAACTCGAAAGTTATAGATGGCATGTTAGTCTGTTACAGGTTGCTCCCTGCCATTTTGGCAGGTTTCCCTGACAGGCTGCTGGCATGTATTTATAGGCGGGGTAAAATGGGGACCTGTTGACATTTCATGCACATAAATAATTAGAGATAATGCATCACGAAAAATTGGATAAACAACTTTAAGGTTGACTTATTGCAAAAGGAAAAAAGAATTCACTGTTCAGGGCCCAGTTGTTCAAAGGCCGATTAGCCCTAACCCAGGGTTAATTCTAATCCAGCTTTCTTTATTTCTTTGTTCAAAAATCTTTTAGGGAAAATTTTCACTATTCTTTTTAGAACATCCAATGATCAAATTGCAAGCAACAAGATTTGAACTGAATTTTCTCCTAAAGTTTTCAGCCCTGAAATCAAATTTCACATTAACCCTGGGTTACCTTAACCCAGCTTTGAACAACCCGGGCCAGGGGTTTTAATTTCTTATTTTCATAAGTCATGAAAATTAAAAACAGTTAATCTCAAATCACACAAAAATCCCTTTTAACCCCTTTCTCTATACTCACGGGTGAGGTAGGCACTATAACAGTAACACAGAATGACCTGGCCAGATCTCCAACCTAGACCACTTGGCCTGGAGTCCAGTGGCAAAAAGTGCAAAGGAGGGGGCTGATGGAGGTTTTTTCTTTACTCTGATATAGTTAATTTCAAAGAAAATAGGCAGAAACTTTATATCTATGTATTTGCAATATTTAGACAGGCTGGCTCAAAGCTATTTAAATGGGGGTCTGTTTAAACAATAACAAGGCCAGACAACAACACTGTGAGCTATGTTCCCTACTTTTTGTGAGAAATGTGTGGGTTCTTTAACATCCCTTGCTAATAAGTACAGAGAGGAAGCAGGAGATGGGGTCTACAGTTTATCGTCCTTACCTGAGAAGACTGGAATGTCTAGTAACCATTTTGCAGTGTCAAAGCAAAGGCGGCACATTCTCCTCAGCTATTTCCAGACCCTCAGTGTTGTGTAAAAATACTTGATATATACCCTTCGTAATTTTGTTTTACCCAATGTAAAGAATGAAGAACATTGTAATCCTGTAACATGATTTAACAAGTCACTTCAATTTTTCCATTTTAGATCTTTCTGATGCAACACTTGATGACGAAGTAAAGGAGAACACAAGTCCTAATGAGCTCCCTGATATTGTGCCTATTGATTCATTTGGGAAGTCATTTGAGGAAGCAGTAAGTGGTAGTGCTTGTTTTGGAAGCCCTTTCACTCCCTAGTGTTTTTCAGAAGTGAATTTTGCCTTGCTTTACATGTTCTTGCAGAAAAACAATAAAATAATAACTTAGAAACATAATTAACTAAGGGATATTTGTTTCATTAACTGTGCCTGATAATGTACGTGGAAAAATTATGTGCCTCTGATTGGCTGAAAACATGTGCATTCTCCTGTAATATGAGTGCAAAGTTGTAACACAAGCAAATTACAGATAGCATGCTCACACTTTCAAAATTTTGTTTGTTTTGACTCTCTGTGATGTTTTTTTCACACACATTATTAACAAGCAACATGATTTCTTCAGCAATTTGGTGTAATAAACACTTGCAAATTTTTCAAAGACTACAAATTGCTTTTGCCTTACAGGCGAAAGCAATTTGCACTTTACATCAAATCTACACCAAATTGCTCTTGAAATCGTGTTATTGCCAATACAAATTTTCAGATCTTTTTTTGTATTTTAAATCACCATGTTTGAAGATGTGTAATCTTGAGCTCATCAATAAATATAATTCTTAAAAAGAACTGACTTCAACTCAAATTTTGTAGGTAAAATTCATCAGCAGACAGCGGGTTATTGGTGTTTGCTGTGAAGGTGTAAATCTCGGAAGGCTTGGAAAACTTTGCTGGCTGGTGGTATGTGTACTTTTTTGTGTATTAAATTATTGGTACTAAATTTTGTGGGTCTTAAATCTCACATTTGTCCCAATGGTAAGACAATTGCAAAATAAAAGACGTGCAGATAAAAATCTTCGTGAAATTTAAACCCACATAGAAAATTCAAATGACAAGTTCCAGAGAACATCTTTTGAGCAGTCGTCAAATGTTAACTCTTTAACTCCCATAAGTGACCAAGACAGAATTTCTCCTTACAATATCATTACAATATCAACCAGATGAGTGATGAGAACAAAGAAAAATATCAAATTGGGGATAATTAGTTGATTTGATACTAAATTCTCTGAACTAACATTATAATAATTGTATGGTTGACAGTAAAGAGAATTACAAATTTGATCTTTGAGTTAAAGGGTTAAGACATTTTTGAAAAATATAATGAAGTTAAGAACACTTGAATTGCAAAATTTAATGCCCTTTTTTTTCCTGTATGAGTATTAAAATCGCAAATCTTAAACCGCACAAAATAATGTCTCACCAAAGTTACAAAATTAATTAGCTGCAAAATTGAATACTGATAAGGTATAAGTATCAGGTAATATTTACTATCTTTGGTTTAATAGTGGATCTAATAACATCATCACATTAAATTGTCTCCCATTAATGGTGTTATTCCTGCATTCACTCATTTGTTTTCATAGTTATCAAGCAGAATCATGCTGCTCTTTTCTGGGTGTAAAAATTCAAAATTCAGGCAGATGTTGTAGCCTAACAGGTGGTTAAGTGGACTTCAGGTCAAGAGGTCTGGGTTCAAGACATGATAGCAACTCTTTTGTTGCCAATTTACATTATCAACTCATTTGATAAGACCAAATTGTATCTGAGTAACAGTATGCTGAATCATGGCTGTGGCATCAGAGGTTTGGACCGCATTGCTCAAGTGTGAACTTCACATTTCCAATTAACAGGATTAACGATTACAGGACTTTTGCATGCTCATGATATAGTCTTTCTTTAAGATCTACAATCTAGATTCAACCACTTTTGAGCTTAAATACCTTGCATTTAGGCAATTGTGTGCATCATTGTCACATTCTTTCCATTATAAATCAAATTTTTTGGTAGTCATTATGACAGCAAGAGGGTAACATTTTCCTGTTCTTTGTCAGATTGGCTGTAGCAGAGTAATTTACTTGTTTGATGTTCTTACTCTTGGAGCTCCATGTTTTGATGAGGGATTACAGGACATTCTTGAAAGTGGAGACATACTGAAGGTAAGAGTAACAATGAGCTCGTAATAATTCCCTTGCAGGCGTCGGTCAAATTGTTCCGTTTAACCTGTTGTTATAAGATAACGCTTTTATACTGTACACACAGCCTCGAAATCATTGCGAGAAAGGTGATACAGTCGTATCCTTAACCTGAAAAATAATTAAATTCTTCTTTACATGAGTAAACAACCGATCAAATTGACTGGCAGTCAAAGAAGTTTTTTAGACAAAGGTAAAATTTCCGCAAGTCCCATACTATTGTAAAACAAATCTGTTTTCCCAATGGCAATGTAATATTTTTGTCATTGTTTTCTCTATCCAAGAACTGAGTGCATAATTTAGTATGGGGCTGAGCGGAAATTTTACCCAGACAAAACTTATATTTGACTAGCCTGCAGAGCAGGCGTAATTTTGGCGAGCGAGTGCTTAGTATTTTCTAAGCGAAAACTATGACCGCAGCAGCGGAAGGCTGGAGAGAGAAAGAAATTTGTACCAAAAGGGGGTGAGCGAAAGTAAAAAATAAGGAGAGGGTGGGGCTGGGAGAGTGAATATTAAGCGTTTTTTTTTTGCCTTTCCCCGCACCCTCCCTCCACCACAGACTCTAACTCCAAATCAAACATGGCCGGTTGAATAAACGATCGCGAGCTTCTTAACGTTAACTCGCCCTAATAAGACGCCTGAACTGCAGGCTAATATTTGACCGGACATTGTACATTGACCAGCCGTTATTTCCCTGGTGTCTAAAGAAAAGATATGAAGTATAAATTTCTTAAGATTTTCAACTGCTTTTAGCACTAGAGATGCTTCAGGTTAGTGGTATATCCTTTGGACTCCAGGCCCTGATCATTCGAAAGGTGGATAACACATTCCATCGGATAAACCTCTATTTAGTAAACAGCGCAGCACTTATTCGTTGGTTAGCAATTTATCCATTGGGTAGCGTTTTCGTCCCTCTTAACAACTAGGCCTAGATTAGGAAGTCTAGGTTGAAGCCCTGTCCAGATTATTGTGTCTTGTTTTTTGGCAAACCATTTAACTCACACAGTGCCTCTTTTCAACCTTCTTAAAATTCTTGTGTTGCTTTGTTTTGTATTTCAGGTATTTCACGACTGCAGACTGGCCAGTGATGCACTATTTCATCGGTATCATATCCACCTGATGAACGTGTTTGATACTCAGGTCTGTAGGGTGTTTATTCTTGCAGTTTTATTAGTCAAGTGTCTACATTTACTGATTCATGGTGTATTGACAAAGAATTTGTCATAACATTATGTTATGTCATTTATTGCATAACTTGCATTTGTTGCAAAGAGGTATATTTGGGCGAAACAGGAAGACGACCAGGCGAGCGATTCCGAAAACAACCTTGTGACCTAGAAAGGAAAAATAAAGACGCATCCAAACCAGTCGCTAGACAGTCCAAAGTCTTTCCTTACATATAGTCAGTTCGGAAGCCTATAGAATAAAAACTTATCTTTCAATTCGGCACTCTTAATCCCCAAGGTATCAACGAACGCTTTCCATTCAACTAATTTATTCTTGTTTTTCACGCTACCGTGTTTCCAGCAGTAGCATAACTCTATTTTTCGGTACATAAACCAAAAACAACCCACAATTCCTCAAATCGCTTTGACGAATGGCTGACACTCTGACGGTGGCTAATTTAAATTTTGTACGTAATTGATGAAAAAAATTTTCTTCGAAATGTTATGACAGTTCGTTACTCCTGTAGGCGAAACATGAAAGAGATTACTTTTTTTATGTTTTGACAGGTGGCGGATGCGATTATTTACAAGAATGAAAGAGGAGGAGAGCTACCCAGGTAAAAGCTTACTTCTAGTCTTAAAACTCTGACAGAAAACTGGTGGGTTAGCATATTGTATAGATAGTAAAAAAAGAACGGTTAGATTGTGTCGAGTACAATTCAGTGAGTAGTTCTGTAAGTAATTGCTCGAGTCTGCCGCGCAAAACACATTTGAAATTGTCAAATCTTAAAATATCTATTAGTTAGAACGTGCGCTATGATTGGTCAATTTGGCGGGTCGTATTTTCCTGTACGGCTCGCTAGATTCAAAATGTTGTTCAAAGTGAGATCTTCTCCCCTCTCTTTGAACTCAAAGATACAATTTCTTACTAACCTCGTTTTCGCGGTCCATACAGTAAGTTAGAGAACCTCGTTTTCTCCGTTCGTGTTTATGGCTTAAGTGCACTCGGTTCGTAAGTTACAAAACGAACCTCGATCTCGGTTAGTAAGAGGTGTATAATCACTTCCTGAGTTGTCCAATATGGCATCCAGTTTCTACATAATTACATCAATAACGGACCTCGTGGCCAAGATCGTATTTCATAATCTCTGTTTAATGAAAAAAGGAAGGGTTTAGGATCCGACCATTTTTTCCACGGTAAGAAAACACGAAGAGAACTTCTAATTGTTACATTACAAGATGGCAACAAAGGGATTAATTAACAATTTTGTTTTTACTTCTTAGATATGTTAATGGACTAGTGGCCTGTTTGTATGAATACTTGAACTTGTCACCTGAGAATGTGTCCTTCCAGAAAGTGCGACAGAAATTTATGAAGGTATATTACATGTATTACTCTTGTCCAGTAGACTTTAAAAACAAGCAAACTCCCTAAAGTGCAAGAAAACGCGGGCGACCAGGTCTTGATTGGTTGTAGTTTTGCATTTGATTGGTTGAGAAGCGGTCACTTAAAGCGAAACCACTCAAATACATTCAAGTATAATCTCTCAAGTCAGATTTATTTCATGTTCATCTCCCGAAATCGATAGTGGCACTTTGAGTTCATAAGTCTGGAGCGCATTGCAAATAATCTTTCTTCGTTGGACTGCTAGGAAAAATAATACGCACGAACATCACACAACTCATTTGCTAGTCAACTTGTTTGAAAGGGTCACCCCACCATTCCTCATGGAATGGAATGAAGGCCCCCCCCCCCCCTTTAGTTTTTTTCGTTTAGAGAGATTGGAACGCTGTATTTCTTCAAACGAAAAAATTGAAAAATTATTGCAAAACGTATTATGATCAGCACTGCTACTGCTCACTTTGAAGCGTTTTTTTTTTTTCACTCCGGTTATAAGCCCCCTTGGATATAAGCCCCTACGTCTACAAGCCCTCCCAAAACCCCTTACAAAGTTATATATTAATCTAAGGACTTAAAAGCGGCAGTTTAAGGTAGTTCAAATCAGCAGCTTGTGGGTATATGGCTAATATGTCTTCCAGTTATTTCTGCTATCAACTGGAACTTACTTGGTAGACCTAAGAGTATTTTTTAACGTACCATGCTTAAACCATATTATTAATATTGATTTCCTTTACATCTTTTTAATTTGATCATTTAGACAAATGCATCTGTTTGGGCTGTAAGGCCTGCTCCAGAGGCTCTTGTAGATGCCGCCGCTAAGGTAGGCAATGGCATCTTAAGCTGAGTATATTTCTACATTAATGAAAATACCACGGAGAGAGATTCCTGTAAAACGTTGGTGCTAAAGGTTCTCTTTTCATGGTACGATTGGAGCGCTCTATGTGTAGGCGTTGTGGGACTAAAACCAAAGTGATCACAGCGGCCAATCATGACCAAGAACAATATCTTAAGGAGCCAATGAGAGCTATTAGTTGATACATGTGAACTGCCTGAAGCACGGGAAAACTTGAATGACCAAGGCGCGATTGGTTTTAGCTTTCCATCTGATTGGTTGTGAGAGGGATGCGGTTATCTTGACCAATCACATCGCAAAGTAATGCAAAAATGATTATCAATCCCTGGTCATTTTCGATATTCAATTGGACATTTCACTGTTTTTTCCATTTTTTATATATATGTACATTTGTATTTTTTTTGTCTTACCAGCATGTCATGTATCTAAGGGAGCTGCGGCTTGCTCAAATGGAGAGACTAATGGCAGAATTTCTTTATGGCGTCGATATTTATCTGAGTATTGCTCGAGATTCCAAGGAGCTGAACCCCAAGGTAACAAGAAAATATGCGATTTTCTTTTAGAATATATTAAAAAAGAGAACTAATCGAAGGGAAAGTGCAACCGTCAGAAGTAATTAACTCACAAAGACCACAACTTCACCGTCCAATATCAATATCAACCAACCTCGGAAACAGGGGATGAGCAGAGAAGGATTATGGAGGTTTTGCCCAATTGCAAGTTTGCTCCCTACCGCCATTGCGAAATCTCTCCGCTGAAGTAAGGCAGGTTCGCCTCCACCTCCGACAGTTCGCCCCAAAATCAAACCTGGCAGCTATGATGCCAATTGCGCATATGTCGTTAGTTATGTTCGGTCGTGTCCACCAGTTAGTTAGGACCAGGGCGCGATTTGTGTAGAAGAGGTATCCCTAGTAGCTTCATAATAGAGGAGATCAGTATCACAAGTTTAGCTTAGGGAATTGAAAGACGTTCAAACATTATTTATTCTCGCGCTCTTTATTGACCACGCTCTTTCCAGGTGAAAGGTCAGCTGCTCCCTGCAAAGTTCAAAGAACTGAACCATTTCAACTACAGACATCGGTCGAGACGATATGATGGTGACTTCCATGAAGATGCAAAAGGAGTCGTACCAGAGGACGTGCTGGCCAGTCGGGAGGCCTGGTGCGAAGGTGATCAGTTCACGCATGCCTATGAGAATAAAAAGGGGCGTGTGAAGGAAACTGTCAACTCTATCTCCGTTCCCTTGAACAGACTGAAAGAGAAATGGCGCGAAAGCGGGAGTGATTCTGACGCAAGTAACGTCACTTCAGAAAGCAATGGAAGCAGCATGGAAGCAGCATTACAGAATCAAGGCGCTGCTGCTCCTGCTGTCAAGTCGTCTTCTGTTTCAATTACAGCCCGCCCCCAGGAAATATTCATAGAAAAAGACTTTCCACCACTGAGCAGTCGTCAATCCGAGGGACCTGGGACCTTTCCTCGACAAAAGGAACAAAATCGTCTAGATTTGCAAGCCGATAGAAGAATGGAAGAAACCGTAAGAGAGACAGCCCATGCTCTTGGGCCTGGACTACAATCTAATTCTGCTCAGCCACCAAGTCTCTTACTCCAACGTGCTAATGCGCTTTTGAGGGAATCTGCATCCTTGCCTGGCCGCGGGCGGGCGGGAGCTTTGTTACGGCACGCCGCTCTCCCGGAAGTGAGATTGCCCGGTGGATCGGGATATTATCACCACGAGGCAAGTGGTGCCGATCGCTACGACGCAAACAGAAACGAATTCCACTTTCCAGCTGATGAAGAACTCCTCGCTGCTCCGGAGGTCGTTCCAGTGCCCAACCAACACCTTGTTGGGGGAACAACAGTGAGGATCAGAAAGACTTGACACGATTTATGTTGCGTGACGCGTGACCTAAAGGTTGCCGTTTGTTGCGGAACGCGTGATCTAAGGAGTGAAGGTTACCAGGAAAGGTTTTTGCCGTAGGACAATAGACGTTTTTCACGTCACTTGTGCATTACGCGCAAGGTTTTGCAGTTCTGCATTGGAATTTCGAAAGAGATTTGTATTGAGTACGAGTAGAAAGAATGTTTTACTCTTAACTGAATCTCGCAGAAATTTTTTCAAGCAAGGGCTGTTAGGAGCTCGTTACTAGCGTTCTATGATACTAAAACTGTTTCTATCAGCGAACGAGAAACGTCGTAAATGTTTTTGAATGTGTATCAAATCAATCACATGTCAGGCTTTTTATGTTCGAGTCGATACCACTCAAAAACATGGTGATGAGGAAGAATTCTAAACTTGGAGTGATGTCCAAACTACCGAGATCTTCTCTTGATAGAATATCAACACTTATTTACTCGGCGATGTTTCCTTAAAAATTCTCTCAACCCAGTTCCAAGATCACACCGTTAGGGCGCAGATCGGAGAATCGATGACATTTCGGTGGATCAATGACGAGATCCAAGAATGCGGACAAGTGACTCAGTTGTTAGTCATGCGACTTTATTAAAGTAGCCTCTTTGTAAAATTAGACTACCAAAAAGCGTTGGAGAACTTTTGTGCTGTAACTCATCTTTCTGGTTAGGATCAACGCCAGTAGTCGTATGACTGAAGGAACCTATCCAAGTCGCGGTGTCAGTCATTGCGCTGGGGCCCGGGTTCGAGGCCTGGCCGGGACATTGTGTTGTGTTCTTGGGCGAGACATTGGAATGGGTACCGGAATTGTCGGGGAACCCTGATGTAATGCTGGGGGTAGCCTTAGGATGGACTGGCATCCCATCCAATGGGGAGTAGTAATACTTCTTGTCGCTTCATCCCATGGAGGAAACCGGGATAAGCTCTGGCTGGACGGGACACTTGGCTTGACAGACTTTCTACTTGTAAAACGACTAGGACTGTTGCTGCATTTCTACAGGGTTACAGTTTGCTGGTACCCCTGAATACTTCTGGTTAGAGAAAGGCGTTGAGGAAAAACGTACCCATTGAACCAGGTTTGGGCTCGAACCCAGACACCTCGCCGTGCTCGTTCCAGTTTTACGTGGTGACATGACAGCCAATAGGCAACTGCATTCTTAAACCTAAACGAGGAAAGAATTCGAAAACTCGGAAACCTTCATTTATTGTTCAACCCTTTTTGGTAGTTTTCGGGGGCTTTGTAATGTCTATGTTTGACTAGTTGTGATAAGTTTATGTCTGTTAGTGATAGCTGTAAAATTATGCTGAACAGCTTTGAACAGCTTTGCTGATATTCTCTCGGGTCGTATCAGCCACTTATGAAATAGAGCGAGCGCTCCCGAGGCAGCCACGAGAGCACGAGATAAGCGAAAACGAGAGGTTTGGATCGAGTCGCAAACCCAAACTTCTCTCGGTTTTTTTTCTCTCCTCTTGTGGCAAAAAACAAGTTGCCTAGTATAGCAGTACTCAGCAATTGTCAGTGTTTTCAATAACTACTTATCAGCTTTTCGGTGTGCAAACTAATAATAAAAAGAAGTGTGTCTCAGTTTTTCCGTGCGCTGCGAAACCAAAGGAACTTCACTATACTAAATCCATACCAATCTAGACAGAGCAAGTAACAATATATTTTTACCGTCGAGATCGGAAAATTGGTCAGTGCCTTATGCCTTTAGCTCCAGGAGCATAAGCCATCGAAGATTTCTCTTCTCCACCTAGCCCTGTCCTGGGCTTGGGATTGATCCAATGTTTGAAAACAAGGGGACGATTTTTTTTTTCGAAAAGTGGAGAATCAGAGAGAAATACGGTGACGTGTTGCAGTTTTTAGCCACATACTTCTTCATTTTGGACATCTGGTGCAGATACAGGTGCTTCGGTCTTCATCCTTGGGTGCTTCGTGTTCCACGTTGTCCTCCACTTATACTGTAACCCAGAAGGAAGGAAAAGAAGGATCAAGAACAAGTAACATTCAATGAGTGTCGATAGTTATCTAAATTGCATTTTAGTTTCCTTTTGGAGCGCTTTTCGATAAGTGTCATGAAACCCAAACTTAAATAATTACAACGGTCAATCGGAAGAAAATAAATTATCGTGAAGAGCCAATGAGAGCTCAAAGTAAAAACAAGCAAGCCGCCTAAGACGCGGGAAAACACGGGCGACCAAGTCGTGATTGGTGCTAGTTTTGCATCTGATTGGTTGAGAGAGAGAGAGACTCAAGATTTCCGGACCAATCACAGAGCAAAGTAAAGCGAACCAGCATTTAATTGAAAATTGCTTCATGCATTTTTTTCTTCGTAAATAGTACACACAAAAAAAGGAAGAAAAAAAAAACCGCGCCACCCAGTCGACCAAACAGATGTGAAACAAAAAGCAATATTGCGATTTTGTCAATCGCATTTTCACGCGCTGCATGTAGTCACTTTGCCCTCTTTGTTTACTGGCTGTTGTGGCTACCTTGGTTAGCTTTACGACACTTATCGCAACAGGTGTTGTAATACCGAAACAATCTCATTGACCCTGCGAAATCACCGTTCAAGGCAAATGCACACTACTTAAAACCACTTGACATTTTAAGGTTTCTCGCGAAGTAAACAGACGTTGGAAAAAAAAATAGATAGGTAGAGAGATGTTACAAGCACCATTCCCCACTCGGCCCGCTCGTTTTGTGTTGTATTTGCGCCGAAGTAATACGTTTCTATCTCCACTATTGAGCTTTCAAATAATTAATAATTCATCGCCTCAAGCACTCGATTGTCGGCAAAAATAGACAATGCCAATATTTCAATATCGTATTCAGATCGGATTCGACTACCGCAATTAAACCTTTCTCCTAAAAGCGTAAAAAGAAAATTGGCTGATATCATGATCTGATGTACAGTGGATACAATTATGATAAAGATGGTTGTTCTTTCATCTGATTTTCCACATGAATTCACAGCTTTTCTCTTACTTTTTTTTTCTTTTTTTTTTTTTTCATTCGGTACAGATGAGTGACTCTGGAATTTCAACCATCTAAAAGGTCAAGATTTTTTGTTGCGATAACGATTTCGCGGCGGATTAATTAATTGGCCTTCTCGACCAAGGCGAACTTGCCGACAGAAGAGAAACCTCTTATCGCTAAGTCATTAGTCTGCGATACGTTAGTAGCATAATAAAGTGTTACAAGCATTAAAGGGCCTTGGTCCGGAAACCACAGTCAATCGTATAACTACATATGATTTGTCCCTTTCCAAAGGGGCGAATTTCAGTTTAATTCTATTTTAGGTTTAAGGGACTGTTACCATCTTAGTAAGCCAAGACTGCAGAAAAAATTGTCAGAAACGTGCTGTGTTTGATGTCCGCGATAAGACGATTAAAAACAGTCCAATCTAATCGAAAACAACGGTGTAAGAAAGTATCATGGTCGTATTGATGAGGTATCTCTAACATGCTTCATTATTTGGCACCGTTAAAGTACAAGGCCATTTAAAGGCGCGAAGTCTCGCGTGACTTCGTTGAATTGTTTTGATCAAGGCTCACGCAACATTAATTCTTTGCTTACTTGCATTAATTAACCTCAGTGCAACTCTGTTGCTAGTACTTTTCTCGTCATATTTATTCCTCTTTATTCTGAATGATTTAAGTCTGTAATTCAAAAATGTAGTAGCCTGGCTTTTTCCTCACTGTATAACTGTTTACAGGGGCTTGTGAAACATGGCAACTTTACTTAATAAGAGAAATTATTCAATGACATAAGGCTCTCATAAACAGCGTAATAGATTCAGACATAATAATAAATTGCATCTACGCGAGCGGGTAATTGATAAAAGAAATGATTCAAACAATCGCTCTTTGAAGAATATTCTCTATATACTACGGAACACATAATATATTTCTAGAACCAAATAGAGAGTTCTTCCAACAGGACCGAGCATCAAAAATTTAACGGCGTCCAACATGAGTGCCATTTGACCAATGAAGTCAATTAAGGACGGCAAACGACAAAGACTAAGCTTAATTACGAATGTAAAGCAGGTATCAGAGTCATCTATTTGTCCTAATGGCCAATTCGATGTTTTCAATTAATACTAAGCCTGGGCCATCTCTTTAATGACCTGCCAGAATTGCGAAACATTTGGGAGCTGCTGCTCTGCGAAAGGCGGAGTAGTGTTTCTTGTCGGAAAAAAAAAGATGTTGCAAAACTTGGTTCCCTTATGATCCCTACAGCGCGTTACGTGAGATTTCTGTGATTTACAGACGCAATTCACACCTGTGTTTGCGTTATTAATTACAATTATTGCACAACTATTTCTAAAGCGGATAAGAGAACGACGAATACGGGGCTATCCTCCTCGAGCTATAGGGGATGGCCCACGTACAGGGGAAACTTGAGGTTCTTTCTTAAAAAGGTGGTAGTGCTTGGAATTGTTTGTCTAGAAAGATATGTGAAAACAACGTATGGTTTAAAAGATTTTTCGAGGAGTTTGTTCACTACCCTGAGATCTACCGCTGCATTACTAATTCCAAGTATTTACCTCGCAAATAAACCACCCGTGCTTAATAAGTTGTTTTAATATGAAAAACCCTGCCATTACGCGATTGCTTTCATAGGCGAGGCTATCATTTGATTTTGCTCTCGGTGCATGTAGCTGATATATCTAAGCTTAAAAGACTTTTTTATAGCTGTTTTTGTTTATCACCGTGATATTAAGGAAGTTTGTATCCTCCTCCGTTATAAGAGACTCTCCAAAACGAAAATTGGAGAGAACCTGATAAGTGGCAAATTAAATCCCGCGAGAAACAAACAGACAAACGAACAAAACAAACAAAAAGCCGCTAAAGCCTTCGGCTTAATAATTACTTTGCAAAAGCTTTTTCAATAAGCGAAAGGATGTCCCATCAACAAAAGCCAAGGTGTAGTATAATATTGGCGATTTTCAAGAAACAAAATCCAAAGGCGCTGGATGAGAGCTATGCCAGTGTTTTAGCCAATCACATGAGCGCGCTTCCAATTAACTGTCAATCAACTTAAACAACTGGTTGTCAGTTCTACACTGATCGAGGGATCAACTCCATCGAGTATTTTTCGAATGTATAACAAGGGGCAGCGATCATGGCGAATTGCTGCACTAAAAACGAAAAAACGGAGCCCGTGGGTATCAAACTCGAAGGAAATAATATTGAACAAAATATTGAAAGTTGGCTTGACGATCATCCCGAATTCGTTCACTCTTATTTTACGCGGAAAGCAAGCAGGACTCTGATCGATTCTTGGCTTCAGTCACGCTCGCTTCGAACACCTACCCCTAGCGGAACACCGCCTCCGTCGGGATCTTCTACTCCTGTAAGGAAAATCTCTGCCTCGGAATTTGAAGGCCGAGGGATCTTAAAACCCTTAGTGAATGTTGTCGATGGGCAAGCAACGTTTCTATCACCGAGCGAGCCTTCGAGAGCGCGATCGCCTCACCGCAATCGCAAATCGCGCGTCGAACTACTACAACTGGACGAGACAGAGCTCCTGATGGAACTCGTCAAAGATATCGCCAGTGATTTGGATGTGAAATGTCTTTGTCACAAAATCCTACAAAATGTTAGTATTCTTGTCAATGGAGATCGTTGCTCGCTTTTTCTTCTTCAAGGCCCGAAAGATGGGCCACGCTATCTGGTCTCTAAAGTGTTCGATGTGAATGCGGAGTCTAAACTTGAGGACATGCAAGGGTTGGAGGAAATAAGGATTCCCCTCGGTACAGGAATCGTAGGATATACGGCAGATACGGGAGAAGTAGTGAACATTGCCAACGCATATGAGGTGAGTTGTTTAATTTTTTTTTTCGCCATGGTGCAAGTGTTACGCGCGCGATGTGCTTTTTGTCTCGAATGCCGGTTGCTTAGCTGTCTTCTTTGAACAAACTTTTCAGCCGCGTAGCAGGATTTCTAATCTTTAACTCTCTCATTTATCCACTTTTCGTTCGTGTGCGAAGCGAACGTAACCATTTTAAGAGGACGGAACATTTTATAGTTCATAAACTAAAATGTTTGGCGCCTGCAGATTTGTGGCTCGAAATTCTTGTTAATCGATTATGTCCAGTGATAGTTTCGAGAGCTTACCCCCTTTGGCGAATTTAACACAGCAAACGTTGTATCAAACTTTGTGGATACTCGCAGTGCCCAAGCGAAAATTTCGTTTAATTTCCTAGAACCGTCGAATTTGCGGACGACTCCCTGGAAACGAACCTCGAAGGTACATTTGGAGTGAACACTCTGTCATGTCGAGAACTATTTTTAGTAGTGGTTCGAGCGAATTCGAGCGTTTCTGTCTTCGAGTTTCTAGTAAGGAGATTGCTGTTAAACGCTTAAATTGTCTGCCAGGTTTAGTTTTGTTAACTTAGTTTCAGCCATCTACAACAACAAAACTATCGTGGCTTTCAGGGGAAATAGAAAGGTTATCGTCAAAACATTGTAGTCATAATTGCTGTCCCTGCTCGCGGACATGTTTACTGCTAGTTTGTTTACATATGGTGCGATTGGCGCTGTGTGTGCCATCAGATTTTAACCAAAAGTTTGTGCGGTTAGAACACTTTCTAAAGAAGTAATATAGTTATTGGTAATCGCTTTTCGGTTAACTGAGCATCGCTGAATATTCAAACGTTCGGAAAATGATCAAGCATGCATGCGTAAGACTTATTTCTATCGCTTTCAAATATTCAATAAAGTGCATTTTGTATTCTCTCTTTCTTTTGTAACTATTTATTTTTTGTGTTGGCAAGTGGCAGTCTTTTCAAAAGTTAATTTTGTCGTGTGGCTCCGATCGTAAGCCTTACTGACTTACAGCAAAATAACAAAATAAAGCTAGTTTGTTTTACGGGTGTCCTCCGCGCTCTTCGGAATTAATTCCTGTTCTGTCTGTTCGGTGTCATCTATTTTTTTTGTTCCAGATATTAAAGCGGTGTGAGCCACTCAAGCTGAAAGAATAGCTATTTCTTATTTCAGGCGACAGTTAGTTTGAAAAGGACGAAACATATTTGCGATTATAAAAACAGAATATTATGTCACGCGAGCCGTCGCGAAGTGATTAAATGATTTCTTGTAATCCCGTCTTGTGGTACCTCTTTACATTTTTCGTTCGGATGAGACATTAATTACTTCTTGTGATGTTTTTTGAGCATTCCGCACCGATCTCGTTTTTCGTTTACCTCAAATTATTTAACCAAGGCTGAATTCGAAAGAAAGCCATTTGTTCTAGAGGAAGTAAGAGGTGTCTTCATTGTAAAAGGGTCGGTTATCTATTCTGCCATTGTATGCACGTAATATTATTTCATAACAAAGGACAGGCAGCAAAAAATAAGAATTTATGTAAACAGTTCTATCTTGTGGTTGAAAAGCTCTCTCCTTAATTAAACTGAAATTTATCACCGACCGGACATACAGGCGCGATTCTCTTTATTCATAATTTCTTTTGAAGGAAAGCGGCGAGATTTTTCCTTTCATCGGGTCGATTTTTAAGCCACTAAGCGTCTATTTCACTCGACATAGTGCAGATGTTAAATTTAAATTAGAAGGTAATATCTAAATCAATTGAGAATTTGTCAGTATACACTAGTTTTCGTTTCAGTCAGAGATTTATTCCCAAGGGGAATGATTTATGTAAACAAAAAAATGCTTCAGGTCTTTTTCAGTACGGCAAAAGTGACCCGACTGCTATCCACATTATCTCTCTTTCTTATACAGATTGCAATACTCTCTTGTAAATTATAGACCTACGTCAGATATGAAGGACACTTTATAGCCTTGTCATCTTTGCGTTATTGACAGGTCAGATGTATCAATGTTATTAGAAATTATATTCGTAGAGTATTATTTATCTTCGTTTTCATTTTGAAAAGGCAAAAACACCCATGGGATTAATGATATTCAAATTGTGTTTTGCCACTAAGTGGCTCTGCTAATGGACCACGTACAGCTGGTTTTTAGACCTTGCTTCAAGATTTTTTTGTTGCATGTGAGTCCTGCCAACTGTCTGATTTTTGACAGAACAGCCGAAGCTATGTCTAGAATTATGCTAAAATGGAGTTTGTTTGTTTTGCCATGTTACCCTGGCTTGAAATCTAGTTTCCATAGTGTATAGTGGTGATGGGAAAGGCTACTACCGTTGACTGAGATGTTAATCCACCTAAAGCTATTTTTGACATTTATGTTGGGTTTTGAAATTAATTATTGGTAGTCATTTGTACACTCAGATAAGATAACTGTAATACTTCTTTCTGACCCTCTTTGAGCCTGCTTACTTTAGAATTTAAGGCAAATACTCCATAGAAGTCAAATTAATTTGGTGGAATGATGCAACATTGTGTGCACTTGCCTAATTTCGCTAAGAAACCTAGATTTAAATCCCAGACCAGATTTTAGTCATGATTTTCGTTGCTTTTCATCCTTTTTCGCAATGATTTTTCTTCAAGTTTCATAGTTTTCCTTCCCACACCACTCAATCTAAAATACAAGAGCTAATGTATACTGCTTTCACTAAGGACTTTGTTTTTAATTATTCACTGATTTACTTTGTACAGAAATGTACTAACCACTTTTCTATTGTGTACCAGTGTAATGCTGGATGTTATCACAGCATCTTCTTTATCTGTGACTGAACTATTTTCTTACTCCTCACCTTATCGTAATCAGTTAGTTTGTGTGTTTTTGTGATCTTTGACAATCTATCCATTCTCTGGTGCTTTATGAATGCATTGCATGACTTGCATGCATGCCCACTATCCCATATTTTTCCTCACTTAATCTGCAATGTGTCAACTTGCTATTCCATAGGGTTATCATATTAAGCCAGCAACTGGCACATTTCACCGTCTGCTCTGAAAAACATGCCAGCCATTTGGAATGTTTGTGGCTAGATTTTCATGATTGAAGCATGAGGATATACTGCCTACTTTTTATCACAAGCCAGTCACTCAAAATATTTTTGAAAACCCTACTTCAATGCAAATCCTTTTTAACTTTTTCAGCATTTAATGGATTTCTGTGATAATTTCTTTTTGGCTACATGAATTGCATGGTCTTGGGAAGGTCTGCTTGTTATTAAATTCTATCATGTGCTTCACCATCACAACAAATTTTCATTGTTTTTTCTGAGACAAATTTCCAATTTAAGAACAACATCACTTTAAGCTGGGCACCATGAGCTTTAAATCAATGAACAGTTTTGCTAATTTTTTTGTTTTTGTATTTCAAAATTTAATTTCTCTAGATGAAAAGCTTGTTTGCAGACACTGGTTTACTTTTACATATGCTGATATTAAGCTTTTAAATGATTATTTGTTCACTTTTAGAGAGTTTGTCATTTGGGATTCGGTTAAAACTGCACTTTGTCATTAGTGTAAGGGTTAGTTTTCCATTTGCATTGAAAATTGATATCTTGAACTAAGCTTGTGTCCACAGGGATAGAAGTTTTTTTTATTGTTTTGTATAAGTTTTACCTTAGATAAAAGTTGGCTTTTATTTTGTATGGATGATTGATATCTTTAACTCAGCTTGCACCCACAGGAGTAGAGTTTTGTTCATGTATCAATAACATTTCACCATGGGTACTCATCAGTATCTTCCTGTCACAAAACACCTGTTATTGCAGTTTTGTATCTTAATTGTGTCACAGTAAGATGTTTCTCTTTCCCATAATTATTTCAAACTGTGGATTCTGTTTTAGGGTGCATGCTTTTTTAATGTGACACTGTAATCTTTCCATTAAATATCTCAATACTAGTAGTGCTATCCTTTTCATACAGTAATTGGTAACATTTACCACCTGTAGTACCTCTTACACTGCCTAAAATTACTAAAAAGATTTGAAAATTTAACAGGTAAGAGGATTGCTCTACTGGTTTCTAGATTCTTTTACCCGTTGCACTTGAAAGAAGGGAGAGCAGTGTTCTTGTCTGTGTATTCCCAGCAGGGAACTTTTTTGCTGTGGCACTGAAATTTTACCCTATTTGTCTCAAACAGTTCGTGTGTCATTTATCTTGACATGATAGTGTTATGTTATTTTGTGAAAATTGCAAAGGTATGTATTGAAGCTGAAGGCAGGCTGTGTTTTCAATATTGGTGTAATTTTCTCTAGATTCTTAATTGCAGCTATTAATTTTAATTTCCTCCTTCAAAATCAGCAGATGGTACTCATCATGTGGTCTTTGATGATGTAAAGTTAGCTTGTTATCGAATTATTTCTTTTTATGTTTTCACATACTGTATTGTACCAAAATAACCCAAAAAAAACATTGTTAGAATGGAAAAGGATGAAAAAAAATATATGGTTTAATTTTTTTGAGATGGGGAAACCAATTGATCCTAAATGAATGCAAATAAAACGTCTTAGTTCTTCTGTGTATCCAGACTTTACTCCAGTCCTAGGAAAAAGCTAGGAAATCTATTTGGGCAGAAATTATATATTATTATACCCTGCAGAAAGAACAGTTATAGGAAAGCTAAAACTGTGGCCTAGCACATCTCCATGAATTTCAAGCTGAGTAACATGAATACCATATTAGCTGGAAAATGTTCCGTCTGCATGCAAAACTCTTTGAGGCTTGGGGATTTCTCTGAATATACTTCAATTAAAGTAAAATTTTGTGCTAAAAATTATGTATGCTTGATAGGGCAGTTCTTAAGTTTGAAGGTAGCTTTTACATTAGGAATTTAATGGCTACTGGTGATAACAATCAACAGCTTCACCTGTAACATTGAAAGAGCTGAGCCATGACAGCTATTATGGGTTATAGCCTTTATTAAAAGCCCTGATTGAGTAGGCTGGCTTAAGTTTATTTCCAACATGTGTCTGTTGTCAGCGTGAAGCCAATGATTCCTTTAAAATTTAGAAAACTTGAGGCATTGTAGGATAGTTACAATTTAGCAAGAAAATATAGAAAGTCCCATGGCTTATATATTAACCATTTAACTCTCAAGATCTCATTAATAATTATCCTTATTGTCTGCCATACAATTCATATAATGTTAGTTTGGAGAATTTGGAATTGGATCAACCAATAATCCCCTAATTGATATTTTTCTTTAAACTCATTACTTGTTTGCTTGATATTATACTGACAGTGTAGGGAGAAATTCTGTCAAGGTCACTAGTGGGACTTAAAGGGTTAAATAATTTGTGTACCAAGATGCACTTGTATTATTAGCTTCTTTCTGTGCTTCACAAGTCCAATGAAAGAAGAGGTGTGTTTTCAAACATGGGCTATTAAATGCACAAGTCAGACACATTTGGCTGGAGAAATAGTCCATCTAACAGTTGTGTGCTTGGTTGCCAAGCCTTTTCACAGGAGTGAGACTAAATGTGACCTTGTTATGACACAAACCCTGCTCCTTTTCAAATGTAAAGTACGTTGTTATCATGCTAACTAGATATTGGTCTCTATCACAACATGGTCAACTTCAGCCTGACTCCAAATCAAAGGCTTGGCAACTAAGTACAAAGCTGTAAATGGCCTATTCACCTTTGATTTAAATGGTAAGAACCAATCCCCTGCCCCCCTCCTCCCAGGAAGGTGAAGCCCCCAACATCATAATCAAAGGCCATGGGGTGGCAAAACTCACTCTCTGCCAGCAAATCAACCTGAGAGCTCTGAGAACAGTTGTGAGAAATTGGTCAACACTAAGAAATATATATGGATTATAACCCTTAACTTTCATGAGTGACCAAGACAGGATTTCTCCTCACTATATGTATACAATATCATGCAGACAAGTGATAAGAATAAAGAAAAATATCAATTATGTGATTACTAATTAAGCAAATACCAAATTCTCCAAACTAACATAATGAGAATCATTTGGCAGACAGTAGGGAGAATTACCATTGAGATCTTGGGAGTTAAAGGGTTAAACTATTTCCCTCACAGGCAATCAATGAAAAAGTAGTAGATTATGTCTCAGTCACTTCCATTCAAAGACATAAAAGTAGGTTTTGATTAAAAAAAAATATATCCCTGTAATCTTTGCAACTTATATCCCTGCCTAAGGAGGAACTTTTTAAGGGAACATCTTTTCAGGTGCACAGGATGTCTCTTGAACAGAGGTTCCACTATAAGATGGTTCCTGTCACAAGTTAATGTTCATGAATAAATGTTATTTCCTCAACAGGATTCAAGATTTAACCAGGAAATTGACAAAAAAACTGGTTACCACACCAGAAGTATTCTTTGTATGCCAATCAGAGATCACTACCATGGAGAGGTATGTCATTTAAGAAGAGGAATCCTATTGGCAGATAAAGGGAGGCATCCCCATATTTTTTAATCAAAAACAAGGCTTGCAGGATCATGGTGTTCTTTTCAAAGTAATTTAAGTGGCAGTGCCCCTTTAACTCACGGAATGGCACACTGGTGAGGAAAACTGCCTCCCACTACCTGTGTGTTGTTTTTGAGTTCCCCAAATATCATATAAAGGTTGAGTTTGGTGTTAATTGATTCCATCTATTTGCACTGAGGATGCTTCACTTGATTCTGAAGTCTTCCTTCCTTCACCAAACCAACTCTCAATTTTCCAATTCTACCCAGAAATGGTGATGGCAAAAAGCCACTTTTTTTAATCCCTATGGCTTTATTTGATTTTGGCAGTGAATTCTATGTTTGTTTACCTATATTTTCTTTACCCTCATAGATTATTGGTGTTGCTCAAGTTATAAATAAAAGAGGATTTTTAGATCACACTTTTACCAGAGAAGATGAAAAGGTAAAAATATGTAGTGCATTTTTTATTACTCTTCTTGGGTGAAGTCTGGTAGGAGACAAACTTATGACCTTATTTCCTAATGCTCAGCATTTGATCAATATTGGTTGCATGGTGATGGTGCATTTATTTCTTAACTTCTTGGTGCGTCTTGCACACTGTTAGAATTAGTGATGATGAACACTATCCTTATTGCAAAAGAAAAAGACAGATGGTAAAATTTTAAGCTTGGCTGTTGAATAAAGAAGATATTCAATTCAGTTTACATGAGTTTACTGGTAAAATTTCGCCAATCCTGAACCCAACCCTTACCTCTCTCACAGCATATATCATGGAGAAAATATATTATACACGTAAGGAATTAACAAGTTTTGCATGATTTAAAGTAAGGTCATCATCAATGACCTCTTTGTTTTGCAGATATTTAGCAAATACTTGGTCTTCTGTGGAATTGGAATTACAAATGCAGAACTCTATGAGAGAGCACAACTTGAAATTAGAAGAAACCAGGTGTGTTATGATTAACCCACTACTACATACCTATCTTGCACAGAGCTCTTAAGTCTCGATCATTGAGCGTTAGACTTTAAATTCAATCTTAATTTCTCATGCAGGAAATATTATTTCTCATGCATTTAAGGTTCCTGCTTTAAAATGTTCATTTTGAGGTAACAAACTACAGCTGCTACTTGTAATTTTAATTTATCCTTCTACTTAACATTACTCCATGTTCCCTTTGTGCTCGCTTCTAACTCTTTCCAATTTTAGAACTTTGTGCTGAGGATAAATGAATGCACTCCTTAGATGCATCATTTTTTCACAGTTTTTCAGAGGAGCATGCCCCCATACCCCACCTCCCTCCCTCCCCCTCCCCCCCTCTTGACAGTGGTGCCCACAGCATCACTTTTAAGGCTGTACATCAACAACTTCACTCTTTTTTCCAGCAAATCAACTTGAGAGCTCTGCATAGCTATCTTGCACATCTGGTTCAAATAAGTAAAATTTGTTTTAATTTCCAGGTTTTACTGGATTTAGCTAGAACAATTTTTGAAGAACAGAGCACACTTCACAACATTGTACAGAAAATTATGATGATCACACAGACTCTACTTCAATGTGAAAGATGTTCAGTTCTCTTAGTTGATCCTTCTTCAAAGGTATGAGTTGAAGTTATTCATTTGAAACGCTATACTTATAATTTTGATGCTGTCTACTGAAGGGAAAAAAGGATCTAATAGATTTTGCCAGGTGATTGGTAAGTGCAGTGTCTTGTAAGTAAGTTAATCAAATTTGTGTTGTTTACTGGTGGTAATAGCAGTATAATTTTTTGGTTACAACCCTATCTCCCCCCAACCACTTCCTTCCTCCTTTAATTTTTTCAATTGTTTTCCTTTACTGCTACATCTTAGTCCTCTTTCCCCCCCCCTCAATCTCAATCCCAGGAACAAAAGTCACAGAAATGAAGCACATAACCCAAAACTGAAATCATAAAAAAAAAATTGAAGAACATCCCCAACCAATATATTCAAAAGAAGATCCAGGTGAGTTGAAACATATGTTGTAGGTAGTAAGAATGAACATTTGCTTAGAGAATTGTTAGTATAGTATTACTATGAAAAGCAATTTTTAACAAAAATTGAGTTTAATTTTTTTTTTCTCTATATTTTGTAGACACTTTTTTCTCAAGCTTTTGATTTAGAGGCCCGGGACTATTTAAATGAAGATGATCAGACTGTGGTGAAACACAGATCATGGTAAATGTAACTTTCATAGAATTATTAATCCATTGAATCCCAGGTGTTTCATGTGCCCAGTCTGCATACAACAAAATTTTTGAGCTTCAGGAAGACTAAACTCCATATGCAGTAAATATTTCCTGATTGTCTGCTTCCAGACACAAGCTCCAAGTGATAAACAAAACTCAAACAATGAATTATGTGTCAAAACTCGAACAATGAATTATGTGTTAAGAAATAAAATGTAATGGTGTAGTTTGATTGTTTGAGTGAGTATGTATAAACTGATTGGTCAGTTTTGCTATGATGTTATTGGCTGTAAACCACACTATTGACTGGGACTCTGCGTAATGCCTGACTTACAGCACCAATTACTTTCAACAACTGACTCTGGAAAACTGGCGTACTAACTTAGAACAGACTCCCCTCAACAGTTGTTAACCACCACCTGCGCCATATAAACAACTTATTCATGGCATCAAGTTGAAACATTACAAATGAACTGAACACAACAACTGACGTATGCCACTTGAGTCTTGAAGTTATGAACACTATTTAGATAGTAGTGAAAATAAAGCCTGAAATTTTTGCTAGTACTTATTATAATATTATAAATAGTGTTCATAACTGTGAGGATTGCTTCTATATTCGTTTCTTCAACTGCACTTCACATATATGATTTTCATGTATTTACAGTCATTTATTTGCCCCTTCGAGGGTTTATTTGGAACCAACATAATGACCAGCTCCCAGCTTGCTTGTTAGCTCAGGTTGTAAAGCACTGCACCAGTATCGCAGAGGTCAAATCCCATACAGGCCTGAATTTTTTTCAGGCCTTATTTTCACTACTGCTTAAGTAGAGTTCAGAACTGCAAGAATTGCTTCCATATTCATTTCTTCAACTGCAGCTCACATGTATGGTTTTCATATATTTACAGAGAATTTGATATTAGATCAACTAATAATCCCCTAGTTGATATTTTTCTTTATTCTCATCACTTATCTGGTTGATATTGTATTGATATTGTGAGGAGAAATTCTGTCTTGGTCACACATGGGAGTTAAAGGGTTAAGGACTGTAGCGCTTAACAGTCTAGTTCTTTTAGTCATAGTTGTTTTGTATTCTTCTTTTCAGTAGCAAGACAGAAGTCCGATTTCCTATCAATATAGGAATTACAGGTCATGTTGCAACAACTGGCGAGGTTTGAGATGCCTTTTTTTGTATGGGAGACTTTGATTTATGTAGATGTACTAAAAAGTTATTATCTGTGATTTTTCCTTTATTTTTTCAGACATTAAATATTCCCGATGCGTATCAAGATGAGAGATTTGATCCAGCTGTATGTATCCAATATTTTATGTTAAATGACATCTCTTGGCAACCATATGTGACATGATCAGTTTAAAATGCAAGCTTTACTCTACTGCACAGCCCACTTATGTTTTCTTCCTGTTCTGTTACACAGGTTGACCAAGCTTCAGGATTTGTCACCAAAACAATTCTATGTATGCCTATTAAGAACAGCAGCGAAGAAATTATAGGTGAGGAAGTGAATATTAATGTCTGTCTCAATAATAGGCCATTTTACAGTTGTGTACTTAGTTGCCAAGCCTTTGATTTGGAGTGAGGCTGAAGGTAACCATGTCATGATGGAGACCAATATTTAGTCAGCATGATAACAAAGTCATATACATTTGGAAAGCAGCAAGGTTTGTATCATAACAAGGTCAATCTTAGCCTCACTTCTGTTCAAAGGCTTGGCAGACAAGCAGTCAAGTGTAAAATGGAGTATTGGAAATTTGGGTATGAATCAATGGAACAAAATGACTGTGGATACAAAATGATTGGATACCACCTCTTGAGGCTTGTTAAGTGATCTGCAACATGACTGTCAGCAGCTTAAAACAACTGTTTAAGTGATATGTCTCCAATTTCATGGTCTGCTTTTGATCATGACACTTTGAGAGATGTAAATCCCAAACTGATGTCAGTAGTCTCATTCATTTATCTAAAAATTTTACAATAATTGTGCCTTGCATTTAATAATGAAGATCCCAGCCAACTGGGTTGGTCTAGTTTGGTCTGATCGTTAATACTCTTTTCATCATTGATTCTGTGGTATTTGTTTAACCTTTTACAACCTAAATTCATCATGCATATTCTCCGCACTGTTCTCTATACATTTCCTAAGGTGCTGACAAGGAGAATTTGTTTAACAATCAAGAGCTTCTTTAGTTGGCGATCATTTCTTTTATTCTCATGACCTTGATGTGTGATTCTGGGGGGATATTGTAAGGAGAAATTTCATGTTAGTCACTCTTAGGGGTTAAAGGGTTAACAAACAAGGATTTTTATAAGCTAAGCCCCTCTTCTGTCCTTTGCTAATAACTGTCAAATAGTCATTTTCTTTAAGAATAAAGGTCTTAAAAGTACATTTTCCTCTTCTCTTTTTTTCAGGTGTTGTCCAACTCTTGAACAAACTTGATGGCACAGCTTTCAACAAGAATGATGAAAATCTCTTTGAGGTATATCTTCTGGCAAAGTGTATGTTCACTTATGGTAGATATGATTTGAAACTTGTTTAAATGGGCAGGTGAATTATTTGATCTCAACATATTAGCTACTGCTAACATGGCCCAGTTTGTAGTGGCAGTCATCTGATATCTGGAAGGCAAAGGTTTGAACTCTCTCAAAGCCAGAATTTATTCAGACTTTTCTTTATTCAATTTCCTCTTTTGCAGTACATCTGTGAGGATCAGTTTGATTTTTGTTGACCTCCTTATACAGATATGCAAAATTGTAGGGCTCTATCAATACCCACCTTTACTTATAAATGCCAAAATATTCCTTTATATCCAGTAATGATATTTCTTATTTTCCATTGGTTTACAGGCTTTTGCAATCTTTTGTGGCATGGCAATCCAGAATACTGTTATGTATGAAAATGTCAACAAAGCTATGGCAAAACAGAAAGTTGCACTGGAGGTAAGAATTGTTTATTAACAAGCTCAGGGTTTCAGTAGCAGTTGGGTGTCAGGTAGATCCATCTGTCTGTGGCATTTCTCAGAAGTCATTGTACTCTTAACATATACATGTAATTCACTTCCAATTTGTTCAAACTAATTGACATCCAAGAATTTCAAAGTACCAGGCCATTTAACAGTTGTCTGCTCAGTTGCCAAGCCTTTGATTTGGAGTGAGGCTGAAGGTGACCTTGTTGTGAGAGAGACCAGTATCTAGTTAGCATGATACCAAATTAAGTAATTTGCATTTGAAAAGAAGGTCATCCTTAGCCTCACTCCCATTCATAGGCTTGGCAACCAAACACGCAACTGTAAAATGGACTATTGGGGAAAACCTGGAAAATAAAGGATGATGTTGCTGCTGCAAGATTCTAGAACTTCAAAATTTCCTGGGAAAGCTTGGACATTCTTAGCAGTGAAAGACCTACCAGCCCCTCACAACTGCTTGCCTGCTATTTTTGACTGTCCATTTGTACCACATCTCAATCCTTAGACCCTTAAGAGTGACTAATATCTAATTTCTCCTTTCAATATCACCCCTGGATCACTCATATAGGTAACATGAAAAAAGGCAGTGATCACTAACTGAAGAAGCTCTTGATTGTGAAACAAATTCTCCTTGTCAGCACCTTAGAAAATGCTTAAGAACAGTATGGAGAATATCAATATTGATGTTTAAGTGTAAAGGATTAATGAAATCACTGCAAGTTTAGCGGATGTTTTGAATGTTTGAATTAGTGGCCAGCTTTTGATGAACACCATGATCAAAATAAGTACCCTCCTCTTGTCTTGTTCCACTATCTGGGGTTAAGTCGCTAATTTTTGTTTTTGTATTGTGTTCAAGGTTCTTTCCTACCATGCCACTGCCCCTTTGGAGGAAGCTAACAAATTAAAGGTACACAACTTTTACATTTAATTAATTATTCAGGTTCCATGGAAAACCTGGAGAGTCTAAGAATTTTCTTTGAATGGGCCATTTACAATTCTTTACTTTGTTGCCAAGCCTTTGATTTGGAGTGAGGCTGAAGGTGACCATGTTGTGATAGGGACTACTGTCTAGCCAGTATAGTTAGCATGATAACAAAGTGATTTACATTTCAAAAGCAGTGTATCAACCCTTTAATTCCCACAAGTGACCAAGACTGAATTTCTCCTTCCTTTTTGAAACAACATTAAGCAGGCAAGTGATGAGAACAAAGAAAAGTATCAATGATCAGTTGATCCAATACCAAATTCTCCAAAATAACATCATAAGAGTTATACGGCAGACAGTAAGGAGAATTGCCAATGAGATCTTCAGAGTGAAAGGGTTAATTAGCCTCCCTCCTGTTCAGAGGCTTGACAACCAAGTACACAACTGTAAAATGGACTATTTATGGTTTATGGTTTACAGTTTCCATTGCATGAAGTGTCTATTGCAAAGTAACAACCCCTCCCCCCTCCCCCTCCCCCTGCAGCGTCTCATCAGTGAGACTTCCCTGATGATGCTATAATTTCTCATGTAGAAGAGCAGGAATGAGAGCTAAGATTTTGTTGGTTTTTATCTCAATTTGATTCAAAACTAACAAAAAAAACAAAAAAAGAAAAAACCCCTTGCAGCTCTATTAAACTTTACACTAAGCCCTAGTTAGGCTAACCCATTCACTCCCCTGAGTGATCAAGACAGAATTTCTCCTTGCAGTATCAATACAATATCAAGCAGACTTATAGTGACAAGAATGAAGAAAATTAACAGTTAGGGGATGGTTGATCTAAGACTAAATTCCCTGAACTAACATCATGAGGTAGACAGTGAGGAGAATTACTCACAAGAACTTGGGAGTGAAAGGGTTAACCATTTTCTAAACAAACCGGCCCAGGGCAATTACCATTAGGCCATCGCATCTCCCACTTCAGAGTAGGATAAGCTCTGGCAAAATTAGTTTTCTGGCTTGTAAGCTCATTGTTTTTTTTTTTTTTTACCTTAATTTTTATCCTTCTCCTCGGCAGTCTGTTCCTTTACCATCAATCAAAACCCTTAATCTGTTGGAGTTCACTTTTGATGATGAGATGGTCAGTGATCAAGATACTCTTCTTGGCACTCTTGCAATGGTGATGGACCTAAAGTTACATGAGCATTTTAATGTGGAGTACCAGGTAAAATGGTGCACTGCTCTTCCTTTTTTATTTGTTTTTACTTAATTTAGCTTACAGAATTGTTTGATTACTTAATAATATATATTTTTGGATTTTATTTTATTATGTATTAAATTTCAATTGAGTGTGAAACATCATCCAGAATCAACCCTTTTACCTCTAAGAATGACTAAACACACATTAAGGTCAAGAGAATAAGGAAATGATCAGAAACTTAACACTCTCTTGATTGTTAAACAAATTGTTCTTGTCAGCACTTCAGAAAATGTATAGAGGACAGTTTGGAGAATATACATACTGATGTTAGGGTGGTAAAGGGTTAAATTAATTTATTTTGTTTTACTTCACTCTGTTGTTGGCCTAGAAAAGTTGTGTTACCCTTTCAACCAATCAAACAAAAATAAAACAATTTTGTATTTTCCCACACTGCACATGGTATTTTTGTTTCCTCGTTGACTTTTCATTGGTTCCTTGTGTTAGCTGTTTGTCCTTCACACTCTTAACATAAACATATATATTCTCCACACTGTGTTCTCTTAACATTCCCCTTGGTACTGGTGGGGAGAATTTGTTGGGCAATAAGGAGTTTCTTAAATTGGTGATCATTTCCTTTATTCTCATGACATTTTCATTTGACTCATAGGTGATACTGTGAGGAGAACCTAGAAGCCAGTTAGTCTTGTGGTGTTAAAGGATTATGATTACTTTAAATTTAGTCTTTGCTGTACAATCCTCATATGAAATGTGCTGTATCATTAGTAACCAACCTTAATGTTTGTGTTCATCAGGTTCTCTGTCGCTGGATCCTAACAGTGAAGAAAAACTACCGGCCTGTGATGTACCACAACTGGAGGCATGCATTTAATGTAGCTCAGACAATGTTCACCATTCTCAAGGTAGTTATCCATTTTTTTTTGTTCTGGCAACCATTTTGTGATTCCAGATCAAGTCATGGCAACCTCAAAAAAGGAATGAGCTCAGAGCCCTGATAAACATAAATTGTTTTCATAAAAGGAAATGCCTGTTATATATGGCATCAGTGTTAGTTTTTTTTTCCACAATGTGATATTTTGGATTATAGGTGGACGAATTTGGGAAGTTGTTTACTCCAGAAGAGAAATTTGCTCTTCTAGTTGCCTGTCTTTCACATGATCTTGATCACAGGGGAACCAACAACTCATTTCAAATAAAGTAAGTGGACAGAACACTCATTTTGAGTGTGTTAAGTTCTTCTTATGTAATGTTTTGCACCCTAACATCAGCATGCATATTCTCCTTATTGTTCTCTATACATTTGCAATAGTACCCACGAGGAGAGTTTGTTTTTTACAGCCAAAGGCATCTTAAGTTGGTGATCATTTTCTTTGTTCTCATGACGTTAATGTTTGATGTCTGAATGATACTGTATGGAGAAATTAGATGCTAGTCACTCTTAGGAGTTGAAGGGTTAAGGTTAAGTCTTAGGTCTCATTCCATTTTCTTTTATAAAATTCTCCTCTCTCACAGTGGTTGTTTGAGTGTTAAACTCAGTCGACTACTGTCACATGAATAAAGGGGGTAAGTTTCTTGAGAAACTGTGGTGCTGCGAGGGTGTTAGAGTATAACAGGGTCATTTAGTATCGTCAACTGAGTTGATAACCTGAATTGGTCATTGTAAAGATTTTAAAAGCTGACTTTTTGAGCTTTAGCCCTTTGTCAGAGGGAAAGAAGGGATGAAGGGCTATGACAAAGGGCTAACACTTGAAATATCAGCTTTGAAACTCTTTATGGCAAAAAAAACGTTATCAACACAGTTCATTATACTAAATTACCCTGACTAATGTCACAACCTACAAATTATGTAAATTGCTAAAGTGTAATATTCAAATTATGATAACTAGCTATTCACCACACCCTTAGGAGTGCCTCGGCATTAGCGCAACTTTATAGCACATCAACTATGGAGCATCATCACTTTGATCAATGCATTATGATCATCAACAGCCAGGTATTGATTATTGTTTAATCTGTAAGGGAGATAGGATATTAAGGTTAGGCCAGATGGCTTGTTATGTTTTGTAGTAATCCCTATCTTATACAGTTTCATTGCTTTTTTGCTTGTATGTGATTTAGAATTTCTGGAACACTTAGTGTTTATTCAGAGCATCTCTGTCCCTTTCTCCAGTTACACCTTGCTACTGCAATTATCAGTTGAGTGAGATGTGGATAAGTAAGGTGATGAAATTATGGTGGTGTTGGCACAGGTGACCTTCCTCAATTAAAGGGGAGGTAACTGAATCTCAAGAGCTAATTATCACCAACCATTGAACATGAAAGTTCAGCAAAAGAAGTGAAACAACATATTGCCATAAGAAACAGAGCTAGTTACCCATGACAATAACAGAATTTTCACGTCAAAATTGGTCACCAAACTTCCCCCACGCCTCGCTCATCTGAAAATTGCAGTATTTTATGTTTTGTCAAATAATGTTGACTGATGTTAATAACTATTTCACACTAGATGAGTAATGAATTAAATATTTTTTATCTCTTTTACTTTACTTAGTATTGTTTTGCCTAATATCTCATTTTAGGGAAATGAAATTTTTGGATCTCTCTCAGCTGAGGATTATAACAAAGTGATCAAACTTGTAGAACAAGCAATCATTGCAACTGATCTTGCCTTGTACTTCCAGTAAGTAATAGACAGTATAGTGTTCTTACCAGGTTGATGCACTTGATAATGATTTTTGTTCTTGGGCATAATGTCAAGGAGGCATTTCCATTCTGAATCTTTTTCGTCTAAGGAAACGGGCTGAATTTTTCAAGAAAGCTGAAGCTGGACTTGAAGATTGGTCAACTGATGAAAACAGAGAACTTTTGAGGTGTGAAAACATCTTTTAATATTTTCAGGGTTTTTTCCAACTTTTGTTGAACAACTGAGTATCAAGAAATTGTGCTTTTTGGTCATTTTTTAATTGATGTAACTATTTATAGCCTTGTTGCTTATTTCACATACCCAACCAGCCCAGATTCTTGTTCTAATAATGTACATGAAAAAACTACGCGCATCTGATTGGCAGAAAACAAGTGCATTTTTCATGTAGCACAAGTGCAAAGTTGTAACACAAGTGCAAATTATAAATAGCACACAAGTTACAGAAATTTACTCCACTTGACTTTCTGTAATGCATTTTTCATGTAAATTATTAACAAGTAACCACTGCAGATGATTTCTCAAGCAATTTGGTGTAATTAAGCACTTGTAAATTTTTCAAAGACCATGAAGTAGTCATCAGGATTTGGTTTTAGATCAAGAGAACAACTGATAAGTTTGAATATTCTCATAACCCTTTTACAGGATAATGTGTGGATTGCATAGGGAGAAGTTACTTGTTAATCACTTTCGGGAGTTAAAGGGTTAAGTAACACTTTATATCTTATATGCATTCAGAGCTATGATGATGACAGCATGTGATCTTTCAGCCATCACCAAACCTTGGCCTGTACAGAGAAGGGTAAGGAGATTTTACTGCTTGGTCATAGTTAAGTGGTTAACCATTTTAATGGTTTGTTGAAATAATTGTGCTTCTGAGAAGAAAAATGTAGTTGTTCTTGTTCTAAATTTCATGCCAGTGATGATTACAACTCAATTTCAAAATTGAGTGTCTTTTTTTTAACAATCATTTTCTATAATCTTGTCGACTAACATTACCAGATAATGTTCCAATAGGTGTGACTTGAGAGAGCTAGATCAACTGAAAAAACCAATGCCAAGATTTACAATTTTTTTTCAACACAGCTGTTGAATAAATTTTGTTCTGTTTCTTTTGTTTTTGCTGTTGATTTTTCCTATTTAAAAGTAAGTGGATTGTTTTTTCTCATCATACATTTGTTATTGATATAAAGCAAGCAGCTCTCTACTGTTTGTCTCAACCTTTTCTTTTTTTTTTTTTTGTTTCTCATTAAAGACAGCACTACTTGTGGCTGAGGAATTCTTTCAGCAAGGTGACCTTGAACAACAAGAGTTGAAATCCACACCCATGGCTATGATGGACAGGGCAAAGAAAGATCAACTTCCACAAATGCAAGTTGGTTTCATAGATTCTGTCTGTCTACCTCTGTATAAGGTGAGTGGCATTCAATCATTTGGTTCAATGTTCTAAACATTGTGTGTAAAATCAAACTTCTAGGAAAACATAAATTTTTTTCTTAATCTGTCATGGAAAGTCATGGAATTTTACTGCAATAAAAAAAAATAATCCCGCTCTCAGTAACAAGGAATTAAACAGTTTATTTACAAGGTTGATGAACCTGTTCATTATTTCCACTAATCCTCATTTGTTGGCTAATAAGCAACTGGCAATTCAAGTTTATCTTTTGGGCTTTTGATTAGCTATCGAAAAAAAAAAGAACTCTACATTTAATTATAATTTCTCAGAACTTCAAGGTAGATGAATCTTTGAGTTTTCTTGCAGGCTTTTACACAAATGAGTCCAAAGCTTGCTCCACTCAAAGAGGGCTGTAGAGAAAACAAATTACAATGGCAGAAACTAGCTGATGATTACAAGGCACAGGTGTGACAAAAGCTATACATTTTGTTGATACTGTTATTATTACTAAACATCTTGCTACAAGCCTCAGTGAACACTGGTTTTCACTCAAAATGGAGTTAGAGTAACCAAAGAGTTTGAGCTATATGATGTGGTGAAATTATTTATCAGCTACTAGGTAGAATACAAATACCCCCTTACCTTTTTGTTGCTTATGATCTAGTGAAACTATATTTTTGGATTGATGAGCTTTTAGAGGACGTAAGAACTGGCTCTTTGATCAGATTGTTGTTCCTTCTCTCCAACAATGTACTGCAATTTTCAATTTAGTGAGGCGCGGTGGTAACAAAATTGTGTCGTTGTCTGTTTCCAGTGGCAATGTTTTGTTTGATTTCTTTTGGGTTGTGTAGTTTGATGGTTGGTGACGTGTAGCTCTTGAGATTTGGTTACCATTTGACAACACTGTCATGTTGTGGTCAAACCTGTCACCAAACTCTTTTAGTGCCTTACTCAACTGATAACAATAGAAGGTTTTTTTTCGAAATATTGATAACAAGGATTAATAGAAGTTTATTTCCCTGTTAATCTCTATTATTTCAAGTTCACTTGCTCAGCTTTCTGAAATGAACTAATTGGATTGTAGAGGACAATTTTGCCATCAATAGAGTTCGAAAATTTGGGCTATTGACCTCAAAAAGAAGATGGTAATGAGTGCTTAACTCCTATCTCTCAAAGAGTTTTAGTTTTTTTTTGTATGAGACTTATAAAAAGGTTTTGATTCCCAATAGCTGGATGCTTGGAATTTTCAAACAAATTGTTTTTTTCATCTTCTTTGTACAGATTGAGAACAAAGTGTGGAGAAAGAGATGAGATCTCAGATGATGTAAATACTGAACATTTGTTATTATTTTTATTTGCTTGATAGCCTTAGCTGAGCTGTGAGCTTGCATGATCTTTGTAATACCTAGTAAGTATGTAAACATTATTTTTTTCACATCCCATTCATGGCAATCATTCATAAAATGTCTATTTTTTTCCATTGTTTACATGAAATTATTATTTTGTTTGGTGTTTAAGAAAATTTAGATTAAAAGTAATATTAACATGTAATGTAACATCAGTTGAATATTAACACCTGATTTAACCACATTAAACCCATTTTGCCTAGGACTTAACTAACCACAACTGGTAAATAGAATTAATATTATTCTGACTTTTGCCTGAGAATAATATTGTCAAGGGTTAGAAATCACCTGACTTTCATAAGGTAAAGTTTTCGAAAGGTTAATTCAACACAAAAAGTACATTTAACCCTTTTATTCAAGATAAAAATTAATGATTTATTAATATGTGATGAATATTGATTGGCATTGATATCGATTTTGAATTTATTCGATATTAATATGACAATTGTCAATTAATTTCAGTCAGGCTATTGATAAGTGTATATTTTGGCCATATTTGATCAATTTTTATTTTTTCCTTGAGCTATGTAGTAATAAAATCTAAACATCAGAGGGCACACCACAAGGACTCTTCTCTGAAATTATTTTGGCACAATTTAATAGCTCTCTCTTGTAAGTTGGCAGCTCAGCTGAAAAGACATTTAAGAAGGATGACACTTCACAGAAATTATTACTGAAGCTGTCTCCCTTTCCCCCTTCTCAGAAGTATTGTGAAAAAAGGGCTTGAGTCTCTGTCCTTTTTTTTGAGGAAACTCCAGTTGAATGTGATGTTCTTGGCAAAAAGTGGGCAATTTCAACCTCATTCCTGGGCCCTCTCTCTTCCTTCCTCTACTAAAGGTCAGCCTACTGTCAGGGAATTTGAAAGGGGGCAGATTGCTGGTGAGGGAGGGATGGGGGCTGGTTGACAGTGTAGGATCTCAATTAGGAATTGCATTAGTATTCCCAATTGCAAACAATGGTAAGTCCTGGGGAGAGTGTGAGTCTCTTGTTTGATAACACTTAGCCCTAACATATTTTCAGTTGAATTCTTTCTTCTTTTGTAGCCTCAAGATGAGAGGAAATCAAACAGAAAAGTATGCCTGTCTCATTGGAAGACAAATAGTATATTAAAAGAGTTAAAGTAGCAATCTTGTAAATAGACATCATACGAATTTAATTTTTCTAGCAAATGAATAGTAAGATCATTGCCAGTTGGTGTTTGTATAAATATTATTGTACATGGTCAAGTAAAACTATAGCAGTGTCTGTTATATTTTCTCTATTCATAATATCCAACAAATGGGATCAAATTAAAGGCTTTACTGGTTGCTAACAACAAGCATACAAGAGCATTTACTAAAGAAAATAGGTTCAACTATGGGGTTACATTTGATGGGGTGGTCTAATTGTCTGTGTGAGAACAGTGGTGACAAGAACAGATATCCCTTACAGTGGGTGATGTTTTCACAATCTGAGATGAAGTCACCTCATGACTGTAATGGCGACTTTTAGCTCAGGTTTTTGAAAAGTCTTTTCTTGTCACGATAGAGACTTTGAAGCAAACCACAATGGCAATGGCAATGGCAATAAGGATGTGGTAAAAAACAAAGACTTAATGCATGGGCAGTACAATAGCCCGGCACATGTATTTTAGACTTCATGCACTTCTTAGCCATCCCCTGCAAAGCAAAAAGGTGCAATCACCAAAATTTGTGTGGTCTGAGAACAGAAACCCAGACACCAAATCATTTAAGTTTTTATTTGGAACTCAACAATTTTCCTTTACATTATGCTGAAGTAGGGGAGTGGCATCATAAGAGGTGGTAAACACATGCAGCTATTTTCAAAATTCTACAAAAAATGATTGATGTCTTCCTAGGCATTGCCATACTGACTGCTTAAAAAACTTTTAACTACAAAGCGTTTCGTTGAGATGATAGACTAGTGCTCCTTTCACTCCACCAACACATGTTTAGTTCAACCAGGTTTAACTAAATAAAAACCAGCGATAGAAAACTGAAAGACTAAAACTTACTATTTGGGTTCAAGTAAGCATGAACTTTTATCTTCATTGTGCTTAATTTGAAGTCAGCAAACATCATTTTAAGCAACTTAATGAAGAAAACAGTCTCTGTGTTTGACAAAACAGCTGTGAAACGTGATGTAACTTTGGAGTGAATAGAGTATAGGATTTCACATAATTCTTTCACACTTGAGATCCTAAAACTATTTTTCTAACGATAGTGAGTGCACATCTCTGCTGGTTGGTTCTGAAAAGTTCTGTCAATGCAAAAACCCTTAGTTTGTTCATTGATAACTCTCATTACCTGCCTGCATGAAAGTCTATTATAATGCGAATAGAACTCATATACTTGTCACTCTTGGAGGTCAAAGGTTTTGCGCAAGTGAAGTGTAACTGATATTAATTGTGCCACAACCATCAATGGTGGCACTTAAAGCCTCTTGGCTGCTTCTTATACCCTTCTGAAGGAACAAACTCAACTTTAAACATTTTCTTACCAAATCTCTTGTTTCTCTTTTGAACAATGTACTTTACTAAAGTTGAATGTCATCCTATCATTGCATAGTGAAATAAGCCATGAAATTATTATGAAATAGAAGTGTTATTCAGGGATTCCACTGACCAATGACAAGAATGAGAGTCCTTTCTTTGCCACATTTAAGTCTTTTCCTCATTCACCGTACTATTGATTCATGACTCATAAACTTACATTGAAGAGTAATATATGAACCTGTACAGAAATATATTATTTTAATGGAGGGTCCAAAAGGGTAACTTGCGTGATATTATATTTAGTGTTGAACACTATCTTTTGTTGGCAAAATTCACATTTCATTCACTTTGTTCCCATCTGGAAGCACAGGGACAAACACTTATATTTGAGCCCCCAATCTGGTAACACATATCAGACTGAAACAGGTGGCATTGTTACAAAACAATTATAATTTAAAGAAAAACAAAATCTAAAAACTTGACAAGTCAAATTTTGAGTAAAAAATATTGGTTGGCCTCTTTAATTAACGTTTCCAAGGAAAGTTACTAGTTCACATGGTGATGTACATGTTTCAGTTTTTTTTGGCTTGCATCTCAGGGAAATTGTCAACATAGGTTAGTTAAGCACAAATTTCCACAAATCTGCAGCTGACCTGAAGCTGTGCTTGTGGCAGTAAATTATTCATTCACTGTCAAGTCCGGCCTTTAAGCTCATAGTGCAAGGTCATTTTGCATCAATATTTTCCTTTTTTGTAAATGTTTTAAGGGCATTGACATGTTCTTGACCAACTGTACTGGTTCAAATGTTTTACACCCTTTTGGTACATATAAGTAGGAGTAAATTTATTTGTGTATTGTTATTCAAGTTGTACAGGGCTGAAAGTCGGAGGTACTCTAATCTTATCACTTAATTCATACTTTGTCAGTTGAATAGGAGCTCTTGTTTAAAGCAAGGTAGAAATGTCTTTCTGGGCAGAAAAAGGTGTAAAGTTTCAAAATTCATATTTTTCCAACCAATTTTAATTTAACATGATGACGCCACCCACCAACAAATGAATGGAGCTAACCCTTTTACTCCCAAGGGCTAATAAGTCATTCTCCTTACTTTCTGCCATACAATTCTCATGATGTGAGTTTGGAGAATTTGGTACTGGATCAACTAATCTCTTGATTGATACTTTCTTTCATTGTCGTCACCTGTTTGCACGATGTTGCATCAATATTTTAAAGAAGAAATTCTGTCTTGGTCACCCATGGGAGTTGAAGGATTAACGAAATGATAGCATCATATGGATAGAAAGTACAGATGGTATACTGTGTAATACAGCATAGTGTACTAAATTTTAATAAATAAACCCATAAAGAAACTTTTGTGTATGGTATTTTGTGTGTATAACTTTTAGTTACAGAGTTAACGTAAAAGTTTGATCTAGTGCCTAGGGTGTTTCTTAGGGACAGGGTGCTTATTTCATTTGAGAAACAGTGCAATATGGAAAACAAGGCTTTGATTTTATCTAATAAGGAACAAAAGTGCCAACTGTAAAAGTAACAAATATACAGTGAAAATTTGCAATGTAATGGTGGGGAATGTACTGTTAGTGCTATCATTGAAATAGAAAAGGAAAGCTTTTTGGAGTAGGAGCACTTATTGGAATGAGGGGGCTAAATCAAATTATTACAATGTTAAGTTGCATCTGTTTGCTACGGTTTGATTAACATAAGAGTACTGATGTTAGGGTGCTTAAAGTGACCCTTTCACTCCCAAGATCTCATTGGTACTTCTCCTTACTTTCTGCTATACAGAACTCATCATAATTTTTACCTCTGAGAATTTGGTTTTTGATCAACCAGCAATCTCCTTGCTGATTTCTTTCTTTATTCTCATAACATTTCTGCTTCATATTGTAATGATATTGTAAGGAGAAATTATGTCTTGGTCACCTATGGGAGTTAAAGGGTTATTAATTAAACAAGGTCATAATTTGAAGGCCTCAGTCACCCACTACCAATCAAATATTTTGTCCAACTTTTGCCACTTCCACCCCTATGAGGAATACAGTCACCTCAGAAGCACTCTTGCATTGAAGCTATTGATTACACAACATTTCCAATGCGGTGACACACCTAGCTGTTCCTGATGTGTGCCACTTTTGTTATTACATTTTGATATTGCGTTGATCTTCTAAAGAAAAGATGCATGGTACCATGGAATCTACCGTATTTCCTCAAAGAAATGCTTAGTGCTTATCTGATATTTCATTGTGAAGGAGGCCACTTAATCAAGAGCAATGCTTATGATTATCCTGTACAGATTTCACAGTAGTTGAAGCTTAAAAAGTTCTAATAACAGTGGAAGTAGTAACAGCTCAGATGTCCTTGTGCCCCTACTGTTATGAAAGTGAAGGAGGAAGGGGCACTGCTTATTTGAAAGAGGTGCTTGTTTAACATTAAGTCCAAAGGGGTGGGTACCTATTCAAGAAAATGCAGTATTTGTTAATTGGACAACAATGATTGCCAAGTATTCTACTGTCTTTTATTCACCACATCCCCTCACAAACAAAATTCAGTTTCATTAAATTTGTCAGTGTGTGTGTTCACTTAGACACACTGCATCTTTCAGTTAATTCACACAACTTGATACAAAGAATTATATCATTAAAATTATATGATAAGCTGAATTATATATGCATTTTGATAAGTTTTTAGTTATGATCTACTGAAAGAGAGGTCCATATATGATGTCAGAATTGACGACATTTTGCTTCTTAATGTATAAAACAAGTAGAATCCATATTGCTGTGGGTCTGCACAGTAATAAATCACAAACGACATTAAATGTAGTTAGAACATTTCATTTAATGACACACAGCTGCACCTCGTGTGCCACTTTTTAGTTCTTGCTTTATTTTGATGTCATCTGTGATCTCTTGCAACACAGAGGCATGGCAAAATGGCATCTATTTTTTAACCCTTTAACTCTTTCTCTCCCAAGATCTAATTAGTAATTCTCCTTACTATCTGCCATACAATTCTTAAGATGTTAGTTCAGAGAATTTGGTATTGGATCAACTAATAATCCCATGATCAATATTCTTCTCTATTCTCATCACCTGCCTGCTTGATATTGTATTGATATTGTAAGGAGAAATTCTGTCTCGGTCACTCATGGGAGTGAAAGGGTTAACTCCCAGAATTGATTGACTTGTAACTTCTCCCTATGATATCTGTACATTATCTGGCCACTAGGTAATGAGAATACTCGAACTTATCGGGAAGAAGTTGTTATCTTGAGCTAACACCAAATTTTCATAACTTATTTACAAGGAATTGTGAGTCAGTTAGAGGGGAGAATTGACAATCAGATCTTGAGAGTTGAAGGGTTAATTTGGTTTATTTCATGACAGTTTATTTCCAGTTATAATTAACTGTATTCAGGTGATATTTTCATTAACTGCTCACTTTTCTTAGCTGTCTCTGACAGTCTTTGCATCACTCAACAAACTTCACCAGAACAACCACACTTGAATGCTTCCAAAAGCACACGTCTTCACACTATGGTATTTGTTGTAAATGAATCAGACGAGAGAAGGCCAATATCTGCATGCCTTATAACCTATTGATCATTTACTCCACATTCTTTTGATGACAGTAGTTAAGGAGGGTTATCAAATGGTACAATTTCCATCTCCCTGCACTTTTTTGTAACTTCAGGTTTGAGGGCTTGACTGTTATAGTACCATATAGAATCACCTCCTTTGTTAAATGCTGGTGATTTAAAAAAAATTTAGTAATCAGTAATTCAGTAAAGCTTCCCAATAATAAATAACTGATTTGATAGTTAACTGTTACATTAACCCTTTAATCCTTAACAGAGACAAGGTTCTAATTTCTCCTGACAATATCATCCCTGAATAAAATGTTTCAGTCACAAGAATATAGGAAATGATCAGCAACTAATAAGGCTCTTGGTGTTTTTACAAATTTTCCTTGTTAGAACCTAGAAAATATATAGAGAACAGTATGGAGAATATGCATGATGATGTTAGAGTGCACAAGGTTAAATCTGTGACATTGTTATTAGAAGTAAACAATCGAAGTTACAAAATGTTTTCAACTTCATACCTCAGAATTAAATTTTGGAAGCTATTAGGTCTAAAAGATGTTCTCTAGAGTTGAGCATACTGTGTTGTAGTGGCACGGAGAGCTTGAATCCCAAGAGGGTGCAATGTAAATACAATACTTGTTTCATGGTCAGTAGTTTCTGTGAATAACATGGAGGAAAATGCTGAGCTTGATTTTAATCTGTTATGGGTTAATTTTTATACCAATTATTTCTACAGCTTGTATATGTATTTTCTGAGGATACTCATTCTCAAGCCAACATAATTTAAAAACCACCTGGAATAATCTTGGATAAAACTGTTCAGTATTCACCAGAAATAGTGAATAGCATTAAAGGCACACTCTGATTTGGTACTCAAACTCTGAATAACATTTACTATTCAACTCCAAGAGATTATGTGCTATGTTTGCACCCCAAAACATTATAACCATTGCAGGAAAAAACAAGTCTAAGTAATCTCTTCGTGCTGTACTATCTCACTGTCTTAGTATGTACTAAAACATCTACTCACCTCAGTGCTGGTGGCTATCAGTGGATATTCACTTCTCTCCTTTGTAGCTTGGTAAATATCCACTACTAGCCACCTCCACTTCAGTGAATACTTGTTAAGGGGGGGGGGGGGCTCCAATTTTTAGCCAAACTCACACGTCACGTGTACTTAAAACAGAGTTCCAAGCTTCACGAATTTAAAGAGAAAAAGTTTAAACTTCACTTTACTTGTCTTTTTACAAAATCGATGCGTCACGTAATAATTTTTAGCTTAATCGCGCGTCACGTTTAAACGCTTCGCCAACACCCAGTCCTCAATATTACAGTAGATTGAGGTAGATCGTAGATGTCTGCTTAGTCGTTAGGAGGGCAAACAAACTTATGAGAGGTGACAGGGGCCCATAAAAATAAAGAAAGTGAATCAAAGTTATATGTGATTTGCTTAAAACGAATAACCAGAGGAAAAAATATTCGTGTAAGGATGGAAAGTAATCAAAGTCCAAAGTACTTCGCCGAGTATCAAAATATTAGCAATCACTGTCCCATTGTTAAATAAGCTCAAACCGCACTTTCGTATTCCAAACCGGAGCTTTAAACACAGACAAACTCAGTCACGAAAACTTGAACTTACCGTTTCCACCTCTAAGCTCGAGAGGCTGCCCTGCAAGTTTAGCGAGATTTCCACTAGTCACGCTTGAAGAGTGTAAATAGTTGTTTGTCTTTTCGCCAAAATGCACGTAAAACGACCCTTTCACTCCTGTTACTTTCTTAATACTTTGACTGATAACTTTTGCGTTGGCGTTGACTGGAAACTTCACTGTGTGTTGTTTGCCATTATAAACAACCATGATTGACTCCAGTTCTTCGTTGGCTTTCTCGGTCTCGAGTTCTTTGTGCAGTTTTGTAGTTTCACTTGTCGTAGTATTACTCATGATCAAAGGTTAACTCGTAGCTTTACGCTGTTCAACCCGAGACAATATTCAAGATCCAAGTGCTAGATCTAATATTTGGTTCTAGTAAGGGCCATAAAATGCATCCCGAGGGATACTTCGTTCGCTGTTTCAACCAATAAGTATTACCCTACAACAACAAAAGAACACAAAACCACGAGATGAGCCAAAGGTTACGCAATATTATGCATGAAAGAGCAAAGCGACCGAATCCAAGCGGGGTCCGGTAGGTAGAGTTTTGTTTAAACAAAGAATCGGTGATTAGTGCAAATTTGTGTTACAGGAATATTCTTCTCCAGCAGTAATTCACCATTTCTGAAATAGTGACTCTTGTCGAGCCCCAGATGTCTTTTAGAAAACAAACAAAGCGTCAAAGAAGGGAAAATGCATGCAGACGGAGGACAGGCTGTGTGGTAGTCTTAATTTTTTTTTTTACCTTTAAATTAGTGAAAAAAAAGGGGAAGGCTTATCAACCATCTGTTTCCATTATGCAAAACTGCATTGTGATTAACATTTTTACTGAAAAAAGATTTCCACAGGTAATAAAGAGAACTACACAGTCAATAAAATTAACCAAAAAGTCAAGGCAGATGGGGTAATTAGTTTTCTAAAGAAACTTTGTTGCTGCATCAAGGGGGCAGGGGAGTTACAAAATAATTTGGTTTTTTCAACTGAGTTGGTAATGTCAATTGGCCACCTAAACAGTTTCTAAGTCTAACATTTTGAAGGTTAGCTCTTTGTCAGAGCAAAAGAGTTGAAAGCCAGAGCATACAGTGTAGACATATGAAAAATGTTTTATTTACACACAGGTCAAAGGCTATATCCTGCATTAGTCACATCAGTCTTACATACAATACCTTGATGCATGCATGCAAGAAGGATATCATATCTGTGCACCACTAGCTGACAAATTTACAGCTACACGAGTATTTAAAATCACTATAGATTTTCAGAACTCACTGAACTCTCACTAAACCTTGAATTGCTAAATTATCCTTTGAAGGGTTTGTTTTGAGTCAAGAATTTTTAAGGGTGGGATATTGTAAATGATCAGCTCTATAACCTTCGACCTGAAACGTGAGTTTCTCTGAAGTGTTAAATGGATTGTACTTTGGACATTTCCTGCTTATTCTGACAATAAAGTGATGAGATAATTTTGGTATCAAATTATGTGTAAACAAAATTGCACATTATGATAACAAGGTTTCAAAATTACTTTTACAATCTGAACTTGTCATAATTATTTGCCACAAAAAGACAAAAATCTTACAATTTCCTGTCTTGTGAGGATAAAAGTTACCAGATTTGAAATGTCACAGTAATTGGAATCTTTTTTTTTACGTGCCAAATATTTGCTTCATCCCAAAAAGATTAAGGGGTGGGATGCCCAAATTACCAAACAGACAAAAACAATAACAAACAGAAAATTCAAGGATGATGAACACTGACATAGATGGAAAACATCCAGGGCCCAAACTGTAACACATCTAATCAAGAGTAAAACATGTTATTTCAGTTTAGTCATGTATGCTGTGAGCAACCAGTTTTTGTCATGCTAGAAAATACTCATTCACTCTACCCATCACAAGGCAACTGTCACGCAATACTCTTTCCTGGTGACGTAGATCTTTCTGGCAAATTTTATTCTTCTTTTCTTTAGGCATGTGGACAAAATTGGCATTGATCACTCCCTGTGTACTCCTGCCAGTTCTGCCCATACTGCTTAAGTATTCTTCTCTCTTCCTTGCCTTTTCATGCTCCCTCTCAGCCATTTCATGTCTGTGTCTTTGTTCTTCAGACCTTCTTCTGTCATCTTCCAGTTGCTGGAATAAAAGAAAAAGCATAAATATCTGGGTAAAGGAAAAGAAGAGGCATGAGTGTATGAGAGATAAAGAGAGAAAGGAAGCCAGTGTTATAAAGGTTGATGAACACAATACTTAGGTTCTCCACACCTAAGTAACAAGTGCACGGATGGCTAGTGAGTTGCTGTCCTGCCTCAGAACAGTTACACCCAACTAAAAAAATACCCTCTTCACCAGGGTATCACCTCCTTCATTGTTCAAACCTTCTCCAAACACCCAGTTAACCTCAGCACCTGTGAGTACAACAGCTGGCTAGAAACTCAAGCTAGATACAAGGTTTTTTTGTGCATAAGGATCCCTTAAAAATAATTAATCAATCTACGCCAAGGAAAGTAGAGTAAATGCTTTGTTAGAAAAATAAATGTCTCAAATTAAAATCGTCATAGTCCTTTATCAGTCATAGCTGTGCTCATCTTTGAATAAATCACTTTCAGAGTCGATGTCGTCAAAGTATTTTAAAAACAAAATGAAATTCCCGTTTGTAATCAAAATTCAAGCTCGGTTACGTCGCCTGTCTCCATATTGCCTCGGGCATTACAACTGTATACAGCTGGGCTAAATTTGAAGCGTACAAAATTTCTTGAGCATTATTTCACTCTAAAAAGCTGCACTATTGGAAGGCTATTTCCTGGATCAAATACAACAACAAAATCATTCTCTGCGACTCAAAGCTATTAAAACATTCCGCTCGTAGTTTATGCAAACAGCTAATTACCAAACTACTCGAATTTCAATGAAGTTCAGCTTAAGAGTTCAACGCAGAATAGTGAGCCTTTCTGAATATATTTAATTATCGACTAGAATTCTAAGATACTAGCTTATCATTTAATAGAAATGTTCGACAGTTCAACAACCGTCAAATAGCAGCGTGAATAATTTCCTACTCGCAAACACAAAACATGCCGGGCAAAAGGCGAAGAACTTCAAACCTGTCGAACGGCAATTCTTGCTAATGCTGCATTCTTTTTGTCGATGATTCTTTGCTTTCGTAAGGCTTCTTTATGGTATGCTTCAGCCATTTGGCGTTTATGAAGAGATATCTGCGATGTTATCCTCAATTCGTGAAGCTATTTCAGAGTATAAACACTTCCCGTGTGCCAAGAATTTGTTGCTTCTTTGGTATCTAAGGGCGAATGCTCATCGCAAAGCATTCTGGGATACAAAGGGTTTTCCCTTTCATTCGAACACCTGTTTAATTTTTCGCAAATTTTCCTCGAGCACGCTAACCATTCATACCGTAATTATTAACGGATGCATTCCGACTGTCGATGTCTGGACTGAATTTGACCGTTCTTATATACATATTAATAACAAGAAACTGCTTCGAATCATTTTCATAAAATTACTATTGTTTTTGTACTATACTATTCTATACCAATCTCACCTGTCCATACTCAATCCTTGCCAACGCTGCGTGCATTTTATCGACAATCCTTTGTTTTCGTAAAGCTTCGTTGTGATAAGCCTCTGCCATTTCGTTTATGAATAGGATCAACTGCCCTGCACGATTAATACTTTGAATACGCCGACAATTATAGCAGCCTCTTTTATTTCTAGGAAACTTGAATGACAAGCCTCGGTATTAAACCATACAATCCTTTGGCAAGTGAAAGGTTGAAAGCATCGTCTCACTAAGCCCCTCAGCCTTTCTGACGTCAAATTTGATTGTTATCAGTTGTAATCCACTGACGTAAGATGGCGTCATGGTAATTGTACTGAGTGGAGTCCAATTTGGTCTGTAATCATACGAGGGATCAACAAATCGGACGACCTCGAAGCGGGTGTCTGACTTGTTAATTACAAGTATGATTACAGACAGAATTGTACGACGCGAAGTCCCATTACCAATTTATCCAAACCTATGACAAAATTTGAGAAGCAAAAAAGTCATCGGTTATACGTTTTCATACCAAAAAAAAAGTTATCTTAGCGAAATGCACGACAAGTAGGTTTGCGCGCTCCTGATGTGCACTGTCCAATTACACAGGCATGACGCGTACGCTGTTAGGAACCCAGCACCAGACACTGTCCACTAACAGGTATGATGGGTACACTTTCTTCTTACACTGTCCACTTACAAGCACGACGCGTACGTTTTTCTAGATCAAGTATCGAGAAACCAAAGACACTGACGTATCTAACATAATACTTTGATTTCAGCCATAGGTTTTAGTTAGATTTTCTTAACAAGATTTCACTGACAATGCAGATGGAAAAGTCTTTTGGGCGAGGAAAGTAGTCATTGTGAGACTTCACAAGGACTCTTAGTTTGGAGATAGTTCAGGATTTAAGTGGAATTCCACTTCAGAAAATTTTCGTTCGAAAATCTTTGATTACTAACATATAATGTGAGTAACTTTCTGGTTTCTTTATCTAGCGCACTTGCCAAGGAATTGAACAGTTGTCGTTGTCTATGGCGACAGAACACAAATGTACTCACCAATGCGTAACGCACCAAATTTATCCTCATTCGCCGAAAAAACTGCAATGACTGAGCGCAACAACATAATTTTTTCTAAGAAATTTGCTTCGAATGGCATAATTAGGCTAGAAGTAACTAATTGATCGCACTATTGTACCATTAATACTACAGTATCTATATAACATATTGTTTATTTCATTTCATCTATTTAATTTGATATTAGGGTGGGCAGTTTCAGAGAATGGTACCAATTCGTCGCATACGCGCCCATAGTCGCGACTCATGGCGGTAGTGGACCAAGAGGGTCCGGAAACTCTGGTTCCCCCTCTCCGTCAGACCTCTTGTCTGACGCCAAAATTATTGTAACGACAAGATCGCATGTTACTTATTAATATGTGGTAATTGAAATCGACTTGTTTGAAAATTTCTTAGCTTACTCTGGTCATTGTGTAATAACAAAAATTTGTGTTTTTCGAATCAAAGTGGGGACTAGACTCTCCTGCATCAAGGACACTCTTCGAGTGCCGTTATGTGGTTGTAGCAGCCTTATAACAGCATGCAATTTGCTTCAAGAGCTGTGCAGTATGTAATGCTGAAAGTTCTCCGCCTTTCGGCTTTGTCTGTCAAGGTCGTGGGCAGGAAATAATACCATTTAAAGACTGATTATTATTTATCGCAGTGGGGAGGGGTGGGTGGGAGGAGTTTGGTTGTGTCACGCACGTTTTGGTCGTGTCACGCACGATGAAATTGACCAGAGCCACCTCATAAGGTTCTGTTATAATCCTATGATCCTTTCTCATTGGCAGTTGGCAGTCAATTTTCTATAGTCTCCCATTTTATACTCTGTTGGTGAAGAGTGATTCCATCTCCGTTTCCCCTGAAAATCACGGATCCCTCCAAAGTCCGACTCCTGCCTCCCCCTGGTGATAAATCATGACAAATCCCTCATCCAAGGATAACAAGGATAGAGAATTGTTTGAAATTATTCCAAAAGTTCATCAAAGTCATGCGGAAAACAAAAAAATTCGATTCTGAGAGCGTTACATGATTTTTTTCGGAGAATAATTTGGACTGTGAAAACTGTAAAAACATAATCAGTGAATTATCATCTTTTGTTGAACTTTGTCGCGCGGATTAAATTTGCATTTGTCTGAGAATTGAAGTAAACAATAAAATACTGGGCAACCAGAATTATGAAAGGAGAAAAAAATCTGAAAAAAAACGTATTTCGTTACAAAGAAGAGACAGCTTAACTTAAAAAATTATGAATATTGCATATCCTATCGAAGATAAGAAGAATTTACGAAAACATTGTAAAGATCAGGTATTTCAATAAAAGCATCTTCCTTTCCTTTTTTTGGGTCACTTTTATCAATACTAGAACTAACGAAGTGATGAATTTTAAAATGCAAAACGTTGACATTGCAACAAGAACTCTTAAAGATGTTTGGAAAGAGCTTGCCTCAAGAACGTAGTAAACAGCTTTGTGCACAAGGGGGTAACATGGGTGATAGCTGGTACAGGTGAAGCACAATTCTTAAAACCCTTCCAATGGCTACTGTCACTACGAAGCTTTATTTCTCACCCTGCGCTTTCTCAACTTTTCAAGTGCTTCGTGTTTTCTGTCTACGACGCGTTGTTTTCTCTGAGCTTCCTGATGAAAAGCGATTATCTTCACTTGTGTAGTGTCGTCATTCAGACATAGAGAGACTATTCCTTCTTCATTGCCAAAGGCTAACTGAACTTTATTGATGAACACGTTACACATATACAAGTATAGGAGTTTACTGACATATAGTAATTTTTACAGCATGCAGGTATTTCCAGTACAATAGGATTACTGCGAGTCGTACATTTACTGAATTAAGTACAAAGTGCTCACCTTAGAACCCATACTAAGGTTATTGTCAATAATTAAGATAGGTACATGTATAATCAATACCCTACAACTTGGAATCCAATCGCCTCGGCAGATGTTTGCACAATCACGCGGGTTCACAAAGCGACAAAACTTCGATGACGTTTCAGGTCTAGCCTGTTCCTCCAGCTAAATCTCTCGGGGCCCATCCGCTATCCGAAGAATGCCACACAATGCACATAAAAGACATTTAGAGCTCTCTTCAGAAAGGAAATTAAATCCTCTGCTTACAGAAACCCGTTTGATAAATTTCATAGACAAAGCCATCATCTTGCGGGCAAACAGCCTTTGTTTTAATCAAAAGAGCTTTCTCTTTATTCCAGATGCATACATGCTCATTTTAATTCAAATTTGTCGCGAGCACGTTTGCACACTAACGAGAAGATGATGAAATCTGTAACAGCGAAAAGTTTCGCGGTCTAGGTGACATCGCGATCGTTAAGTGTTTACACATTTGCAATTATGAACTCATTTGATGTGTGTTTACACTTCTGTAGATTGTCATTTACCAACACACAAACCAAACAATACTGTCCCAAGAGAGCGCTCTCTTACACCCTTGAAGCAACAACTAAAAAAACAATAACGTTTAAACAACGTGTTAATAAGATCTTTTTGGTCACACATTTGGATTTCCGACTGCAATCGTTCATTCTGCTCACTAAAGGGGCCACGTTGGACTTTTTTCTGAGTGCTGCAGTAAATTTGAAGCTTAAAAATGTATCATGAAGCCTACCACCAGGAAGCCCAAAGACGACAGCGCGTGATCGAAAGGAAACATCTTGCTTTGGAACGCCTCAAAGAACGATACACACGACAAGTGAGTCTAAATTTCACTTTACGATTTCGGGGTCAGGTAATTTTGTTCATTGTAAAAAGCAAAATTTTTTTTTCAGTTTGAAGACAACTTAGGGGATGCCATTTTATTTAGCAGAGATGTTATTCTGTTTACCAGATTTGGTCTTAAATGTTACGCAACAGCAAACAAAAGTTCCATTTTAAAAATGTCAATGTTTACCAAATCCAAACAAGGCTGAGAAATAATGGGCCAAACTGGAATAAATTGCACAGAAGCTGTAAAAGAAGGAAACTAACTTTAAGAAATACCGTTACTTGTCCAAGCACAGAATTCAGCTTTCTCAAAATCACGTTCCAGCCGCAAACTTAAATTGCAAGGAAATCATACTATCAACATCCCGTATCTAAGACGACAGCGCCAAATTGATTGGTAAAGGAGAGTTAATTGACATTACCAAGTTGATAAGTACGCCGAACAGAAATCCCACCACCGTTCTGAAAGAATATATACGGATTCAGAAATATCGATCGAGCGTTTGAAAGAGAATCCTCTTTTTTTAAGTTGCAGGATCTGGGCAAGAAACAGAAGTCGAGAAAGAACCAGACAGAAGACGACGAAATTACTGGAACTAGGGCCGGGACCCGCGGAAGCAAGCGTGAGGACACACGCGCAGCTACTCGCGAGATACACTCACGCGACGCTCTGTGGCTTCCAGATATTTGCCAAACCACTACAGGCAGGACATACTACCAACTTATTCACCCAAAACCAAAGCCGCTGCACCAATGGCGCGATTTGAAGAACCGCATAAGGCATGACTATAATCTGGTACCCCTCCCATACAAGAACGAGCACATAGTGAAAAGATAGCTTTTGAGAAAGCCCGTTCAATATAAATTACATTTGAGTGTTAGAAGTAATCCACTGCTTTGGCGCAATTTTCAAAGTCAGGGATTTGTTTCGTTTTGCTTTACTTCGCTTTGTGATTGGCCCAAAAATCTCATACCACCCTGTCAACCGTTCATGTTGCACTTTGAACTCTTTGCTTGTTTTGACTTTTGCATTTTCTTTGGCGCCTTGTGATAATTTTCTCTCCTCTGATTGGCTGTTGTGATAACTTTGGTTTTGGTTATACAACACTTTGCTCTGGTCTGTGACTAGTGAAAAAAAAAAACCTCACTTTACCCTCTCAACCAATCAGGTGAAAAACAATTACCAATCGCCACTCGAGTTTTTCCGCCATGCATACATTGCGCTAATGTTTACTTTGAGTTTTTGTCGGTTTCTTGGCTGCTATGTTTAATTCTAAGGTGCTCCATCCAAATGTGCTGTATTAAAATAGCTTTGAAATTATAAAAAAGGAGAACTGGTTTATCATGCTTCTTTTAACAAATACTACTTAACATTTCATGTTACAGTTCAAAAAAAAAAAGCGCAAGAGTTTCTGTTTAAAAACCAAAAATATGTCTTTTTTTAAATTTTTTTTCCATTTAACGGCTGAGTTGGGGGTCCAAAGGTCACTTACAAAAAGCGATGTAAAGTCTTTGATCAGTATACAATGCAGCTATTTGTCCAAATCCTTAAATCTAACTTAATCACCATTCTTGTTCCAATCAGATGACTACGAGGGAAACCTTTGAGCTGAGACAACCTCAAATCATATTTTTTGTCAAGGAACGTTTTTTTTTATGAGGTAAGGGGGAGTAGTGAGCTTTTATGAACCTCCACTACCATACCTCCCTCAGTCCTCATTTTATGCATGGGCACCACACAGAAGGTTTTTTTTTATGACCCCCTAAAAAACGTGAGATGCAGATATATTGCAATGCACAAAATGATTTGTATTTGTTGTTCAGTATAAAGCTGATCACAACTTCTTGTACTGATGTAGCAGCCACCTAACTGTTCATTTAAAAAATTAGATAAAAATAATCCTATGACATAACCAAGTGTAATGACAGCATACGGAAGACACAACAACAAGGAAGATGAACGATAGTAATTCTCAGTGTTCAAGTTAAGATGTATCTGCACAGGGGTCTCAAACTGTAATATGGATTCTGGATAATGATACCCAAACAGATATATACATTTGATAAATTAAACTGTGCCAAAGTACTTCACAATTCTTTGTTTCCTCTTCATCTTCCACGACCTACAAGAAGAAATGAAATGTGTGTCTAATAAATTTTCAATGCAATTTCTTCTAGAGGACAGTAATTTTCGTAAGTGAATAACAAACAAGATCTGAGTAGCTAAACGATTTCAAACATTCACTTTTTCTTCTATTCCTGTTCTAAATGCAGTAGCCATTACCTCTAAAACCTCCACCACCACCCCTGAAACCTCGTCCTCCTCCACCTCTTCCTCCACCTCTTCCACCACCTCTGCCACCTCCGCGAAAGCCACCACCACCTCCTCTACCACGTCCACCACCTCGACCTCCTCTGCCACCTGAAATTTAAAAACAAAAACAAAGATTTAAGCAGCAGAAAAATTAACAAAACTGACACAAATAGGAAGTCATTATGTCATGAAAGTGAGTCTGACTTACCTCTTCCTCTACCTCCAACACCACCTGGGGGTCCTAGAAGAGAGAAATCACAAATAATGCTAGTCATAATAAGACTACAACAAAGATGGACATGGATTGATCCATATCTCAATGTTACTGACAAAACACAACTTCCCTTAAGGCTCAATATCCTTTCTACTGCAAGTATTCTAAAGTAAAGTCCTTACTCAAGCCCAGTAGCTCATCCAGCTGGAGCTTATCCTGGTTTCTTTCACATGAAGTGACTAAGAGTATCACTACTCCCCTCAAGAAGGGATGCTAGTTACCCCCAAGAATTTGATGCAGCTTCCCTGACCAGTACTCATTTATACTCCTGGCCGGAGAGAGGCAAAGTGGAAGGTAAGTGTTTTGCCAAAGAACACTGACCCAGCCAGTTCTCGCATGCAGACCTCTTGACTGGAGTCCAGTATGCAAAGCATTAGGCTGTTGTATCTCCCATTTCATGAACACTAAAAAAACTCCATAATTCTTCCTTAACTAATGTACACTAACAGAGTGTCCTGCCCCGACAACTAATTTAAAACAGGACACTTCTTTTAAAAAAAATTCAAATTTTGCACCTCAGTGATGCATTAGAAATCAATTGAATGCCATATGTGTCATAGAAGATAACATACCTTTCTGGCCAGGAGGTTTAGGGAGAAATCTGGCAAGAGGTAGCAGTTTCATAGGATCGATAAAGAACTAAAAAGAAGCAGACATAAAATTGAAAAATATTCTGTAGAACCTCACTTACTCATTCCAAGTAAATTTAAACCCCCCACTAACTCAAACAAGATCCAATTTCCTTTGGATTTCGTACTCTGTTTTTTTCAGTCATTTACAATCAGCTAACTCAAATCCCCCTCTAAACTCAAACTCATTTTACTCTCCCTTTACTCAAATTTACCCTGATAACTTGATCATACTTTAAGTAAAAACATTGGTCCATAAATGTCTAAGTGTCAGAACAGAGCTGATTGACACATCCCCATCCTTAATCTTCACTGATAGGAATGTGATAACATCATAAAAATGAAATAAATTATCTGTAAGCTAAATTTCCCAAAGTAAATGTCTTTATAAAATAAAGCTCTGTTGATTGTGCAAAAAATGGTAAAAACTAGATTACTTTATATCAATCATTAACAGGATTCAACTACAGATAACTTGAATTCCCAATAACTTGAACCATGTTGTTTGCCTTGAGAGATTGAGTAATCAGGGTTCCATTATATCTTTGATTACAAGTCACAGGAACCCTTTTTTCGTGATCAAGTGGCAAAAGTTAACTCTTGGCAAAGAACTGAACCCTCTATTTAACATTCCTTACCTTTTGATCTTTTTTAAATGAGGAAGCTTTCATATCTGTGTTAACCTTCACTGAGAAATACTATATAACAAACACATAGTTAAGAAAAACTCTCAAATGAAATTTCTTTTTGTAATAGCTCTATTCATCTATATGAGGAGTTCCAACACTTTCAATGATACAAATTTAAAACTGTGAGATAGAGAAGATACTATCCCAAGAAAAAAATGCCATGTATTTCCAAATAGCATGGAAAATAAAAATAGTTTTTTCAAAATTGCGTGAATTGCAGCCCGTCTCATCCACAGGTCAAGCAAAATTTATTTCAGTATAAACATTCTAATCAGATTCCTCCATGGGATAGAAGGACCATCTAAGATGTGCCTCAATCTCAAGATGTGGCTTCATGGCATCATAGCTCAGTTAGTAGTAGCACTCAACTAGTATCTGGGAGGCACAGGTTTAAATCCTGTCCAAGCCTGAATGGTTTTTTTTTCGGGCTTCTTCTCTGCAATTTCTTAAATCGCAGCTCACTTTGGAGAATCATTGCTGAACTGTTTAGCCCCTGAGAGTGACCAGCATCTAATTTCTCCTCACAACATCCCCCCCAAATCACACATAAAGGTCACAAGAAAAAAGGAAATGATCACCAACAATAGAAGGTCCGCATTGTTAAACAAATTCTCCTTGTCAGCACCTTAGGAAATGTATAGAGAACAGTATGGAGAATATGTCTACTGATGTTAGGGTGTAAAGGGTTCACCAAGGCAGTGATTCTGTTTATTTACTTGTATCAGTCTTTCTTACTTGACTGCTATGGGGCTATGGCTTACATTGTTGGAAACTTTAAAATTTTTTAAGGTGATGTATGCTAAAGAGATGAAGTATCACTATTTTTATGCAATTAGGTCAAGGATACAAATTCTGTCATTGGACCAAATATGTCATCTACTTTGCCAATCTGTGACTTGTTTTCTAAGTACACTGGAGCATTAAAGTATGGAATCTTCTCATTTGTACATTTACACACTAAATCTCCTTCACAAGTGTGGAGCACATGTCCAAGCTCTGCGAAAAACAAAAACAATATCTTAGTTATCTAGCAAAATTGAAAAAAATTGAAATTGAAATTGAATCCACTCTGTTGTCATGTAGGAGAAGGATGGTTTTTGGGGTCAATGCACTTAACCCTTTAACTCCCAAGATCTGATTCTTCTTTCTCCCCTTTAGCTGCTACACATTTCCTTACGAATTAGTTACAGGAATTTGGTGTTAGATCAAAATAACAACTTTCACTTGATACATTGGAGTACTCTCATCACTAGTTGCTGGATATTACAAAGATATCATGGGGAGAAGTTACATGTTAACCACTTCTGAGAACTTTAGAGTTAACCCCTTTATTGAGAGTTCCATGTTTGAGCCCTCGTGCATCATTCTGCTGTGTTCTTCAGAGAGTCATTTCACCCTTATAATGTCTCTCTCTCTACTAAGGAGTGATCATAGGTACCACAATTAAAAGGTGGAAGATACCTGTTCAAATGCAGATGCTTTTAAGGGAGACGAGGGAAGCTGCATCCCTTCTCCAGGGGGATTACTTAATTGTAATTGACTAATGGAGATGTCCCTCAGGATAACGTCACATTTACCACAACTGTATTGACTATAATGGGGTTGCATTTGGAACAGAGCAATTAGAATGGGGTTGCAAATTTTTAGGATTTAGAAGGTATGGATTTGAAATGGGAAGAATTGGGGTTACAAAGTTATTACCAAAGTGACCAAGTTGGGATCACTAAAGTTACATTTGTCCAAAAGTGACTAAGACAGGGTCTTCAATTGGCCAGAAATCAGACTACGATGGGATACAGGTTCTGAGAGGCCAGCTGCACATACCCAGCAAAAATCAACCCAAGTAACCCCTCCCCAGATGTCTTCCAAGAGGAGTAGGAAACCTCCTGGACCCAGTTGCCTAGAGGCTGGATAATGCTATCCAACTGATAAATTGCTGGCAGAATAGCGATACCAAACTATATAGCATTATCCACTGGAGAGAATTTTATCCAATGGAAAGCAATATCCAACCTTTGAACAACCAGGACCTGGACCCAGTTGCTTCAAGGGCAGATGACACTATCCTAAGGACAAATGATGATCCAGTGGATAAGTGTTAAAAAAACATACTGTGCTATCCACTGGAAAGAGATTTATTCAGTGGATAGCATTATCCACTCTTCAAACAACCCAGGCCTGGTTCCCTAATACTATGAAGGCCACGTCATGCCAAGCTGGATGTGAAACTTGACTTGTTCATACACTTAATTCATTTGGCTGAAATGCCTCCCATCATTTTAGGATAAGGCTTAAGTGAAAATCATCCTACTTTTACACGTAGTGGCCAAGCACAAATGCATAAATACAATTCTATGTAATTACAGCTTCTACAGATGATTGCTTGCTGGAGAAGTTTTATTTTCCTTTATGATCGATTAAATTTGAAATCCACTGCAATCTATCAGACGTCTAAGAATCATCACTATCGATTGCAAACGAGTGTTTGCAGAACTTCGGTTCACTAGAGTGAACTCTGATCTAAGTAACTCATACTAGTCTAGTTAAAGCTGGTATATGAACCAGCGATACAGCTTACTAAGTAGAGTAGGCGCTCAGAAAATAATTTTCTAACCAAGGAGTAAGGTCTACCATTACCTGTAACATAATCGGGAGGCCCAAAATCTCTCTGTTGGAAATTTCCCCTTCCACCGCCACGACCTCCGCCTCGAAAACCGCCACGGCCACCTCGACCGCCACCACCACGGCCCCCTCCTCGGCCACGAAAAGACATGATCTGATCACCAAAAGATTTACAAGTTTACACTATAAAAGGCTGTGTTGTTATCTGGCGACCGCGTGGTTGAGAGAGAGTTATGCTTGGTAACCACTCGCTGGCTCGATCGATAGGTTACCAAGCCAATCAGGTTTGTGTCCGGTTGTGTCCGAATTCTTAGCAAACCAAAATAAGCTGGGGGAACCCAGGTAGGTGAGGTAACCCGGCTAACTGTGGTCGAAAAATAGCCTGCGTTGACACATAATTTTTACCACCTTTGTGCGAGTTTTACTACCTTTGCACGAGTTTGCACCCTGAATTAAAACAAGTTCGCTTCCCTTCCACCTTCACCAGCTCGCTCCAGGGGGGCAAATAGCAAAGGTAGTTGAAGGGCGAACTCGCAATGAGGAGAAACCTCCAGATACCATCAACGGAAGAGGTCACTAGCAGTGGTGGTCCCAAAGCGGCATTCGGAGGACATGGTGGTCATTTCATTGCATCCATTTTGTGAGTTGCCACGAAACAACAATTGTTATTGTTTATCCAAGACATGGAAAATTTGAAAATTTTACTGCTCACATGCTCCCTATTAAGATTAAGAACGTTTAAATGTCTTGCTCATTTTCAGCGAGTTAGTTGTCATCTTTGGAAAATGTGATTCATGGCAGTTAATTTTAAACGCACTCTTTGATTTAATTCTTTTCAGGCTTGCAAACTGTCTCAAAGGGCGTCCTTGTAAAATGCTCCCCATCGCCTGGCTAAACCATTTTTCAGAGAAATGAAAGGAAAGAAAAAGTAAAAGAACACCAACGACCAACCAGACAGTACAGAACAATGCAACAAGTTTAGAAACATTGTATTACAATTGGAACTTTTATTTAAAACCGAGTCAACCTTCTCTATTTTATATACAAGCATGTAAATAGAAATCGTTTTTTTTTTTAAACATTATTTTGTCCGCTTAACCACAAACCACTTTCACAGAGGGGGGGAGATGAAGCTTTATAATGGAATTGCGATTTTTCATAATTTGCACACACGGAAACAAACTATCAGAGGTAAAATAGGGCTTTCTTTAAGCTGCAGTTTCTAAGAGGATTTTTCATCTGGATAAAGTAAATTGGGAGAAATGTGCGCGCTGTTCTAAGGATATGCACCTACAAGAAAGCCATCTTACACAAATACAACATTTCTTAAAATACCACGTTCTAATGTAACGCATGTTGATTTAAGTAAATCTAGGCACGCATTTTTGGTATGACGAACGTAAATAAAATCAGCCAATGTTGTCAAAGAAATTGTTGCATGAACGAGATCAACCGGAGATAAGAACGAATATTTTCCGAAGATTACTGACTACCTCGTGAACTTTAGCGGGTATCTTTCGAACACAGACATCTCCCGAAGCTTAAATTAATTACAAACTGTTAAGCTTACATATCTAACTCTACTGTGGTTGGTTACAGGCATTTCTCAATACTCTAGTACCCAGACATTCTCTTCCGGCGCCTGGCCGTAGAAGCCCTGGGTATTTTTATTTCTCTCACCTTGAGTTATGTGCGCTCTCAAACTTGATTTTTTTCGTATATACACCTTCAAAAACAGGAAGGAATTCACCGAAGTCGGTTTTACTCTTGGCGTCTACACGCAGTGTAGATTTGTATGATATTTTCATTTCTTCTATCCAGGTGTGGAATAGAAGGGCACTCGTTTTCTAATTAATATATTTTTTTACATAAATAAATGCTTCTCTCGCGCTTTGCTATCAATGCAAACCTCTATTTTTAGCTCTAGCTTTAGATATTAATAGTCGTGGGAACGAAGACAACATGACAGTAACTTCCCGTTTTCTTGAATAGTGATTGAGCCAGCTGCAATGGTCAGCGGCGTAGCTAAGCCTACCTATCCATATCTCTGACAAAGCTATTCTTCTTCTGATTGGATGACAGGGTGTTGAAACCTTTGAGTACCTCAACGATAATTTGCCAAAAATTGTGTTTGTTCTCCGCGACTGTTTAAATAAATTGACCTCTTTCGCCAATCAAAAACTAAAACTAAAAGCAGTTACCGTAGAATTCCTACACTAAAGTTTCCTGCTCCAGAAAGTCTTTCTGGCTACTGTTTTGTTGGGTTAGAGATTCCCACTGGAACCAATTCTCCAGCTGCCAGTCTGAAAGACTAAACGTTCTAGAATCAAACGGCTGATTACGATTGTACTCCTCGTTTCTGTCCCGGGCCAACTCAACTTCAATTTCAGTTTGTAAGCTGGTCCATTCAGTTATTAAATGTCCGTCGTCAGCCACATAGGCCCGGACTGGAATCGGTGACGATGAAGTGGATTCCGCAGAAACGAACGCGGTAGACGAAGGAGATGAAGGAGGTGTTGAAAAGTTTGAATAAGAAACTGAAGCCGACCCTGAAGAAAGAGCAGGAGACGGAGGCTGCTCGAAAGCAGATCCTTCGTACCTGCACGTAGGTCTCGTCATCGGCGGTGTCTTTCGTTTGTTTTGTCTATAATTTGAATTGTAACTCGTCGTCGATGCGTGATCGTCGGGTGAAGACATCTGTCGCCCGAACATGTGTTCTCGGTAATACCTAGCATCGTCTTGATTCAAAGAATAACTACGATTAGGAAATGCAGAATTGTGATTCGATTTATCACTACTGCTACGTGTCACTGTGCGTGGCGAAGGATTTTGTCTCGCACGCCAGTTTGCTTCGTTGAAAGAACGCGAGCCAGACGCGTTCGAAAAGCGTGTTACAGGACGCTCCGCCGCTCCAGCGGACATGACGCGTCCTCTTACTGGCGTCTCTGCTTTACCACTAGCTTCGTAAATGAAGGGATCGTCTTCCGTTTCAGAGCTGTTTAGAAAATTGAGAGAAGGACAGGTTAAGATGAAGGTAAGAGATGCGGTTTATTTTCCATATGAGTGAATATGGCGCTCACAAGAAAGAGCGATAAACTACCGTGGGAGATAATCTGAGGGGGAGGGGCGTCCACCCTTTCCGAGGGGACACACCTGTATGTATTTTCAAAACGTGTCTGAAAAAAAATTTCTTTAACAACAGGACCGCACATTACTTATTAGTAATCATTATCATGCTTTTAAGTCTTAGGAACCAGTCATTTTTATCCTCTGGGAGAGAGGGGTCAGGGCATTTTTTTGGGTGGGGGGAGGGGTCCTACGATTTTCAGAACGGAAGAGGAATGGAGGGGGAACAGTCGTCACCAATAATAGGGGGCACCATAGACAATCGACTGCCTAATGGCTGTCCATGAGAGGGAATTATGGGAATATTAAAGGTAAATTTTATCGCGACACAAACAGTCTCTTCCGAGCCTTCCGTTCATCCCCCCCTCCCTTCAAGTACATTGACGAACACGTAAAATTTATGTGTATACAAACCCTCCATTTACTTTTGAACATACAGAGTTAAAAGACAATGTTGAAATATAACTCCACCTCACAACAATCAAAATCTACCCGTTCAAGAAGAATGTTTTCCACACTTTTTACCTTACTCCGTGCGTTCTCAGTAACCTTCTCCTTAAAATGAAATCCAGAAGTTCCGGTTCATTTTCCAAAAGATGAACCAGCGCGTTATGATGCATTTCTGCAGAAACCTTAAAGAATGAAAAAAGAAGAGAAAAAATTTCAACAGCGTCTAATTGGATATCAAAAGTGCATGAAAACAACGTAATATTGGAGGTTATGGCTTGCAGAGACAAAAAGAAAATGACTAAGCTGCGCAGACTGAGGGAAACTCGTGTTGTGTTATTATTTCATGTGCGCCCGAAGACCGCGGCTTATCTCAAACCCAGGTCTCACTCGTTTCTAGGAACGTGTGTGTCACGTCGAAGGGATAGGCGCCGATAGGCGTCATTACGTAGCACTTCAAAGTATCAGAATTACTCCCGAGTGATGCAAAAATGTAATAATCAATGCCGATCCTACTACCTGAAACAACTGGTCGTGATGTTCAATCATATCTTGCACCACGTCAATAATTTCCTTCCTTTCATCCGCACGAGCCTTATCTTCTACTAGGAAGTCGTGATGTTGCCCTTTTACCTGAGAGGGAAAAGAAGTAGAAATGAAACAAAAGTAAAATGAAAAAATTATAAAATTTTAAAATCAAGACGACGACGCAAAAATGATTCAAATGTACATTTCGATTTCTATTAAAATTTAATTTTTATTTTATCCTTTACATACCTTATGTAAAATATTCGGGCCAATTATAATAGCTAAGTTTTTAGAGTTCATTTTGTTCCCAGGAATCTGAAAGAGCAAAAGTTTGTTTAGAATCTGCGATTTGATACAGATCATTGTTTAAAATTCTTAGGCCAGTTAATAGCCTAAGAAAATGGGGTCTGCTTTTTTTTTCGGCTTAAAACAAGAATATATTTATTCAAATTGATTCCCTCAAATAATGCTGAAATGATCACGCAGTTTTTTTAGTTTTGACGTAACCTGTCTGGTTTGTATTCGTAAACCACATAAATAATAAATAATATCATCAGATAGACGGACCGAAAAACCCTTAAAGAATGGACGGCAGCAAAAAGGCGAACAACCCAAGAAATTTTAAAAGACAGATACGGACTGGCGTCTAGAGAAGACAGTTAGTCAAGAACCAGTCTCCTCTCAGTCGATTATCAGCCATAATGGCGGAACCGAGCTGCTCACGGTGAACCTGAGTCATTCGCCAAGAAAGAATCAGAGTCAGCTCATTACCTCCACAAACGGAGGTAGGTTTTCAATCAGTCAGGTTAAAGTTAAAAGGTGGATAACACTCATAGCGCTTGTCAAAGTCTTGGTGGTCGAAAATTTGTAAAGATTTCGTAAAAAGATCTAGTTTGCACCGAGCTTAAACAGTGCATGAATTTAGCTAACGATGTGTAGCAAAACTTACTTCATTGCCTTTTTCGTCAATGCTGTCTTCTGCACATTGCGCAACTCCAGCGAGAAATTCCAGTAGTACCTTTAATGTGTCTCTGTTTGGTGCTGGTAGAAGACAGCAAAGAAGCCGAAGAGCTGAAATCTGCATACTTGGATTATCGAAGGCTGAAAAAATGAAAATAATAATTGTTATGCGTCGATCAATGCGAAACTTCAACACCCCTTCCCCCGGGAATTCCTCTGGGAATTTGAACTTGAACATAGGTCCATTCAAATTATCCCCCGCTCAAGCCGTAATTGTGTTCAAACGTCCTACCTAAAGTACCTACCCAAGCGCCAGATTTGATGGTCACTTTTCAAGTGAAAGGCAAGATTTGCAACCGTAACTTTCTTCTCATTGGCCATTAATTGATTTGACTATTCAAGCTTTTAAACATAGACCTTACAGACCTTTTCTTCCAGTTGATCAGTGTGGTATCAGTTTATCACTCTCCCTTTTACAAACTTCACTTGCAATAGAAATTCTAGTTAAAGTTATGGTTTGACCTTTCTGTCATCTTCAGAGTTTCTGCTGGTTCATACACAGGCTTCTCAAGCTCATGTCGCGAGAAAGAGCAAACTAGTAATTCATGAAAGCGTCATGCCCTGTGTGACGCTGTGTGACATGGCGTGTATATCAGGAATGACAGTTATGGCAAAGCAATCTTAAAAACAGCAGTGAACACCAGACACCACAGTGTTTCCCTAGCTCGTGTCTCAAGAAAGAGCAAACTAGTAATTCATGAAAGCGTCACACCCTGTGTGACGCTGTGTGACATGGTGTGTATATCAGGAGTGACAGTGATGGTAAAGCAATCTTAAAAAAAGCAGTAATCACCAGACGCCACAGCAGACACACAAGGAGTGAGTAACTTTTGTTAATCTTGCTTGTATAATGTTTATATTTTAGAATATTTAGCCTTGTAAATCATCCATATTTCTTTCCCCATTTTATTCCTTATAACACATTCAAATTATCGATGGTTCCTTGTGTAACTTAATACCATGTAACACAGTATGTGACAATTTCATAAATTAATCGTTTGCTTTTCCTTGATACATGAGCTTGGGACACCTGTTATTTGTATTTGAGGTTTGTGATGGTCACTGAAAATCATTTTACTTAGGACGTTAAGTAAGAAATATTTCACTTAATTTGCATTGTGTTGAAAACTTACTTTGTGTTTCTAAGAAGGCAGAGTACAAGTCACGTGTGAGCAATGGTTCTGGAAGGTCTCTGAAGTATTCTTTGAATAATGCAGCCACATCATGTGGGTTGTCTTCAACTGTGAACTTTGTTTTTTCTCCAGAGTCAAACTGATCTCTCATCTGTTGGAAACACAGAACATAAAAGAAATAATTTGGTTGGAAATCAAAATACTTTTGCTATTATACAAAGCAAACTAGTCTTTTTATGAATAAACTATTCAAAAAATGTAATTTACTTGTTTCATTCGCTTCTTAGAACCTCCAACTCTGAATATTCCAAGGACATGTAGACCTTCAAAACAGGAACAAAACATAACTTCTGTTAAATGCTCTTTTAAGGCCAGGAAACACTTAGCAACAAGTTTCTATTTCAACTGCTTTGTGTGTACTGCCTTCAAAAAAATGGTCCAGTAATTTTTTAAAAATTCAAACTTGTTCAAGTTTAAAAATGTACCGCCTTCAAAAATATTTTGAATGGGTGGTAAAAATGATTTGGTTTCAACTATGGGGTAGTTAAACAGGCCTCACTGCTTAATGAAGTACTGTAAACTGCTGCCTTTAAAGCCTTGGGCTTAGACAACTTCATAGGGGATATTAGAAGGGCTTATGTCTGATGGGCTAACAACCAGAATGGTAAAAAAAGCTTAACAATTGGTTCATACGTCAGTGTACATTTATCGAGATATGAAGCATGTGCGAAGTTTGGACAGCACGAAAGATGGGTAAGAGTTGCTCTTGGCTACGCCTCGAGCAACTCTAGCTTCTTGAGTGCTCTCCAAACTTCTCAAGTGCTTCATATCTCAATGAACGCACAGCTGACATATGAACCAATTGTTTTATAAAATTTTCAACCCGATGGAAAATTTTTTTCTCAAGGGATTTGTTTGCTGACATCATATCCGTGCACAATAGAAATATGAAGCATGCTTGCACAATTGAATTTGATTAGACAAATTTACTAGCTATGTTATAATTTAAAATGAACTATAGCAGTTCTATATCTTTATACACAAGTTAGAGGTTTACATGTACAGTATGCAAGAACTGAAATAACAATTTTAACTTCACAGACTGGCCATACCATAACACTGAAGGTGCTCGATAGCGTGCAAAACGATTGGTGGAACTTGAGGTTGTGGGGGACTTAGCACTGACTGTTTATCCATCAAACAGGATGCAGAAGCAGATGAAGACAGTAGTGTCAATGCTTCAATAAGTCGTGATTTCCAACTTGGTGATTCCAAAGGTTGGTCTTTATGAGAAGAGGTCTTTTCATCAGTATTTGAATTTGAATTATCCACTGATGATCTTGAACTGTGAGAGATGCTGGATCCAGATGAGTGTCTTCTGACCCCAGTTGAGTCATCAGATGCCTCTTGGGTTCCTGTTGATGATATTGATGGTGTGCCCTCTTTAACATTCTTTTGTGATTTTTTTAGTTCACTGGAATCTGGGGGACTTTGTGTGGAGACAGCTTTGTGAAGGGGTATTGCAAATACACCATTTTCTGAAAAAAATGAAGAGATGAATAAATAAGTAAACACATACAAAGGCTTGCACTGGTAAAACTGTCTGTTCAAACCTATTTTTGCTCAAACACAACCCATTTTTGCCAGCCAGTTATCCATTATGTCATATCTTTTATTGTACATGCAGCCTCAAATTCAATGCAGGCAAAAGTGACACAGCCTTATCTTTCTTTAACCCTTAAACTCCCATGAGTAACCAAGACAGATATTCTCCTTACAACATCAATACAATATCAAGGAGACAAGTGATGAGAATAAAGAAAAATATCAGTTAGAGGATTATAAGATGATCCAATACCAAATTCTCCAAACTGACATCACAAGAACTGTATAGGGAGATAGTTAGGAGAATTAATAAGGAGATCTTGCGAGTTAAAGGGTTAAAAAGACATGAATTTAGCATGTGTGAAGAACAGTAAAAAATGTGTGGCCATCCATGGCGTTGACCATACATTATCTGTTATCTGGTTGTTATTTCAAGCCCAGGCTTATGATGTGGGGGTTCTTTAGAGGATTCCCTATGAAACTGCTTCAAAAACTGTATCATCATAATAACGCATCTAGCAAAGCCATTCAGTCTTGAGCGCAAAGTGATTAAGACTATTACTCCTCCCTGAAGGGATACTACTCTATTGTACAGCCAGAAATCTGTCAAGTTTCACTGACATTTGGCAGGTACCTATATTTGCTCCTTGGTAGAGAGAGGCTCTGTGGGCATTCAGTATCTTGCCCTAAAATTCTACCTAATGGCCTGCCTGGGGGGGTAACATCAAAATTCTCAATCTAGCATGCATTTTGTATAAGTGATAACATGGTTCAAGAGGAATTTGGTGTTAATAAGCACAAGTAAATTCTTCAAAGACAACAAAACTGCATGAGCCCATAGGGCAAGTGCAATTTGTAGTCTTTGAAAAATTTACAAGTGCGTATTATACCAAATTGCATGAGAAATCATGTTGTCACTTGTTAAGAATATACATGAAAAAACCTCAAAGAGAGTCAAGACAGACGTAACTTTTAACAGTGCAGACATGCTTTTTGTAATTTGCACTCATGTTATAACTTTGCAATCATGTTACAACTTTGCACTCGTGTTACAACTTTGCACTCTTGTTACAATTTTGCATTCGTTACAATTTTGCACTTGCATTACATGAGAAAGCACTCGTTTTCAGCCAATCAGACATGCACAAATTTGTCATTGCATAATTAGCTAATTAAAACCTCACTGCCTATACAACGATCATAACCATGATCCAGTGGCATAAGTTTGTGTGCAGGATACAAGCAAATTTCATAGAGAACACTGAATTACCAACCTTTGTCTTTGTCAAATAAACTTGACCCAGAGTTTCCTTTCTTCCATGACAGTGCTCTCTTTAATGACTTCCTAGGATTCCGTGGATCTTAGAATGAAAAGATACAAATAATGTGAGTTGAGTGCTGACAAGGTATTACCGTCTCTCTCTAGGGGTGACACCAGGTACAAAACCAATCAACAAATATTTGAGAAATTAATGCACGATAGAAACCTTGCAGATTATTTTGAATGAAATGAGTTTTCCGACCTGTACAAACTTTTGTATCTGGTTTTAGGGGGAAAATATGAATGAGAAAGAGGAGTCAAACAAGGTCTGAGGCATCGATAACTTAATGGACCACCAAACAAGGTTAGATTTTTATATTTCTGGGTTCAAGAGAGAGGGGGACAATTTTGATTTACACAAACTTTAGCTAAATGGTGACTTTTTTGCATGAGGAATCGAACCTAATAGCCTATGAAACAGCTTAACCCTTTTAATCCCATGAATGACCGAGACAGAATTTCTCCTTATGTTATCAATACAATACCAGGCAGACAAGTGATGAGAATGAAGAAAAATATAAATTAGGGGATCATAAGTTGATCAAATACCAAATTTCCAAAACTAACATCACAAGAACTGTATGGCAGACAGTAAGGAGAATTACTAATGTGATCTTGGGAGTTAAAGGTTAAGCAAATATCAGTTACTGTGCAACTACACAGGGATGATATGCAAACTGTCCAATTACACTGCTCATTTGTAGCATGACGTGTATTGTCCTACCGATTGTGTATTAGATAGCCAATTGCATGTGAGAATTTTATGACAGTATCAGGGGGGGGTGTCACCTGTTAAATATAGCTTGGTGTGGCAGAAAAGTCTAACAGAGCAAATTTGGAAAGTTATAATTCTCATTCTGCAATTTGACTCATAGATCATATAAGATCATTTTAATAGATGCACTTTAACTTTATGAAAAATCAAATTTCTTTTCCTGTCAAGTATTTGTTGCATGAAATAAAAATATCTGATTTGATAAGGGGGAGGAGACAAACTCATCCTTATTACAAACGTTTGTCCTGAACAACTTGTAGTTGACTCACGTAACAAAAGTCCAGACATAAATATACCCTTTTCTAATATTATGTAACTAACAAAGTAAATGAACTTGACCGAAAATTGCTGTCAGCATCCCCCATGATCCCAATGTCTTCAGGTACTAACTAAAAATGTCAAATTGTCATCTCTTTTTTTGGAAGCCAGCTAAAACGATTACATGATGTGACAGTCAGTGTATGCAGAATGTCAAAATTGAGTCCTTTTTTATGTCAACATGTTCAGACAATTCGTTCGATGTTTTCTTAACAGACAGTTTGTGCGTATATGACTTGTTACGTTTTACCACAGAGTTTCTAGAGATAAAGAGTGTGCTTGATAAATGGGCTCAAATTGCTTGACGATTTTCAAATAGAGTTTCTCTCTCTGAACGGGTGATTTATGTTTAGACGCATAGCCATTGTCAACGTGCCAAGGGAAGGATGATAAAGACTATTGATGTTGGCTCCAATGAAAAGTTGCAGCTCGAATTAAGAGATTTCAAGAGCTGATTGTAGTTCATCTCCTTCAGTCCTTTTGTCAATAACGGTGACAGGTCATTACTTACATCCCAAACCGTGATATGTTTATTATGGCAAGACAGGAATTTGGAACAAGAAAAATTTGCATTCCCTTCGGTCAAAACGATTTTACGCGTTCAGGGTTTGTGCAGAGACTCTGCGCACGCGAACAGAACGATAATTATCAGATTGACGCATTTTAAAAAAAGAGACAGCGTGCGCCGAGGCATCTAGATAATTGTCGAGAAGTGCGTGCTCAAGCTAAAATGACGATAATTGTTTATTCCGCTGTCGTGAAATCGGAAAGAATGAAAAAAAATCGAAGCAATTTCAGGAACGTCGCCGAAAACAAAAATGCCGGCGTCATTGCGAAATCGGCATTGAAATAAACAATTCTTGTACGTTTCCGTGTCGGAAGAGGTTGGCCGACTCGTTCGTCTTTAGTCACCACAACAGAGAACGATTATTTCTACTTGAATAGATACTATTCAACGAATGTTGTGATTTGAAAGTACGAGGCTATTCTCAGTTAAAAGCAAAATAAACGCGTTCAGCCGTTGAAATTTCACCATGAATCACTTTTTCATTTTGCTAAAAATTTACACAACATCTCATCAAAAGAACCGCTTTGGATGTCGCGAATACTGTTTATGGTTGTTGTTTCAAGTGTAGATATATATGTAGTGTACGGTAATGGCTTTTACAGTGTTTTTTTAACACATTAAATCGCACCTTCAGCAATTGTAAAAACCAATATTGCACTGAGGAATATTTGCGAGCGATAAGTAAGTACTGAAATGAATTGAAACGTTGCAAGAGTCACTTTTATTTCTTTTTAATTTCAGTGAATGGTATACCTATTCAACAGTAAGCAGCTCTTGACCGGAAAGGTCGATAATATGTTTCTAATTGATGTGATTGTTTAGCGCATTTACCAGTACGTTTATCTCTTGAAAAAAAAAATCGAAAATACTGGAATCAAATAAGTGCGAAGAGCCATTAAGAGAAATTAAAAAATAAATAGATAAAAGAGATATTGTAGTAAGGATTATTGTACCACTCATACCTTTAGGTATCGTTAGGTGACTTTTAAAATCCAGTTGCTTTAACCGAGTTTGAGCGACTCTTTGAAGTGCGATACACTCCGGTTCGGACAAAGCCGAAATTTGAGTGTCTGTCAGCTGAAGTCTGCGTCCTTCCACAGAGCACCAGCTAAAGTTATCCTTCACAAAAGAGAGAAAGTAAGTTCGCATCTCGTTAGGAAGGTCATTAATTCACCAAATGAAAATGCAAAGCTCTGGCAATTTAACAAAAATGCGCTGCAAGGACTTTGGAGCACTTATTACTCTGTAGTAAACTCTAATGAGGGCTTCGAGATAATGCTTGCTTAAGAACGTGTTCCTGACAAGCTAAGCGACTTGTGTATTTATCTTCTGCTGGGTTTTGTTTTAAGAATGGCAGAAGACGGCGGAATGTACCAAGATAGTTTGCCAAAACAATTAGCTGCTCTCATTTCAGAGTCTAGCGTAAACGCAAGTATAAGCGCCGATTCGAATCGAATAAACGCTGGTCAAATGCTTGGAAAGGAGCACGCTTGAAGCATTAAGATGTGTAATGACACTCGATATTTTAGCAAGGTCAAGAACGCGTGGAATGAATAGTAGTGGGGAAAATGCCGATGGAAAAATGGCTGTGCGTAACCTATCTAATACAATTTTCACGATTGGTAAATCAATCCACGCCTTCCGCTTAATCTTAGACGCTGGCGCATTACAACAAATTCAATCGCAGCTCATCGCGAACCAGTGGAACGCGACATTGAGCAGTCAGCGCGATGAACGCGGTCGCAGCCATACCTGAGGAATCCACAGGGCATTGCCTGCGTTGGGAATGACCTTCAGCCGATTTCGCCAGCCCTTCTGGAAAAACTTCTCCTTGTGGGAAGGCGGTGACAGCTTCTCCTGCATGCCTGAATCAGAGTCGATAGTGAAATCAGGAGTATTAGACCAACCCTTCGATGAATTTTTAGACGCTCTACCCGCACTTAAGTCATTTCGCCCCTCTGATTCACCACTTGTAGTACCCCCCCTAAAAACCGATCCGATGTTAGCAATGGCTCCCGAAGCAAGCTTTTGAAGTCCTTTCTTTTTAGCTCCAGACGAAGAGGACCCGTCGCCGTCAACCCTCGGAGACGTATCGCCCGAGCCTTCGGCAGGCTCTCTGTGCGTATTCATAGAAGTCGGCGAGCCTATCCTCGGTTCATCGTCGCTTCGCTCGACCTCGTCTTCGTAGGGACGTGTTGTACGGTATTTACGCTGCCCTCTTGCGCTAATGCTTGATTCGTTCATGGCTCTTGGAGATTGGGTTACTGTTCTGCAAGATGGCGAAACCCTCTCCGCCGGTTCTGTTGGACTGTCGCTGTCGCAAGCGTTCAGAACCATGAATACGTATCCCAACTGCAAATAACCTCACATAACTTCAGATGGCGTGACACGCAGAGCATGAATTGGCAATTGCCGATCACGTCTTGAGGCGTCGGACGTTGTGGAGACTTTCATAATTTGCCACTTATTCGCCGCATTTTCTAATGGAATTGCGTTTTGTGTGTAGCTGTGAGTGAGTTGCTAATCATTCATTGATTGACGCGAGGGCAGATCTTGTTAATTGAAATCAATAAATTCCCATTCCTGATTGGCTGATAAACAATATCAGTGTGACGTCACGCGCGAAAAGCCAATTCTATTGTAATTTGCTGCGCACAACAAACACGGTCTTTAACAATTAATGACAGTCAAAGCAACCTCAAAGACAGACTTAAAAGTAACAAGTTCTGATTTGTAGAACTGATTGAGTAGACAGAAGAGAAAAACCAGTGTGTAAACAAACCGAATAAACAGATCCTTTTGTAACCATTCTCTTTGATGGCGCGTTCGATAACCCGAGCTCAACCTTCCCTTGTCGCCGAAAGTGATTTCGTAGGTTTGTTGCTTACTGTATCCGCACGCACGAAGCAACGGACTTCCCGTAGCTCACTACTTCCAAACTACCCCTACCTGTAAGAATTGTCGGTTAACAGTAGAAAAATCACTTTTGAAATAATTTCGAAAGTTTGTCAAACGGCTTTGCAAAGTTATCCAAACACATTTTGTTTATCATATACCCCGGGGACTTGTAATCCTTGGTTCGTTCGTCAATAGCGCAAAATTGACGTAACTTTGGTTCGTGTTCATGAAGGGAAGGCGGCGAAACACTTACCAATAACATCCGTTTTATTCAAAATCTTTGTTTTTTTTTCAAGATAACCTCAGGCGAAAGGAAGTTCGTTGGCGTAGATCTAACTTCGCATCTTGATGCATCTTATCCTCATCAAAGATTTAACACAAAAGGCACCGGGGTGTAATAGACCAATTATGAATACAAGTCAGACACGAAAGTCAAACAAAGTTGTCAAAAGAGCAGACTTGTTTGATTTATTCCCCTCTTAAAATTACCCAACCGTTCGTCTCGATTTATTCATTCGAAAGAGATGGAGCTGATAACTACGTGGAAGACCGTGTTTAGAGGCGCAGTTATCGGGACAGAAATAACAAAATTTTACCTCGAAAGAAAGGTTCCCATGGATCTTTCTTACTCACTGTGAAAAAGTTTTTGAAGTTTTACAAAATTTTTTAAAACAATCAGGTCCTGGCAAGATGTTTCGTTTGGCATTAAACTGTGATATAGTCTCTCCTATATTCTCATGCAAGCTATTGAGTTTTGGATATTCAAACGTACAATTTGGTTTTAACCAACTATTCTTTGCGGATCATGAACACTGTCATGCGTCAGGCTACAGTTGTCATAGACAATCGTTCTTTGACGCAAGACAAAAAAGGAAAATTTTGTGAAGAAACGTCATATTTCTTTTAATTCCGTTAGCGTTGACAATTTCTCAACCTCTCCGAGTTCCCTGAGCATTTAATCATTTCATTTTTCTCCTTGAAACCGTCATGTCTCTTGCAAATTAACGAGCAATCAAAATTTGGATTCTAATTAAATGTTTGTTTTGATTAATTTTATTTGTATAGAGTTAAACGAACGTGATCAGATCAACCTAAAACAACAACGATCTTTGTGAAAGTCTCTTTCGTCCGAAATGAACCAACTTTTACAAATTTTAACAACTTGAACTAGCTTGGGGTGAATGATAAATGAGAGATCGGTTTACAAAAACCCACGTGGAGAGCTATCATTGACAAAAAGTTTTAGATCGATGCGCTGTTCGAAATTTGCTTTCTTTAATCGCAGTACAGTTTCAGCATGCTCGCAAGGTCAAGCCTTCAGACATCTTTTCTACGCCTCCCAACCGATTTTCAGTTTGTTGCGGTGTTGGATATATGGAAGAAACGTTTCTCTTTGAGAATCCTTCGTGGGTAGGCTGACCGTGTCATTGCTCGTAACATAATATTTTGGTTTAAGAGGCCATCGTGGTAAAAGTTGGCTCCCAGTCAAATCTGTCCCTGTCAACAGTTCAATATTGTATCTAGACGCGCTAACGAATTCTATGTCAATAAGGCGAGAGACCATCTTTCATGGTGATAAAAACTTCCATTATTTGATTAAAGAATGAGTTTTATATTCCCCCAGACGGTTTGATTCAAATTTGAATTGTGGGCTATGGAGTCGAGTTTCATCTCCAATCCTAGACGGCTTTCGCTACGACACATAGTTTAATGTCGGCTTAATTTCAATGACCGTTCGCTTGCAAAATCTCTCCAATGCAAGAATGCCAGAATCTTCATATTTTCATCGGCACTGAACACGTCCCATCCTACACCTCATTTGATTTTGGATCAGTCCAACAAGCGATAATTTCTCTTACCTTCATAGTACTGGCTGTAAGATCTCTGCCGGTAATGATCTCTTCTGCGGCTGGTGACAATGGGATGAACTGATTCGACTTCAGGCATCATTTCACGCCGAACCTTGAGACAAGAAGGCTGGATGAGTCATAAAGCGCCAAGCACTGAGGCTGCTTGTCGTCCTCACCGTTTTGCCACTAGCACAGCAGACTATGTAGCTACCCCGTGATCAATGAATACTCTTTAGTGCAGTGGAGAAAAATGATTGACAGGTCCTTAAAAGAGCCCTGGAAAGCGCAGCTGCGGTTTTATAATGCTAAGGTCACATCACACGAAGAAATTTACACAGAAAGGAGGCTCATCGATAAGACATGAAGGTCGCCATCGCGTAGGAAAAAAACGAATGTTAGCACGTGTGCGCTTCTTAACCTGAGGCTAAGAATAATTCACTCCTTGGAAACCTTGCCAAAAAGCAAAATTTGCCAAAAAGCCCCCACGGGATAGTAAGAACGCAGCTCTTTCACTCTGCAGATCCTGCGAGAATGATTTAGAGATCGTTTTGATCTAATGAAGTAAGGTGGCGTCCTTTTGCGTGACTTACGACTCTTAAAGCTCTCTGATTGTACTCGACTGAAGATCTTCAAATGACGTTGCTTGCGCTTGGGCTAAATCCACCAAGACCGACTGTGTGCATAGGATTAACCGTCACGAAATTCTTAATCTATCGCGTGCTGATGTCTGATGTTTCGGGAAGTTTTGGGATTGTTTCGTTTGACGGTTATTCCGCCAAGGTTCCAGTGAACTGAAGTGTTTTTTCCTTTTTATAATTAATCTACTCACTCTGCGGCGGTTCGGATGTGAAGCGACGAGTGTAGTTTTCACGAACTCGCAATTAAGTTTTTGCTGTTAGCTATTTCTTTCAACAAATTTTCTTGATCTGTTCAAGTACTTTCCGGTGTCACTGTTTGTTGAATAATCGAAAATAATGATGAATAATGTGTTCTTGCGATCTGTTTGAAGACTTTTTTAGACGTTAGATGAGACACATTTCACTTAAAGAATTCTTCCTAAACTTAGTTTAATTTTTTTTTTTAACCTTTCGTGACTAAATTGAATCCGGGAAACAATTTTCCTAGTCTCACCAAGATAAAGGTCTTATTGTTGCCGAAATATTAATTACTGCTAAAAGTCACGCTATAGATTTTTTTTTGCGGAGAACACAACGTGACTTCTTGACAATCCCAAAACTTTATTTGTAAAAATGACGTCTGACAACTCTTGAAATGTCTTTAATCACGAGAAGTTAAATAGCTTATTTTAAACTCCAACTTGACGATTCCGTAATATCGAGATTTATGCTCCTCGAAATTGAAGGGTATATTTGCGAGTTTCCGGCAATCACCTATTATTCTAAACGCATAAGTTATGGCTACGTTCTGATATTTTTTCCTTTTTTCCAAAATACTCGGTGATTTGTTGAGGCGACGTCTCCTGTATAAGCTGTTGATACATCGCGTAGAAATGATGACATGAATTGAAAGCATCTTTTCAATGATAATTGCCAAAAAGAGGAAGGAGAAGGAACCGGAGGAGCGGCATATTTGACCTCGACGACTTGTCCTAATCTTTCTACGTGATATGAATCTTAAGTGCAATATTCAAACCCGAGCGCCCGCATTACTTATGATGATGAGCGACGTTCTGCATTACTAATCCCGTTCTTCTGTGTTTTGTTTAATCTATTTCCTTTCATGTTACTGGCAAACAATTCCTTTAGTTGAGCAATAAATCTACTTTAAAAAAAGTATTTAAGTGAAACCTAGGCTGAGCTCAAACATAGTTGTCCTTTATGCGCAGGTGCCAAACATAACAGAGCATTTCCAAAGATAGCCGACGGCTCGCGTGGAAAACTGTGCCGGTTAAAGCAATGGTATTTACGACATTCGGCTCGAAATTGGAACACGGTTTGTCTTTATAATAACCTCCTCAAATAAAATATTTAATCATCTGCGAATACCGCCTGACATCTTAATACCGACCAAAAATGCTTTTGCGAGATGCGACAAATTTCAAGACGGAAAACTATCGGAATTACCACCCATACTTAGCCATATAGTGCGTGGTAGTCCGCCGTAGATCTTCAATTCTAATAGATCACCGGCCAAAAAAATAGAGGACTTTTCACAAACAAACGTGATGGAATGCAATCTGACTCAGTTATGTAACACTTAGATCATTGTTATCAAGATGTGAAGAGTTGGTACTCACCACGTTCTCGTTCGCTGGCAAGCCAACTGAACTACCGGCTTCAAACAGTGCTAGGGCAACACAGTATCGTCGAAAATTTGATTTTTTTGTTTTTGTTTCAGTACTTGTACATATTGTTATGTTTTTGACCAAAATATAGCTTAGATGTCATCTATTAATTTGAGGTTGTCAGCTTGATTTTTTAAACCACCTCTCTATTCTGGACCTTCAGAAGCTAATGACTTTATATTGTAGTTTTCTACGAAGCGTAACGTAGATAAGAGGTCACCTTATCAACGTGACGTCGACAAAACGCGAGATAACACACTAGGCGATTGTCTCGGACCTTGACCTGTTCTGGCGAAGCTTGGATCTGTCCGAAAGCTACCACTTGGAGAGGCAGAATGGATCAGTTTTTTTGAGTGAACCTTTTTAGTTTTCCAACAATGACTGAACGTTGAGTTGTTTACCGCAGTTAAAAATATTTTGTGATAAGTGAAGGTCGTTAAAATTTCATAAATGCCTCAAAACAACCAATCATAACTGTTCAAATGAAACATGGATATTGCGCACAAAGTGATATTAATTAATTTGATGATGAGAAACTCTGTTGTGCTCTGTGGTCTTCAGATCTAAGACGATTCTAGTGACTTGATTGAAGCATTGATATCATCACTGACGCCTGGACTCATGGTTATGAGAGAACGGGATCATACATCATTCAGCAAACAGGTAATGAGAATATTCAAACTTATCAGGCAAAAGCCACTACCTTGATCCAGCACCAAGTTCTCATAACTAATTTACAAGGAAATGTGTGGCAGTGAGAGGCAGAGAGGAGAATTAACAATCAGATCTTGGGAGTTAAAGGATTAAATATTTACAACTGACTTCCCCTCTGACTTGCTACCAGGAGCTCTTTGTGAAGCGCGTATTTTGTTGGCCGGGACAGAGTCAGTGACTCTAAAGTTGCAACAGAGAAAGTTGGCCTTGACAAATTTCTCTGAAAAGTTTTCCTTGAAAATGGAGATGGAAAAAAATTAATAAGTTTTTTCATGAAAGGTGTCCTTCATGTAGACAAGTTATTCAAAAACTGACTTGCTAGCCTGTGAAGAAGTAGACTATTGGAGTCTTTTGAAAGGAAAGTATGGATGACTGAAGGAAACTTCTTGATAGGGATGAATTTTCCTTCACAAGTGCAGTTGTTGAGGAAAGAAACTAGGATTTTATTAGAAAATATCCTTTTGTGAATCCACCTCTAATAAATAAATTCTTGCGTCAACCGGCTGTTGCATAACGGGAAAATTTATTTGTTAGGGTTGGAGAGCTAGCGTGCGGACACAAATTATTTAATGCTAAGTCAGGATACCACACGGCTGGTGTGATATTGTATTAACATGGAAATGGGCGGGAGAGAGTGGTTTAGTTGCGCCTGATTGCCCTTAAACTAATCTTCGGGATATGAAAGTTAAATATTGCCCGCGAACTTTCTCGACGCGTTCTCTTCTCTCCCTCCACTGATCGAGAGGGAGAACGAAGAAGAATGAACCGCCCGAGCCTTCCAACGTGTACAGCCTGTTGTGTGTACAACCTGCACTGACAACTCCAAATAACTACGAACTTGGACATTTTCGTCAAAATAAAAGCCTACTTGAAACCGTTTAGTGAGTACCGCTTGCAATGATCACTGGAAGTTACGGCGTACTTTAAAAAATCGCCGAAATGAACGCTCACCCTGACCACGATCCGAAATATTAACGTTAACTTGAACTAAGTTGAAAATGAAACTAGTTAACACTATTTCCAAAACTTAAGTAAAAAATACATCATGAATCAAAGATGTTTTGACATTCAACTGCCCTATGATAGCTTTCGACTACGCGAATCAAGAACCGTGACGTGGATGCTCAACGGATTAAGGGTCAAATTAAGGTTTTGAGTACCACGTGTGTTCCTCTCTACCCCGTGCGTGCGGAAAGTAGAAAGGGTTTCTTTCAGCAAGGTCGTGCGGCAGTCTCTTATACTGTCCGATGATCTTTAAACCGCCCCCTTATTGCGATAGGAGTAAGCCTTGAGTTATAGTTAATGCAATAACTCTTGAAAGGAAAAGATATCGTTATTTTCGTATCTTACCGAATATATCTCTATCTCGGGGAAGAGCCTAAAGGAAAGTTTTGCCGAACCTGTGTCGCTGAGGACCTTAACTCCTTACCCCGCCAAAGACAAAATGAAATAGAGGATGTCAAGGAAAAGACACCCCGTCTGGATTATTGGACCTTTTGAGATAACCACTAGAATTACACTTGAGAAAAAAAATCGTAATTTAAGACCGCGGACTGTTATTTTTGCACCCTGTTTAAGGGTTTTGATCCAGTAAGGTACCCCGGTGAAGGGACTTCATATCAGAATAGCATTGTGTGTTTAGGATCAAGACCCCGAAAGCCTTACCTTTGTTTGCGGCACATTTGAGCCTTACCCTTGTTTGCGGCACGTTTGGGTCATTAAGACTCTGCCCCTCCCCCCGCCCCCTGGGATCTAAATCTCGCTTCGTTATGTCTGGTCTTACTTCTTATCTACTCTCTCTTTACGCACTAAAGTTCTGCAAATGAGCTTCCAATGAGGAATCGAACTTGACTCTTCTAGAAAATTTAGTATCGAATCTTCTCTGTGGTCTCTGGGTTTTGGCATGCGATAAATTCACCCCTGAGGTGAACATTTATGTTAAGTGTAGTTGTTACGTAAGAGAAGTAAAAATGAAACTGACGGAAAAAACCAAACACTGGATTAACTGTCAGTTGAAATGCTGGAGGTTACGGCCCAAATTACCTTGAAAAAGAAATCACTCGCTTTCACTATGGTGAACGCATACCTTCATCGTTTTCAATCGGCTATTTGTTGGGGAAAAAAATTCTCATTTGTAGCAGTTGCAGTTTGATCGGTAAGAAAAATTTTACCAGCGTGAACTTACTTCAACTGTTAGCTTTCCTTGGAAGATCACCCGAACTACCTGACAGGGTTTCATAGTTCCACTCCTGTTACCGAGTATTATAAAACGGAGTTACTCACTGCGACGTTACTTAAACAGCAGGTTCGTGCGATTCCTAACGTGGTTTTGTAGACTTACAGGTTGTCGTCTGAATGGCTAATTTATTGACGCAGCGGAAAGAGGGTGTTAAGAAGATTAAACAAACCTTTAACCCTTTTGTGCCCTTTGTACCCTAGCATCAGTATACATAGTCTCTATACTGTTCTCTGTATATTTTCTGTTGTGTTGAGAAGGAGAAATTGCTTAACAATCAAGAGCGTCTGTTGTTAGTGGGTGATTACTTTCTTTATTCCCGTGACCTGTAGGTTGATATTGTAAGGAGAAATTAGATGTTAATCATTCTAGGGGTCAAAAGGGCAATTTGATAAGAGTAACTGTGCGTAACGCCATGTTTTTGTGGAAATTATAGAACTTTAAGCAATTATAGAATCATTTGATTTTTGCGTGCATGCCTAATTCGTGGATGTGTTGGAAAAACGAGGGGGTGGTAATTATATTGGCCCCACAACTGACTTCGTAATCAAAAAACCAGGTCCGTGATACGTTGCATGTCTTCGGCCGAATTAGTAGAATTAGCTTACGTGAAGCCGTACCCTCCCCCCCAAAGGAGAAATTTTCTCCTGGGGGGAGGGGAGAAAAGGGTACGGCAACACGTGGCTTATTTCCTCTTTGGTCAACTGCCAATGGCCAGAACTCATCCTTGTTACTGCGAGTATCATTAATCCTTCACGCCCAAACATCAGTATGCATTTTCTCCCTACTGTTCTCTATACATTCCCAAAGCTGCTGACAAGGGGAATTTTTCCTCAATCAAGAGCTTCTTTAGTCGATTTTCATTTTTTTTCTCCTCGTAACCTCAATGCGTAATTCAGGGATGAAATAGTAAGGGGAAATTAGATGCTAGTCGCTCTTACGGGTCAAGAGGTTAAAGGTGAAGGAGTTTTGAACCCTTCCCGGATGTAACGGTATCAGAATTGATCCAGGTTGTCGGGTATTTAATTGGTGAAGGGCGCCATACAAACGATTGGACTGAAAAAGTATGAGCGCAACACGTGGCCCAGAAAAGAATACGGCAACGTCTTGAATGGAATCTTGAAATGAATTTCACTTTCATCGATATGGGCACAGTGTGGTTGTTACACACTCACATGACTTACGTCCTTCAGGTAAACGTATATGGTTGGTGGCGAAGTAACTTCTGGGGTCCCTCCCTCCTCCCAACCCCCCTTCCCCCCCCCCAAAAAAAAAGCCTGGCAACTACTGAGAAACTCTTCTAAAGGTTTCGAAATTGCGTTTATTATGAAACCAAATTGGTAGAATTGGCTCCTTTTTCCTTTGAATGATCAAGTGAATGACATTTTATGAGGTAACCATAGTTATGATTCGTCGTATATATTATAACTTTGTGAATAATTCATTGCAAAGGATAATAAATTAAGAACGGAAGAGCAGTGGCATAATTTACATTTTAGCTGAAATATTAAGTTAATCAGATGACGATATTTAACTAAAAAATGTTAATTAGAATTAAACTCTTGTACCTCAATTAACAAACGAAGCCATTCACTTGAAGCATAAAAATATTTCTCCTCATGGCTCCAAATTTTGGCATATTTTGCCACAATGGAAGTGATAAATAAGGCATTTATTTTCCTGGTGAAAATTTTTTCCTTAAAAAAAGTTTAAAAAAAAGCTTCAAAAGTATTCTCGTTTAAAAAATGTTCGTGAGGACGAACTGAATGATTCGACGCGAATACACGAGTGAATTACGAATGTGGACTTTTAAATACTCTGTACATCTTTTAAACAATTATATTCTCCCAGAGAATAGGTCCTTTTGTTCGTTAATATGATCCTTTGTTAAGTGTCCGAAGACTTAGGCATAACGCTACGCAATGTTACGTGGGTAAAAGTGTTGCGTGATAACCAAGGGACACTTGCTAGGCACACATACAACCTTCACAAGCATTTACCCATGTCTTCAAGGTAACTACAGAAATAATTTTGCAACGAACTCAATTTTTTTTCTTCCATTCTTCTGTCACCAAGAGCATAAATTCTGCGCCACAGTTGGTAGTATCTATGGCAATGGCACTCCACGTTCCTTTAGTACTTTGGTAGACACGAGGTTTGCTATACTTTGGTTTCCGGGCCCTCTGATCCGTATTGGAAAGTGTTCCGTACTTTGGCCACTAACGAAGCTAAAAATGGTCCGATGGCTTTGCTGTAGTACTCTGGAGTTCTACCCCTGAATAAGAATAAGTAATTAAAATTTTGACTTCATGAATTTATGTTCTGGCCCACACACATTTGAGGGAGAAGAAAAGCCTTTGCAAGGAAAAGATTACGAGCAGCGAATATTTTATCCATTGAGATCTAATGAGCATTAAGTAAAAATTAAGGCGAAGAACATTCTCCAAGAATCTAATTATAAGAATAACTTTCATCCTCTTCCAACGTGGGTTTTAGCATGTTGGAGGAAAGGGAGTGGTTGATAAGAATCCATCCGAAAAATAAGAAGATTAAAGAGATATTCCAAGATGTTTCCTTCACCGATTCGAACTCGTTGGAAACGCGTGAATTTGTCAATTTAACGTCAGGAAGGCTGTGTCTAACTTATCCGTCGGAGTGTAATTAACAAAAGACGCCGCCCAGGTAGTCAGCCAGATTCTATGGGTGAATTTTATTCAATGATTTACGAGTTGATAAAGATTTCTGCGACTTTTTGTTCGAACTCAGTAGGGCATAAGAATACAGGAAACTTGCCCAAGGTCACTTTACAACGGACAATGACACCATTGTACGATATATTAACATTTCAGCAGCTCATTTCTAAGTCGAACCAACGAATACGAGAAAGTTGGAAGTAGGATCTTACGAATAGTTTAAAATGTATGTGTTCCTTTTTACATTTTGTAAAAGAGTATTGTTCTAAAGGGCGAAAGTGGGAGGTTTGGGTATAAATCATAATTCCCAATCTACAATTGCCAGCCTATTTTGTCTGCCAAGAGGGTATATTTCCCTAATTTTGTAATTCCAAGTCCCAGTGACCCAAATTTTAATTTCCCAGTACAAAAACGGGCAAGTCTGAGACCTCATTTCCCCTTCCCAGGTCCCTTGCAGAACTGAGATAGTCCTCACCTCTGGTCTACTCGGCTTATGTAAGTTAGTCGTGATTTGCCATTCTCTAGAGGCTCCACTAGATATCTTGACGCCAATACAATTGAAGGTACTCCATTGCTAGGAGGGGCCCGTGGATGATTGATAGATGTGGAGACCAGTGCACAAACACCCTTATCGAGGTCCGTCCATGCCCTTAGATAAAAAAAAGGAGAGTACACTTTAATGTAGTTCGAAGAGATGCAACATGAGATAAGCTTTAGCTGTACTTCCTAAACTAAAAGTTGCCTTTGTCAATTGTACAAGAACCTTGTTATCCTGCTTCTTCCTCAAAGAGATAGAGAAAGAAATGCTATTTTGAATGAATACAAGTGTTTCGACAAGTAAAGCTTCAGTGCGAGATAAGATCGATAGTTTCTCATAGAGACGTAAAAACATGTTAAGGTTACGCAAGAGCCCTCCGGGTTTTACGTTATTGTGCTGATTCTTTGTAGCCCTATTTCATATACAGAAACGGCTCAAAAGGTGACATGTCAATCGACCAATATTTGTTTATTTTTCTCAGTCAAACTTCAAGTTTAGTGGAGGGAGATTACAAAAGAGCCGGGTACTGAGGAGTAAATTAAAACAGCTTGATGTCATTTGCATGAGAAAACGTTTCTCAGCACATGCACGTACTTGTTCATTGTCAGTAGGTTCTAGATTATCAGCTGGATTATAAAAAAAGGTTTCAATAAGCCATTTACCTTAGCACTACGTGTTGTCGTTTTGGTTGAAGGATCATAGACTTGGTGGTGTAAAAGAACACATCTGTGTGATCGTCAATTTTCTCCACCATATCCCAAGTTTCCAAGTCTTCGTCCCAGAGATGCCTTGAAAGAAGAGACGCCACCATCGGTTAGAGAGCAAAAGGGACTTATTACTTTCAATTAGGAAGTCTGGTTGAATTGCACAGTGTTGACAAAGCGGGGAGAGGATGATGAAACATAAAAAACTAAAGATGCCTTGTGGAAAAAAAATTACTTAGTTAGACCACTCTCAAGCTCATGGGTATCTTTGTGCGGTCAAAGCCCGTATCACACTGGTCTAGCAATTAAATATTTAGAAGTTAATTTAAATAAATTACAAATTTACGCATTATCAGATCATCTTGCACTGTAACCTCCAACATCCGTAGTTCGTTGTTGTACACAAGTACCTTACACTATCATGAAAATTTCCAAACTTTTAAGGTGCACAAAACTGCAAACAATTAGAGCTATATAGCAAAATAGCTGAAAATTAAGCTTTTCCAGTTAGGGCACCATGGCGCGTTGCAGCAATGAATCAAACAATAAGTCTTTCTTTATACCTTTCGTAGAGAATTCTTCTTATGATATCCTCTGGCTTGGCATTGACTTCCACAACGCATCTCCACAATCGGAGAGGGTAACCATCTTTCACTTTCTTGTAAGAGATCTCTACTGAGCTGTCGTACCACGGGTGAGACACCCACCCTTTAAATTTGTCTTTTGCTTCCTGAAAGTGGAAAAGACGAGACTGATTAATAAGCGGATGATTTTTCTCCAACACAACTTTTTTCTAACAACTATGAAAACGTTTAAATTATTGAGAAGAAGTTGCATCATTCCACAAAGTTTTAAGCAAAGGCCAGCAAGATGAAAATTACCCAATTAGCACTCGATAAAATTGAATAAGCCAATCAGAAGTAATCTTGGACACGCGCAGCAGTAAAGGGCGGGAAAGGTGAATATGTACTGGAGGGACTTAAATTGCACTTCATAGGCCCTTGACACATACATTAAAAGAAATGTGTTTACCTTAAGTAATCCAGCGATACAAGATTCGATGTACGTCTGATAATCACTTTCAGGACTGGATTTACTCTTTCCAAGTTTTCCTAGAGAAACAGGTTCGCCTTGCTCGATATACGAAAACCGACTGTTCTTCACCGTGTCTTCCGGAATCTGTGACACAAATAACGATAACATCAAGTTTTCGTTAGGTAAGTCATTTAAGTTTTTTAATAAAAGAAAGTAATGTTGTCAAGAATTGCTCTCAAGGATTTGAAAATTACTCTAACGGGAATGGAACTTACCGAGAAGAGCTTATCCACTTCTGTAATCATCTTAGCTAAACACTCATGGGCGGCCTGTAATGGTGAGATTTAGCAGCAACATGTTAATTTTATATCATCTTTTCGCGGAAAATCAGAAGAGCAGATCGCTAAAGTTAGGATTTGGGTTCAACTAGATGCGCTGTTTATATTTTTCTAACCTCATACGCACGACTTAGCTCTAATCGAGTCCCAAAATTTTCCCAGCAAAGACGTCTCGAGAATTGCATTCAAACTAAGTAAGTGAACTAAGTTGGGAAATTGTTTATACCTATTTTCACTGGTTGCCTTTAAAACCTAATGAAGTTACATTGCTAATAAGCAAGAGAGGAGCACTCACCAGATTATCAGTGAGTTCCTTTGAAGCCTTGTTCATAGGTGTTCGCTTCTGTCGCTTTGGAGAAGACGGATCTTCCTTTGTACCGCACAAGTGGAACAGAGAAGGAGCAAAGCATACTCCAAGATTCTTCTCATTCATCTAAAAGGGAAATAATCTATTTTTTTAGACACTGCTCGATCCAACCAACTATTTAGTGCTGAGGAGCGACGAACATCTGAATTTGGTATCAAAGACGATTAATATTTCTTTGAGAATTGGATATAGTAGCATTGAGTCACAAAAATGATTGATGATCTGATAAAGATCGCACCAATGTATGTAGCATAATATGCCTGATAAGTGGTAATTTTATCTTCACTTTGTGATTGGTTCTCTCAAACAAAGATTACACATCAATTCTTGTCATAAATCTTACTTGATTTGTTTCAGAATTGGCAGCCACCTCATTTAAGAACAACAATAATGTCTGGAGTGCTTCTCTGTTTGGGTCAGGCATGAGGAGAATGGCAGCCTGCATTGCTTCCATTCTTGATTCAGGGGGAATGCCTTTAAAGGGGGGAAAAAATGGACAAGATTAATGCATCTGACTTAAGTGTGCATGAATTCTCCTTTCACAAATATTACCTCTCGTGTGATATTGCATGTAATCACTTCAACTGATATGGAACTTAACAATCCAACATAATTAATATACTTGAAAACTCTGTTTTGCACATAAAATCTCATTTAACATCATGAATTTCTCATTTGAGAATTTTTTGTTTATCTAACTGTTTGTTGAAGTACAGCATTTTTCATATGAAATACCATTTGATATCAGTGCTTATCATAAACTAGTCAAAATGGTCATCAATCATCTGCTTACTTGAGAAAATTGTTATGAATGTTTCAGCCAGTTTAGATGTCAAGATGGGTTCTGGAAGTTCTCTAAAATACTGCTTCAACATGTCTGCCATGTCATATGGTGACAAGCCCTCAAAGTCAGTATTATCTGTATCAGAACAACAACAAATGATTACGTTATCATTCATTGTAAGTTATAATTGGGTAAGCTACAGGTCCTCTACATTTTTTACCCCGTGCATGAGAAAGAAATGTCTCGTGGCCTGATCAGCACTTCAAGCTATCAGTCCCCATGTTAAGTGAATCAGGGCTTGCTCACTTCTAATGAGTTATTGCATAAATATGGGAAAAAAACTGCACTGTTACTCATGCAAGTGGACATTATTCACATGACTATCCTAAAATAATGTACTCCTTTTCATAAGAAGAAAAAATCTACTCTTGTAGCTTAGTTATACCTGGATCTCCTTCAATCATTTCCTTCAGGTGATTTATTCTCTGTTTACCACCTGATTTTCTGAATATGCCAACAGCATCCACAGCTGTGAAAAGGAATTAAATGTCAAAATGTTATGTCAAACACAAATTCTATGTTAAATTATCAAACTAATGACTTTTAAATTTCTCTTAAGGCCAGAAAGTAGTTGTTCTGTCCTGATTTGACAATTAATTTTGCTAATCCCTTAAAGGCTTGTGCAAGTAACCACAAGATCTTACACAGGTTCCACATGTAAAGTTTATGACATGCTGCAGTCCACATATAAAGGCAAAACTTGGAAATAGAATGTAACACAAGTCTTAGATTTCTTACCTGATCTTTGTAGATAGTTGATTGCAAAGAGAATAGATTGTGGAAGAGGTTGACCAGAGCGCTGAAGTACAACTGAGAGGGGAACGCCAAACACATTCCTGTCTGAAAAAGTCAAAAGAGGGAATAGTTGAGGTTGTAAATTTATTGAGTTAGCTGGTTCCTATTTTGAGGCACATAAGGCCTTTCGCATGTAATACATCACCAGTTATTTAACTGTTGTCTCACATACTATGAAATACAAAACTTTCAGCAGCAGTAAATTACCCAATGGGTAATTTAGGATGGTCTGTTAGCAATTTGAATTGGATATGTATTCTGGGTAAAACACTATATGACAAGTACCTCTATAATCTGGTGACTTGAGCTTCTTTAAGAAATGGGGAAATGACCTGAAAGAGGAGAAAAATCACCAAAAAATAAACAAATTATCTCTCTCCATCAAGTAGATGTCCAATGAAATTTATGAGGATTGAAGGATGCCAGTAGCATTTTTCCATTCAACTTGTCTAAAAAGCTTCCTTACCAATTCCACATTCCTCTGTGTGAGTGAGTATGTCTTTCCATTAGTGCTGTTAGTTTCAAAAGTGAGTATTTTCTAAGAACGGCTAGCTGTCCTGCTGTAAGGTCACAGATCTTTGGAGACCTGCATTTGTGATAATAAAGGCAAAAATAATGAAATAAGTCATTACCAAGACAAACAATAGAAGTGATGAAGCTACCTAACAGTCTTGACAACTTTCATATCTTTTATGTCATGGTAATAATAATAATGGAAATTTAGCAATGGAAACCTCAGGAAGTGGCTCTTCTTTCCTGCTGCCTGGAGGACTCAAAGAAAAACCCTTGAAGCAAGGAAAAGTACAAACTAGGATCTCTACCCACATGTGATGGCACTGTGCCATCCCTTCCCTCCTGTTTCCTAGGCTCAGACTCAGTTATGTGGAGATCATTAACAGAGAAAGACATGATCTCCACAGGTCAATGCAGTAATTAAAAGAGACTTTAAGACAATTTGACAAACTATTTTTCTCATTAAAAGAGAAACATTTCAGGCACTAGTTACACCTGAAACCAGCCAATATTACATTTATAAATTCTTCTTTAATTATGTTCCATGAAGTTATGTATTAGGAACACTTACATGACACGTATTTCAGGTCTTGAAGTCTTTTCAAAGCTATGCCATCGTACTTTAGGCCTTGTTGCTGTTGACGATGGAGCCACATCATTTTTACATTTTCTCTCTGAATTTCGTATTGATTTTAACATTGTCAAATCCCCAGGCAAGTCGTCAATTTCATCATCACGTTCAAAGTCTGAGAGGTCCTCATTTGATGATGCACTGTAAGATTCAAGACCCAAATCACTACTAGTAAGGATTCTTTTTTGAGTTCTGCCTGAGTTTCTTAGTTGATCATTCCTGTTGAGGTCTTTACCAACATTTGATATTGATGGTGTACTGGCACTTAATGTTGAAGACAGATTGTCATATACACTTTTCCTCCCTTGTGCTATACATAAATCCAAGTGTGTTATGGGTGACAAATGCTCAGGTGCAAGTCTGCCTTTCTTGTGAAACGACCTTTGCCTTGTGTTTGATACACTGTTCAAAGATGAGTTTATTCCATTATGTGAGCTACTTAAGCCAGCTGGACCCTTTCCCTTGCTGAGTGAAGGGGAACCATTTCTTCGACTTGACCACCGTCTATTCTTATTTTGTAGTTTCCAGCGTGAACTTAATGCAATCAAGTCTTCTTCATCAGAATCGTAACCTCCATCATTCTGTTAAGACAAAATTAATTTGCAGTCACCTCTGCTTTCAGGGCTTAAAAAAATGCAGCAGAGCAGGAAAGACATGAGTAGCTATTTTCAGTACCTTGATGTGGAGGTTCATTTTTGCACATCGATTGAGTGTTTGAAGACGCCTGATGAGTTAAATAGACAATATTACTAGATTAGGTTGTGTTCTTCTAAATAAAACCCAAAGTGCACTCAAAGGGACAAGGGCAATTTTGGGAAAACTTGAAAAATACGCATGAAATTAATCCTTAATTGCCTGAGGGCACTTACAAGTACTTTTTTTATCACATAAAGGGTTAAATTTTTTGGGGGAATTGCAATCGTGCATGATGTTCCTGTGGTGAAGCCCTTTCAATGCTGCCACAAATGTCAAAACAAACGTAACTGACCGATCGATTCAAAGAACATTTTATTCTCAAAATACAGTTAGCGTAGCATGGCTTCATTCAGTTAAATTGCAATCAATAAATTGTTGCTGCAAACAGCAAAAGGCTCAATAAGCATCAAGTAATCATGCCCTCTTGATTACCAAGTGTTGATAAGTTTTAAAATCATTACCTGTACAAAGATTGAATAGAATCTTGATCCAGGAAGTGATGTTCTTTAATGACAGATGCTGTGTCAATGGGAAACTTTCCATCTAAATTTGCAAAGATAGACTTATGACCTACATTGGTATTGAATTTCAACAGGTGTGCCATGTACTTAGGATAAGGTGCTGTTGAAGATGATTTAGATAATGGAAAAGTAGGTCCAACAAACATGTCACTCAGGACCCAGTTGTTCAAAGAGTGGATGATGCTATCCAACAGATAAATCACTATCCAGTGAATAACTGTGAAGGAAATGTACTATCCACACAATAGCAATTAAGTGGATAGCGTTATCCAACCTTGGAACAACTGGGGCCAGATCCATACAATATGGAAATAGATAGTGGGACATTAACAGACATATTCAAGAAAACCAGTTGGGTAGTGATCATTAGGAATTAAGTGAGTTAAAGTCTAAATTAGTTTGAAATTAATCTCATTCAACTTCTTTCCTTTCGTTTTCTTTCTTCTTGAGAAGGATCAACTCGTCAAAACTGTTTCACTGTATACTAAGGGAGAAGATGCTGGCAAATTTAACATAACATGCACAATTGCAGGAGAGAATATTTTAAGTTTCTGTGGCTCCTTGTCTACGCTTAAACCTCAAGCTCCTCATGTTTGGCTATGCAATTGAAAGAGGCAGTTTGCTGCTTCTTAACCAAAGATGGTAACTCATGTTGTTGAAAATGTCAACTAGAATTAAAATGTATTTGTACCTTCATAAGCCTGTGCATATTGTGGAAATCCAGCTGCTTTTAGCCAGTAACATGCCTCAAGGGCCTCTAGTTCTGAGAATGCAAAGAATTAGTTTCAAAAACAAGCACAATATACATCACAACTTGTAGTAATTTGGACTGTAAGGAAGGAAAGGGTATTGTCAAACTCCTAAATAAGTTTCCATCTAAAAAAAATTATTACACTTTGCAATATTTCTAGTAAAGCCAAGGTATTAGTCACAAGAACATTTTTCTGTCAAGGGTAACACCTGTTTACATTTGGCAATGTTTTATTGCTGAGAGCATCAAATTTTCATTGTACAATGAAGCATCAAATATGTTTTTTCTGCAGTGATTGTAACAGCCACTAAAATTGGGAAAAGATTGGAACATATTACCTAGAGTGGAAACACTTAAATTTAAAGAAGTCCAAAAATTGTTTTGTGGAAAATAATTGTTACTGCCATTCCATTAGACCAGATGATAATATATACCGCTGGGTACATTAATCACAGGATGAATATTTTTAGTGATCTTTGTTAGTAGGAGCACACTGACACACAAGTATGGAAACAGGAGAAATGTTTATAAACACAGCTAAAAATTGTTTACATTATCAACACTTTAAACTACACCAGAAGGCTAAACTAGTTTTAACATGAAGGAAAACCTTCAACAAGGCCTTCAGTCATTCAACGTTAATTATTTATGAGGTATGAATCAGAAAAAAAAAATTCTTAGGGAAAGTAGTGAATCTTTTACCTTTTTGAAGAATTAAAGGAACTTGAAAAATTAAGGCATGCGAGATAAACCCCTTTTGTTGAAATTGCGATAAAGATATTATTTAGGGAAGACAAGATATTGAAAGAATACAAAATATACAAATATTATTGCTCGGTTAGAGTTCGCACTAGGTGGCTTCCGGTATTGCAGAAATACAAGTATAGTTCAGCAAAATTACAAGCTAGCTAACAACACTTCTGTCGTTACGTTTTGGCTAATGTAACATACAAGCTTAAAATCAACATTCAGCCAAATCATCTTCTTCGTTAGAAAGTAAGTTACGTCATTCAGCCGTGGCATAAGGCATTTTTCAGCTCTAACATGCGGGTTTTATTATGCCAGGAGTCAAAGGAGAGTACTTCGAGCATGGCTTTCCATCTGGTGTGTCACACAAATCTCTGGCTGATTTCCACACTTCATTGTGATCGAAAACTTAAATAGGTGGCTAGTTTTTTTAATCATTTATTTCGATGAAAGAGAAGATAGCGGAGTGACCAACTAGCTTGTGTCAATTAAGAATTCGATTTGCTTCACTGTAATTTTCTTCGTCCACATGGCCATCTCTCTTGCAGATCGTTCTTTTTACCGCCCTTGAAGTAAACGTGCCTTGCACGAACACACCTTCAAAGACCTTTGACATGCAAACAAACACCACATCTTGTCGTCGATTAATGAGGAAATATGTAAAGTAAAATATGTACACTGCAAATCTTGATCTTGAAACCTACATGTCCTCGAAAACAATTAATACAGCATAAAACAATATAGCTAAAGCGATCGACACTTAAAGCACACAATGGAACCAGACCTGCCTTTGTCACCGGTGACCGACTGAGATCCTTATTTGATTGTTAAGTTGAGGAGAACTGCACATTCTAATAGCGGTCGGATTTTACACTGAGAGATTGATTTACGAGCGAATTTTTTACTTACTCGTAATTTCACGCATGACTGGCGCGCGAAATGGACAACATTCTGTTCAAACAATCTTCGCTGCAATCCTGTAAGAATGTGACGTGAAATACCAAAACATCCCCAATGTCCCAGTCGGTAAAGGTTTGGTCGAATTTAACAAGATTTACTTAACGGAACGGTGGATTCCTTAAACAGATCTATCTCTTGTCACGTGAGAACTACTATTCAGATTTTATTCAAATCAAGTATTTGTTTTGCTTCTACCGCCACAAAGTCTGAACATAATGAATGGATGTGGTTTTGTCGCTTATATTCCCTCTGTGTATTACTTTGTCCGGCCCCGATTTACAATGCTATCGCCTCCAAAAATTGGGAGGGATTTGTTTAATCCTTATTTCTTTACGCTGAATTAGGTTTGAACGACTTTGTGCCAGCACTTAAGGCTACTGCTATTGTATCATCAGATGAAAAAAACCTAATGTCACACAATTCGTGATTGAAATGGAATGTTACTCATGCCATGATTTTGATGAACTCTAAGATGACCGGCCACTAACTGAGTACCAACTATAGGCAATCATCTTCCAATTCCCCTGTATAAAAATAATTTTGGCGTTCTATGACACATTTTCTTCGCTACACTTATTAATAGAAAAACCAAGGCATTCGAGCAGTGAAAGAGATTTAAATAAGCAAGTACAGCTGAGCTTAACTCAACGGTTTTCTCTTCTACAGATAGTCGTTCCTTAGGAAAACGAAATTTTTTAAATCGAAATCCGCGAGTCAGAAATTGAAACATTATCGGCATCAAATGCAATGAGTCAGCTTTAAACCACAACATAATTGAAAATGTAATCAAGGCAAATTTGAATTCCTTCACACCTCGGGTCAAATCATTTTATCTTAACTCGTTTGTACCTTTGATGGTGTCCCTTTTATTCTTGCGAACCAAGAATCGTCGCAGCATTTTTCGCCTGTTTTCGCCATTGGTCTGAACGCCATCTGAGAGCGCCATGGCCATGAGGAATATCAGCGACCACGGCACAGATATGGTACGAAAGCGCAATATAACTGAGGCCACCGAACAGAACTGCTCATTTCTGCCTCGAGGGAAATTTTACCGAACAGCTTGATATCAAAAGAGAGGTCACATCCAAGAGGACTAGGCCCCAGGAAATAATCTCTACACCCGATTTGATTGACGCATTGTTTATGTCAACGCCTTGACAAATAACCACCCATTGTGAAAAGAAAAACACAATTGAACTAATCACTCAGGGTGGGGAATCAAATTATACACTCTAATTCATTCCTCGATATGTTAAACTTTGGAGTGAAAAATCATCAAATATTGTTTTCATTTCGTTTAAACAGCCATAGGTTGCATTTTCACCGCTGTAGAAAATTTTCCTCTGGTGACGTCAGCTAAGGTGTGTAACTCATAGTATTATTTTAGGCATTGTGTCAGCCGTGCTATATCCGTTTCATTCTTTAGACAGCAACTACACACGTGGGAGGAGGTCTTGTTGTGGCTTTTCACACGACAGTTATTGAAATTCAGTTTAGTTACGGACTCTTCAATTGTTGACAATTCTTTAGATGGTCAATATCGTATTCCTCTTTTCAGTCTGCAATTCTCACACAGGTTTAAGTAGCACTTTTTAAATACCAGCCATGGTTCAAAACGCTCTTTTGCCCGGCGGCCCTAACCCGCCCACAATTACCTATTCTAGTCGCTCTAGTCGGTTCAGAAGGTTTTCGAGAAAATCAGGAAAACGGCGATTTCGAGGAAGGAAACTCGTGATTTAAATATGTTCAAAGGCTGATAAAATTTCTACTAATTAATTCTATTTCTGCGACTTGAAATCCCTCAATTTTGAGATTCCTTCACATTCAGAAGCAAATCGATGTTATTAGTTGGTTTGCGGTGAAGAAGGACAAAACAACTTAAGAATTACAAGAAAAGGTAAACTTAAGAATTTTCTCGGTCGTTCATTATGCATGATTCTGTTTCTAAGTGTGTGACCCTTCTCGGTATTTCATATAATTTCTAGAACATCATACATATCGGCAAACATCACGCCTGACGATTGATAGAAAAGAAATTGAGAGAGTTAAACGCTTCTTAAGTGATAATTACCTTTTGCGAGCGTAGAAGCAAAGTCTGCAACTACCATCATCGCAGCGTCCAAAGTTTCACAAACCTCGTTGTCCAGCTTTTCTCTCGGTTCTAAACTCGTTTCACACATGTTTCTGCGGTGAACGGAAAAGGCACTGGACACACTGCTTATCATCTTTGCTTTTATAGAGCTCTCGCGCGGGCAAGGCATTCAGTGACGTATTTTGACGTAATGATTCAGCCGGCACCAATTGAACCGGAACAACAACGAGGGGAGCTTCTCCGCATGTAATAAATGTACATGTAGGAAATCGTTAAAAGCCTTGCGAGATAAAATTTCCATATCTCGATTTGAAATCTCAAATCACTTAAACTCGTGAAGAAATCCACGTTTTGTCACAGCGGGCTTTTGTTTAGTTCGGATCGAAGTGTTAAGAAAGGTCTTTATGGCGAGGTGGTTGTTTTTTTTCAACAGACCGCGTGAAAACGGAAATTTGACTCCTGCACTGCATAAATTTAGTTGATTTAAAAACAGATATGTTGTTGTAAGGGACGGGACTGCTCGCATTAACAATGTTTTCTTTTACGCAGTAAACGAGCTGAAACGTTTCAAGTGAAAATTAATGATCTAGTTGGTGACTGTGACCACCAAAGCTTATATAAACACTTGAAGGACATTAGTAAATCAGGTTTTAGAACCAAATACTTTTAACGCAGGAAATGAAAGAAGCATTTACATGTTTAAAGACAGACACCACACCTGTTGAAGTAAAAAGATTAAACAAAGAAAAAGTTTTGTCAAGTCGGAAAAAACAAGAATCTTCGTCAGCGTGAACGCCCAGCAATACAGAGATACAAAAGGTTTTGTCTTCTAAACTCAGCAAATACATACCTGATACAATTAAAAATGTGTTAGATATTTCATCGGCGATAGAGTTCGACATTTCCTAGTGTATATTCTTCAATACTCAAAATGGATGGCCAAAACATGTGCTGCGGCATTAGACGTGAATACAATTTCCTGGAAAGTGAAGTGGATCAAGTCCAAAGGTCTCACGTTTAGGCAACTGGAAAATCTGTTTTTCTAGAAATACACATTTTGAGTTTGTATCCGTGAATACTAATTTTCTTCTCGTTGTAAAGGATCAGAAAGCAAAACAAGCGAAGGCGAAAGATCGAAAGAGCTTGTGCTCTTGAAAGTTTTTGTGTCTGGCACTTACGTAAGTCCCTTCCCTCACCGACGACCGGTTTGGACTAAATACCTCTAAAGTGTTTAGTTCGATCTTTTTTTTTCTTAAAATTTAGCTACCTTTCTGTACCCCTTTCTTATATATTATCCTAAAAGTTTTCTTTCCTTACGCTAGCGGTAGACATGTTCTGCACTGTCACGTTTTATCCGATCGAAACCCCTAATTACCATTAAATTATCACAACTTATTCATGAAGGGATAATTTCGTGTATCAAACATTTCTCTAACGTCATGCGCTAAAAAATTTCTTATCTCGAACGTCTTGGGACAAAAAAAGCTGACACATGATCGACATCTCAATGAAAAGATGGATCAAGATAGAGCTCTTCACTTATTTGTTTCACCTTCTTTTCTTGTATACTGTTTCCTGTGTACAGTTCATCGTAATATTTCACGTTTAGATGCTGGAATTTGCTCGGAGTTGCAATGCCTACTGCTTTCATTGTTCAGTCAAACTGAAGTAACGAACGGACTGAATTACCGCGGAAACACTTCGCTATGAAGGCTAAATAGATACGCGCAGAGCCGTAAGGTCGCTTTTTCACTATGTTTTAAATCCAAAACTGGGTTTTTAAGATGTAACCATTTAGTTCTGAAAAAAGGATAGGGTTTTGCACACCATCTGAGAGCAAGATCAGGAATTGACTATGTTTTTTAACATTCGAACCGTTTTCATAGGGTTGAGAAAATAAGCAGTATTGGATTCGAATAAGATAACGCTTTTTTGAGAAGCATGGTTATCTCTCCCGAGATAAAGAGAAAGAGAAAGAGTTGTTAGATGAAAATTGTTCTTCCATAGCATTTCCACAGACGTTCACGACTTTCAATCCGTCTCCATAGCTCGCTTAACAACTCTCACTCCCGCCGTCAAATGAAATATCCCCTAATTGACTCGTCTAAGACCACTTTTCAAATGAAATTGGACGTTTTTCCAAGTGGTTTGAGCAACCTGGCCTTATACGCTTGCAAGTTATTTTGATCATGTGATAAGTTAGATACCCAAGACACACGTAATTTTTACAGAACAACGGCTTTCCAAATGTCCCTTTTTCCCCTTTATCATAGGGCTGATTGAAATGCGCTACTTCACAAGGGAGACAAAGGCTCTTTGGATTCCCAGCGTACACCTGTTATTTCCTGCGCGTAAAGTTTTGCGTCTTTGAGGCATGTTTAACAGTTTTGAGTGCCGGACTGTAACAGATGTTATCAGTTTCAAATCGATTAATACTAAGTGCTCCTGCAAAACCTCTGCCAACACAAGCAAAACATACGAGAGAGATTTAAGTAAAAATGTTCAGTTTTTTACGCTTTCGACTGAGCAAACCAGTGTGACGTCAATATCTCTGTACGTGCCACAAGAGGAAGAATCGTGCGTTTGTGACTCATTCCGTAAGTATAACTCAAATTTAATGAACCGATTTGAACTTGGATTATCTTGAAAGCTTTCCACACTTCTATGTGACCAATGTCCGTCGGTACTACTACAGTGAAAACTGCTTTCGTTTCTGTCACAACACTTTCGTTTATCTCAAAAATGCTTTCCGTTGGAAGGTATTAATTACCTTATTTCAAAAATACGCCAGTAACACTAAAGTTTAGAAAACACCATTTCGTCTGAAATCAAACTGCTGTGTACAACCCGGAAGATTTAACAATTTTCGCCTAATAATGGCGAAAGAGTTTCGAGTGGCGACATGCCAGTCAATCTCGTCCAACTAATGCCTAAATCTATGAAACACAATTTAAGATTCACGGCAGTTTTGATCTGGATGAACCTAGGCGAGGATAAAGATATCTTATTTATAAGGAAGTTTGCCGTATTGGAGGTCCTATGATTTATAGAACTCTGATTACGTCATAAAGGTTTAAAATTGGTTGTCACGTCCTTAACTCAGTGCTGATACCAAGGTTAATTAGCGGGTATCAAGTAGCGCTATTTTTGGTTATTCAAAAATATTTTGTAAATAACATCTTTAAGTAGGATAGAAGGGGTTTAACATCTCAACTTAATACTGACGGAAAAAAAAACCTTTTGCTGTGAAAAAAATCACGTTTAAGCAAAGGTGCCAGGTTCGTAATTAAGAGATACTTCAACGTACGTGATTAGGAACTTTAAACACGAAATGGCAACATGGGAGAGGGTGACCTCGTCGTCTTTCAACAAAGAAGTGCGCTGAAAAAAAACTTCAATTAAGCCCTTAGAATGTCGCTAATCTGAGTAAATCTTCAAACTGTTGACAGCATCGACTTTAATGAATTCAGCACGCTGGATAACCGTGCATGTCACGCACGTTTTAGAATTCCATCGATCAAAATCAATTTCGATTCGAAATGTCAAAGGAACCGTTCTCATTTCTCTCTATAACATGTCTTAGTTGTAATATCGTAACGAGTCAAAGGTTATTTAGACATTTGTGATATAAAAGTACGACATCACAGGTTTGATGTTGATATAACCCCTGACTTTACACATATGTTATGCGAACTCTCGAAACAACCGTAAGTTTCCAAAGTTAAGAACAACAAATACAGATCCAGGCAGAATACAGACCCGATGTTAAGTGTAAGCGCAATTGCTTGTATGCTGCGTATTTTAATATCGTTTCCCAGCCTTTAAATTTGTTCTTAATTTTTTTCCGTCTTAAGAGCTCT